AATTTCTAATTAAAATCTTTATAAAAAATTTTCTTTTGGGCCTTGTTAAAGGTGTCGTAAGAGCATTTATTTATTAAAAAATTCAGTTATATAATGTTAGGAGATGAAATCAAACGTCAATTTATGTGCTTGATATATATTCTCAGATTAAATCATCTGTGTATAGGTATATGATTTCATGTAATAGTACGTGATCGTCAGATTCCCATTTCCAATATGAGAGGACAAGATTTGCCGGTGGAAGACCACTCGAATCCCCTTTATGGGGCAGCCGACCAAGAATCTCTCCATTTTATAAGCCGAGGACTAAAATTTTTTCTGAACAAAATTTTGCTCCAACATCTTGGGAAAACTTTCTTGGAATGCTATGCAAAAAATGATACCATGCCACACAATGTGGCTGTCCTAAGAAATGATACAAGGTAAAGGTTTGTTTTAGTTGCTTCTGCAAATTACATGAAGCTGTGAAATGAATCTTTCAACAGGGTCGTCAAATTCTTTGAGAAATAATAATAGAAGATTCTAACAGATAAACATCTGTTGGGCTATCTTGAAGTGATTATGGACCACTTTTACTCTACCCTTTCAAACCCTTGACTCATATCCTTTACTATTATTAAAGGAAAAAAAATGTTTTTTCTGTGCAACATTACCGGTAGATTCAAAGCAGAAGAGTAAACCGTAAGCCCACGCAAACATTGAGAAAAAGTGTTTCTACGATAATGAAAGCTCTTGAAAGCCATGCAGCATAAATTCTATGGTTTTGATGGTTTCATTTGGAATATATTTTAACCAGGAGTTTTTACAGGGGATAATTCTGTGGGCATTTTATTGTTTGACATCAATTCAGCTAACTATTCATATACTTACTCGTATCATATTGCTGCAATAGTAAAAAATTCTAAAGTTATTTTCTTCAGTTTCTTTTATCATTTGCGTTGCACCATTTATGTGGATTAAATTAGTCCTCAATTATTCTCATTCCTACTGTCTTTCTAAATTGTATGCAATTCAAAGTTCAGATTGAATGAGGATTATGGACTTGAGATAACCCACCCACAGTACTTGTACTACTTGGGAACTTTTTTTTTTTTTTTACTTTCTTTTCTTTTCTTTGGCTAATGCTTCATTTGGATGATCGATGGAGATCCAGTCCCAAAACCACGCGATGATGCGTTAGAAATCTCTTTTCATCTGCCACCCAAATGAAGCCTAAGCCGGAACGAAATTTATTGATAGATTAGGATTGTGGGGAAACATCACAGAACATCCTAGAAAATACAGAAGTAGGCGGCTAGCTATTCCTCATCTCCTAAATTTCACCTTCTCTCCAAAGTTAAGAAGGAATCATGTTAGAAAAGTTTTCCCCCTTTCTGGTCTGTTTAATTAAAACTTTAAATTCAGAAACTTGAAGATATTAAACTTTATAGCAGAAGGAATTTTTCATCTGAAAACAAGTCCTAAGTATACTTTATTATACCTAAAATACACAAAACACACGCTTAAAGCTCTGCAGCTGCGTTTTGCTATCAGATGCAAAGGCAAACTGCAGCTTAATTACATATTAGTAGTATAATATATAGATATATCTAAGTTGTCAATATAAGGTGCACTTTGCCTTGGTAACATTCCAAGACATATGTGACAAGCTTGTCAAGCTCTTCCTCACTGATGTACCCATCGCCGTTTTTGTCAGCCATCTGAAACGCACGATAAGTTCTGTAAGCAGGAAAACGAGATTGAAGCCTTCGGAAACCTGCCTTCACCTCTTCCCAGCTAAGCTTTCCATCGTTGTTGACATCGCATCTCTTGAACAGGCTCAGTATCAGAGCACGCTCAGCTTGTGAAGATGTTGGTATCCTTTTATCTATATTACAACGGACTTTTTCAACAGCCATAAGGAAGAAATTTGTAATATTATTTGCTCGGTGTAAGTTTAAAATGAATAGCTACAACATTTGTTTATATAGTCACAACTCTGCACCTTAATTTTAGCTTTTTTGTTTGTTTATTAATTTGTGAGCTACTAAGAAATTTTCTTGGGTGCTTCTCAATCTAGATATTCATGTCCGGTGTGAATTTATTTTTTCTTTACTTAAGCATTTGTTGAAGGAATCACCTTTTTTTTTTTGGGAGGGAATCCCATTCTAATGGGTTAGCATCATCATTCGCTAAGTAAGCGAATAATTTTAGTTTGATGTCAGCAAATTAATCACCAGTTTTTAGGTTCCCACCAATCCCAAATTATGTGATAAATTGATTATAAAGAACAAGCTGCCAAATTAAAGAGGATAATGTACAAAGGTATACTTATTGATTAGTCCAATAATGTAATGGTTAGGTTGCTTTGGTAAGTCAATTTGATAAATCTTAATAATTATAAAAATAAAATATTTATTGATAAATTAAAAATATAATAAATAATAATATTCATTTTCATCGATTCAAATGATTTTCACAGTACTTTTATATATAATATAATATTACAGATTATAAATAATTTTTTATAATATTCAAGTGAGTAATCTCATAGGAACTTGAAATAAACCATTTATATATATGGGCAAGTAATATTAATTGTATCATGTGCTTAGCAAACAATTGTAAACTTATCATGTCAAAATTTATTTGCTTTTAATTCATTGATAAAGGCAATTTACACATTATTTTTCAGACATTTATAAAGGCAAAGGTACATCAAAGTCCAGCAGAAGGCCAGGGTTCTTCTTCTAGTTTCTCTCTGCAGCTTTTAAGTACAGAAATTGCTACAGTAATTAATGCAAAAAAAAAAAAAAACTTTGAAATTGGTAGGGAGAGCAAAAAGATTTCCCTTTGTCCCTTGCCAGTTGCCATCAATTATTTATGAAATGGTGTAACCACATTGCCAGACGTATTCAACAAGATCATCCATCTCTTCGTCGCTTATGTACCCATCTTTATTGTCATCTGCACGATTAAGCGCTCGGCTAGCTCGCCACTTGGGGAAATGCGAGCCAATGTAATTGAAGGCATCCTTAAGCTCTTGCTTGCTTAGGCGGCAATCTCCATTTCTGTCAAAGCTCTGAAGTATCTGCTTCAATTGTACCTTAGTCAAAGGCACAGGCGCACACTTGCAGCCCTTATACCTTTTTTTCTTACAATTGCAGCAATTCTTGAGGTCATTAATCTTAGGCAAATCCACTGAACTATGCATGATATGAAGTGTAATATATTGGTGGTATAGGTGAGAAAAGGCTTGTTTTGTGGTAAATAAAAGCTTAAACTAATGAAGTGTTTATATAGGCATAGAAGTCTACCGTGATCTTCAGTCAATACAGGATAAATGGGTTGAAAGGAACAGGAAAAAAAGATAAAGAATTGGGTATTTTCCAATGTGCCATTTATTCTTTACAGTCAGTTTTCCAACATGTATTTGAACAGAATCCTCAGTACATGCATGATATTTAATCTAGACTTGGAAAATTCAAAGTCTAAATTGGAATTTTTGGTAGTCGCTTTTTATGTTCTCACTGGTACAATCTAGAATACACAATTAAACTGAAAAGCTTAAATTTATTAGTGGACAAATAGTGTATCCCAATAACAAGATACACCCTATAAGACATAACTGAGTATCTTTTAAACTATAGTACTCTTCTAAATTGTAATGATCAAACCAATTATCAATCTGTATGCTTCATATCCTTGGAACAAACAATGTGATATATAGCAGATACCAGGGCAATAATAGAGACAAAAACCACAGTACTAAGATTAGCAGCAGGTGGAAGACCAGGTGAATATAAAGGACTAATCATGGGGGGAAAATCTGATCAAATTAAGCATCTCTTGATCGAGTTTTGATGTTTGTGATATTTAAAAGAAAACTCAAGTGTTTAGTTATTAGTGGGAAAAGAGAGACCAATGACTTGGAGCTTTTAAGAAGCCTAATCTTGTTCATTTTGGAAGGAAAAGAGGATGCTTTATGGTGAATAAAGCAGTAAAAGCATGGTCCATTGATGCCGTCCAAAGATTTGGGAATTTACTTTAATTACCGTGAGAGATTTTCACTACGATTCATATAACAAACTAGAATAAAGAATTTTTTTTTTCTGTTGAGAAATGCGAGGAGATAAGCATATCCAAATTCGATGGATTTTATTAAAGCAAGGCATTTATCTTAGTTTATCTTAAACGATGTGTTAGCAAAGAATAACTTTCTGATTATTTTCAGTTCTAAAAGCTAAAATTAACCTCGCATCTGAATCTAACATATTGGCCAACGATATGAAAATGATAAGAACGATATACCTGCTCAACTAGGCCAAACCAAATGCATGTGGATAATTATTTCATTCTGATTTAAGCTTATCTAAAGATGTGGGTGGGGCGGGAGTGGTCGGTGGCTTGCTGTGAAAGGAGATAGATGGATCATCTTTGGGAAGATGTCACGATTTCATTATAAACAAAGCAAATTAACTAACATTGTTGCATGTTGAATATCAACTCCATTGGACAAGTTCATGATCAAGTTGTAAAAATGTTGTTGTTCCAGCAATATTGTAGAGGGAGTAAAGTATTAAGAGACAATTTCACATGCAAAGTGATCAGATTCTACTCCCTTTTAGACCTCCTCCCTGACCATAGACAGTGCTAAGCTGAAGTAGTTATGTTGGGTCATTTGCATTTGCCAGGAGTCTTTGAAATTTCTTTTCTCCTCTTTTTTGGAGCTTTTTCTCTGGCCTAGCTAATGCCAATCCAATTTAGATTGAATATTGGTTAATCTTTTCTGATGCATATTATAAGACAGTAATAGGAGCTGATCTTCATCCAGAGATATTGTTGAGGATTTGAAAATCTAAATACTTGTACTTCATTTATCTTCTAATATTTTGGAATTATGTTTTTTTTCATTTTTAAATACTTTAACCTTTTACAATTTTATATTTCATACTTTTTTTTTGGGTTTTTTTTTCACTTTATATCAATTAAGGAAAAAAATTAAAAAGATATTGCTTACATCCATATTTCTCTTGCTAAAAGGTACATGTATAATATTGAACTACAGATCCATTACAGTGGCAGATTACAAATACACAACCTATTCACCACACCAGAAAACATCTAAAAACAGAAAATAAAAAAGAACAGGCTAAGATGAATATACACAAATTAAATTACTTTTCATCTTAGCTTTTCTGGGCTATAGCAAATCTTTCCTTCCCTTTTCTGGCCAAAACCAAAGCTAGCAAACACCATCTAGTCTAATCTGCAAGGGAAGAAGGAAGCAGCTACCAAAACTATTTTAACTCTTGTAAGTTGTCAGTCTGTCACTTTGAGTTGTTGATTGATCTATTTGAATATGTAACCGCGTTTCAAAGTATATTTTACAAGTTTCTCAAACTCTGCCTTAGTGATGTAGCCATCACGGTCGGTATCTGCATGATGTAGCGCTAGCAACGCTCGCACGGTAGGCATACGTGAACCCAGGCTGGCAAAGGCGTCTATAAGCTCTTGCTTGCTAAGACGGCCATCATTGTTAGCGTCATAGCGATTAAAGATACCCCTTACCTGATCCTCAGTTACGGGCACCGCTGCATGCTTTTCCTCGCTTACTGCAGGCGGCCAAGGTGCAGCCCTTCGGCAAGCTTTATCGATATCTTTAGGAACAGAAGTGTCATTGATGTTTTGGTTTGAAATGATTGAACTTAGGATGTGGATCATAATAAAAACTAATTAAGTTACAAAGAAACAAAAAGGAAGGCTAAGAAGATTAACTACTTCTTGGTTTCTTGCTGTCTGTGTTGTGAATGAATTAACAGGCCGGATATAGATATATAGTACTTAGAAAGTAACACTACAGTCCAGATGCCTTGAAGAAATAATTTAGGAAATAAAGTATGGAATAAAGGATTAGAAAGTTATCTTTGCTTTACACCAGAAAAAGTAGTATATATAGTAGATTTAATTTAACAAAATATTATTGTTCTTTTTTACATGAAAATATATGTACTACACAACTTACTAATTGTAGTTTAAAATTATAAGAGAAATACAAATAAAGCTGAGAACAGCTAGCTAGCCAGGAATTATAGCAAATTATAAACTACCTAGCTGATGTAAAACCCCCATCTCTTTGTGGCGTATTTGATCAGTTCATCCATCTCTTCATCACTAACAAGTCCATCTCCATTGGCATCTGCATGGCGGATCGCTCTTCCAGCTCTCCAACTACTGAAACCAACGCCGAGGCTACGGAAGGCTTTCTTTAGCTCAATCTTGCTCAGCCGACCGTCTCCATTAGTATCATATCTCTTCAGCAGACCCCTCACCTGCTCCTCTGAGAGGGGTAAACATGGAGTCCTTCTTAGTATCCATACAGCCATTGTTTCCAACTTAATTATAGCTCTATTTGGCCGTTGAGTCTGGAGGGAAAGCAGCTTAATTCTATATATATACTGAAATTAATAAGAGATTAATTATTGGATAATGAGGGACTAATGCTTATCCTTTTTTTTTTTGGTGCAAAGATTAATGCTTATCTTTACTCCCCTCTTTTTGAAGGATCATAAATATAAGTAGGACAGGAGCCATCTTTTATTAGAGCTTAGAAGTTAGAATTACAAGCCTTGGTTTAGGGCAAAAACTTGCTTTAACTAACTATGGCAGGTAGAATTCATGAGGCTTCTTTTCTTGCTTGTGTTGTAATCTAAGATTCTCCTTAACCCTCTCAAAGATTATATTCTCTCCGTCCAAAGTAAGTAATTACTATATACATCCTTATTCATTGAGTTTGATTTTAAAATTTGTATTTGATATATTGTTATTATATAAATTATATATATTATTAATAATTCGAATGATATCATCTCAATTATCTTATTTACTGATGATAATATATTAAATATTTATATATCCATTTATTATTAGCTTCTTTTCATTTGTTAAAAAAGAAAACCAACTTAGAGAGATAGATAAAGAAAAACCAGCATAAAAAAAAAAAATCGAGAGTGTGCAAAAAGAAGACATATTGGCCTCATCAAGGGATCTTAACCAACTCGAATATCTCTCTCTCTCTCTCTCTCGTTTGGTGGTGGATGAATAAAGAGAACATAGTCAAATGGAGCTTAGCTTTGAAAGAATTTGTTATTCTTGTTTCGTGTCAAAGATGGTCTTCTACAAGGCAACTGAACCAAAAAAAATAAAAATAAAAATCTTTAGCATATAAAACGTTTAAATTGAGACCTTCGCTTTTGAAATCGATTTCAATAACATTAAATTAACAGTTCATTTTCGAAATTGATTTGATAAAATTGAATTAACAGTTCATTGTCGCATATAAAACAATACTTACTAATAATATTGATGGATCAGAAATTCAAAATAAATACAAGCAACAACAGATGTTATAGATATATCAACATTTATTTTTATTCTATACAGTTGGAATTCCATGTCAGCACTGGCCTCAAGTCTCGATACTTATATTAACATTTATTTTTATCAAATTTATATGAAAAGCATCCTCTTTAGCAATATGATTATAAATACCAAGTTTTTTCATCTGATTGTGTCTGCATTTTCCTCTAAGTTTATTTAATATTAAATATAGATATAATTATTCATGTATTTATATTTTGTAAAATATTAAAATTCATATTTTAATATCGTATTTTATACGAAAATTATATCGTATAATTCGTGTCGATACAAAAACATGTAATATAATTTTTTTATTTTATTAAACTTATATATAATTATTATTACAATTTTAAATTTATCATTTTCAGATCTTATTTTTTTATCGTATTCGTATCATATTTATGTTTGTGTATCGTGTTTTAAATTATTGAGTCTAATTAAATTTTCATGATTTTTAAAAGTGTGAATAAAGTCCAATCCAACAACTCAGTTCTCAAATTGGGCTAAAGCCCACAAGTAACTGCCAAAAACGAATTGGACCGTGGAAAGCCACCGTTAACAAAAAAAAAAAAAAAAACAATTTTCAAGTTCATAACTGCATTATTATTTTTTTTCCCCTCAGAAAAATGGAATTCCCAAAACCTCCCCCATTTCCCTCAAACCCTCTCTTATCCCTCTCCAGCTTCATCCACCGTCTCGGCGCTGAGCTTGCTAACCGCCTCCACCACACTAACCATCTTGCTGCTACCTTCGCTCTCGGTTTTTCCCCGCCGGTGACTTTCCGCCATCGTCCGCTCTTTGCGTCAGTTTCCGAGCCGAAGGCTGCGGCAGCTACAGCGGCAGCTGCGACATTGAGTCCTGAGCAGGTTGCCAAAACTCTATGCGGAACCGCGGTGTACACAGTGAGCAACTCCAACAATGAGTTCGTGCTTATCTCTGATCCCAATGGAGCCAAGTCTATTGGCTTGCTTTGCTTTCGCCAAGAAGACGCCGAGACGTTTCTTGCTCAGGTTAGTCAAAATTTTTAAATTTAGAGCAAAGTTCAAAGCTTTTTTTGTTGATTTTTTTTCATTTTGTCATAGGTTCGATTACGGAGAAGTGAGCTGAGAAGTAATGCTAAAGTAGTACCAATTACACTTGATCAGGTGAATTGATTTTTACTATAATTACTGGTTTATCATTTATGTTATAGAAATAAAATGTTAACTAAAATTGGATTGGAAATAATAACATTGATTTTTATGATTACTGGTTTTATAATTATATTATAGGTATATTCACTGAAGGTTGAAGGAATTGCATTTCGTTTTCTACCCGATCCGGTTCAAATAAAGAATGCATTAGAGGTTAGTGTTTCATGCAATTTGGTTTTAGGTTGTTCTTGAAAGGGAAAAATGGTCTTCCAAATCTCAACTGATTGTGGGCATTGGACATGACATTATCCCAAAAATAGTTTAACATTGCTGCTCAATGATGTAGACTTATTTCATTTAGATTGTGTTTGTTGCCATTTTTTATAAGGAATTTTAAGACAATGAAGAAAAAAAAAAAAAAAAACAGAGGTTCCGATTTTCATGTAGGAGTAAGAGAGTGATTGTTGGGTGTCAATTTTTATTTGGACTGGGTGTTGGGTGCTTAGACAAGATAGCAATGCTTCAAATGGAGTTGTGACAATGATTCGTTCATACTTGAATGAAGATATTATCTTTCTTAGTTGGAGAGTTTTACACCATTGCTCACAATAGTTTTGCATGTTTATCAGCTGAAAGCTAGTGCTATCAAAAGTGCGTTTGATGGAGTTCCTGTTTTCCAGGTATGGTATTTTTTATTAAATGCATATGATGTCTTTGAGAGTGGAAATATAGCTAAAAATTTTCAGCTTGGATAGTCCTTTCGTTTAGCATTGCATGCGAAACATGAATGGCTAGTGGCTATCCAAAGCATATTTATGTATGTCTATGGTTTCACATTATGGCCGTATTGTATTTTTCCCTTGAATCTCTAGCATTTTTTCTGTATTAGCAATAGAATAAAGGTGTAGAGACCCTCATATTGTTGTTGTTAAATAAGGAACCATTCCCAACATTATTTTAATTTGATGAAATAGAACATTTTCTTTCTCCACAATTTCTGAAAGATATTGCCACTTTTAGTGTGCTGTTTTTATACCAGGAGTGCATGAAGGACGTGAACTGTGATAATAATTTCTATATTACTACAAGTCAATGTTAGATCTCATTTTGTATTTAATGTCTTTGTCTACAGTCTGACCTTCTTGTTGTGAGGAAGAAGAACAAACGTTTCTGCCCAATATATTTCAATAAGGTTTACTTGATCTATCAAGTTGTTATAGATGTCGTTTTCTTGCTCTGTATGTATTTAAAGATAATAGTTCAACATGACTTAGTTTCTATTATTTGTTTGTTATTGTACAGGAAGATATTGAAAAAGAACTTTCAAAGGTTTCGAGGGCATCAAAAGGACCTGGTGTTTCTCAACATATCATGGTATCATTTATATATGCCTGTCTTGGGCATTCGAATTGTATTATGCACGCATGGATGAGTGATTGCATGCAAAAGTTTATGGAGATTGCATCTGCTCTTCTATGCTTTTAGCTCATACACATCACCCCCCCTCTCCTTAACACTTTCAATAGTTCCATCTTTCTATACTTGCTTTTTAAAATGGAATGATTTTCGTTTTTGGTTTTGCTTTTCTTTCTATTCATTTAATCCGATCTGTTTGAGCAGGTTGGAAGCTTGGAAGATGTTCTGAAGAAAATGGAGGTATATGATCTAATTGCTTAGTTTTATGTAATATTTACATTATGGAATCTGAGTGTTCCTCTTTGTTTTGATGCAGATGAGTGAGAAAAGCTCGGGCTGGGAGGATCTGATATTCATTCCACCTGGTAAAAGCTGTTCTCAACACATCCAAGACGTGGTGAAAATATGAGTACAACAGGCAATATGCATTTTATTTCCGACTGTCCATTTGGTAACATAAACAATTCAATTACATCAACTCAAAGCTCTTGAATTGGAGTCTGGGATGGGAGAGATAGGATTTATGTGATCGGAGTTTGCTACCTCCTTTTGTGTAGTCCAAGATCCAATGGGTTCTCCATGTGTTACCCAAAAAAAAGGTAAAAGGAAAACCTAGTAGTTATGGCCATTGATATGCATCTATACATTTGAATGAGGAAATTATTAAAAAAGCATTAATATGTGGAAAGGATTTTGGTTGATATACCACAACTACCAGTTAGAATTGACAATTGTCTCGACTTTTAATTATAACTGTTGGATTTCTTCATCATCAAGGAAAAGTGTTAAGAAAAGGTAACAGAGAATATCTTTGCACATTGTTTGCAAAAAATGAGTCTTAATTCCCACATAAATAAACTGTAAGTCTCGATGTATGATGCAAAGCGACCAAGAATCTCCTCTTTCCAAGTGTTTTTTTATGCCTTTTCCCCTTCTCCCTTTTGATTTGTTGGTCTCAAGTACCCATGCTTCACAGCTTCAGGGTCTGGAGATGGGCTTGTTCTCAAAACGGTCAGTGATGGTTAAAGGAAAATGTTGAAGGCCCCAAACCCTAGTTTGTAATTATCAATAACCTGACACTTGGGGGCCAAAATTTTGATAGTTCGCCTTTCATTTAGGCTTTGGTCGTGTACTAAACTGCCTTTGAAATCATTTCAGATGAGCTGTTATAACACCGATGGCCAGCCTAACTCCTGTTTAAATCTTCACATATCATTTAACTTTTTGATTCATTATATAAATAAATAAAATAAAAAAGGGCGAACTGCAAATAAGAAAGCAGATATTGGCAGAGCCTGGCATATGTATTTCAGTAACGGCCGAAAGAGACATTTTCCAATTGCATGTAGGAAGTTGACAGGGAAACCAAATAGTTGTTGGCAGTCCTGCTTAACTATCCATTGAAAAAAATTCCTTTTGTGATTATTCAACTAAATTTCTCATCCATAATGTCACTTTATTTATTTTTTAACCCCCTTATCTTGGCATTATTTCATCTCAAATGTTCAAATTAATCAGTAGCTAAAAAAGTTGACAAGATGATTATATATATATATATATATATATTTTTTTTTTTGGGTAAAAAAATTCGGAGTAGATAAATTATTTAATTTTTCAGATCAGAACAGAATGTATCATATCTGATAATTTAAAATAAGTAATTATAAATCGTATATTTGATATGACTTCAACAAACGATCACCAATAGAATTTGAATTTAAAATTTTTTTATCGAGGTGAATGAACTTTAACAAAATGAGCCATGATTATTAGCTATGCCGTTTTAAAGTAAAGTTGAACGATCGGAAAAAGTTGGGAAAGAAGCGGTTGCGACCTTTTGTTGGTGAGATTGAGTAGATGATTTATGCTTCATTTCATTTTTATGAAAATGGAAAAGGTACAACTTATTGTACAAGTTTGTACTTAAATGCACCAAGAAAGGGTATGTTGGGAAGTAAGGGGAAATTGCCTAGAAAATATTAGCACCAAAATAATGAGATTAAATATATTATGTTATGTTTATTTTGTGTTAAAGATATATAAAATATGAAAATTATTATGTTATAATTCATATTAATATATTGATTTTAAAATATATATTTTTAATTTTTTTAAAATTCATATAAATTTTTATTAAAATTTTAAATTATGTTATTTTTACATTTTTTTTATTATTTTTGTATCATATCTAAAATTATTAAATCAACTCAAAAAAGAATTTTTTAAATGATCCTACTTCTTTTGAGTTTTACTCTAAATTTCACTTTCTCTTATTAATCTCTTTAACTATCACACCTGAAATCCTTTAAAAATTTAATCATTATAATTCATTGTTGTACTTTAATTTTAAACTATAAAAAAATTGTTATGATTATAATTATACCTACATATATATATATGTATATATATATATATATATTTTTTTTTTTTTGAGTTCACATTTGGGGTAGGACACCATTGCTCAAGGATGGGTGAAGGACTTGGTTTTCATAAAACCATCAAGGCAACTCCTTCAAAAGCTTTGGTTATCAGAATCAACCTGGTTTTTTTTGCGTTTTTTCTGGTTATCCATGCATCAATTCTTTTGGGCCCATCTTCTTCAGTCTATTTTCAGAATGCAGCATGGCTTGTTGGATGCTCCTCGCGTGAGTGCCATCATAAGGTAAGGTGAGCTGACTCAAATTCAATATTGTTTTCTTTAATTATAATGCAACAGATGTTAGTTTCCATATAAGATTTGTTTATCTGTTCTCTGGTATTTCATATTTGGTGAATGTGATTGCTATAGGTGGAAAAAGGGGTGAAGATGGAAGCAATTTGAGAACATACTGAAGGCCTTGAACCAAAGCCTAAGAGAAATTTGACCATGTTAGAGGTGCCAAGTTTCATTGATGATTTTGGAGGAGGATTGAAGATTGGGATGGTAAACTTTGAAGATGAGGATTATAGTGAAAGGGAAAAAACATGGAGAAACAATTCCAATACATTTCGAGCGAGTCTCAGAGCTTTTAGAATGGCAACATCTGTTTCCTGAATGGATTGATGAAGAGGAAGAAATAGAAGGGCCAAGGTGCCCTGAGATGCCAATGCCAGCCTGCAACAAGTACGATAACATAGACTTGATAGTGGCGAAACTGCCATGCAAGTACCCAGTAGACGGATGGGCTAGGGACGTGTTCAGGCTTCAGGTTCACCTGATAGCAGCAAACCTGGCAGTTAAAAATGGGAAAAGGGATTGGAATTGGAGGACAAAAGTGGTTTTCCTGAGCAAAGTGCAAGCCAATGTTAGAGGTGTTTCAATGCAATGATTTGGTGAAACAGGAAGGGGAGTGGTGGTACTATGAACCGGCAGTAGCAAGTTTAACACAAAGTTTCTTTGCCTATTGGTTCCTCCAAGCTGGCTTTGCCATCACGGGGACAAGGTGTGATCCTAATTCCTATTTCTGTTTCTGTTTTTGCTTGTAAATTTTCTTGCATTAAGAAAAATGTTTAGTTCAGAAACCAAGCATAAGTAGAAAACAGTAAGCGCGCCAGGTAGGGGTCGAACCTACGACTTTCTGCTTAGGAAACAGACGCTCTATCCACTGAGCTACAGGCGCCAGATGTTATATGGTGTTTTCTAAATTTTTTTCATCATATAAAATGAAGTTCCACTAAACCCCATTTTTTCCCTCCAGAATTTCTTCAGCACTTCTGTTAAAAATTTCAAAGAATATTATAGTAACTGAGCTTTCTGCAAGTAGTCGAAGAACAAAAGTTGGCAGACGAAAATGAAAGAAGGAAAAAAAAAAAAAAAGAAAGAATGTAATTAGGGAGAGGAATAGCTGGCGTATTGATGTTTCTATAATTAGCAAGTAGTTATGCTTTTGTTTCCTTTTTGTTTTCTTTCATATATTTATATATAAATTGCAGCTGATATATATAGTTATCACTCAACTTTACTTGCGGCAATTCATAAATTTGATGAGCCTTAACTAATATAGTTTGGTGATATTTGAAGATATATATGGTACACTTATCTAAGCACCAAAGCAATTTGTGATTCCATTGATTATTCACTGGTTAATGACAAGAAGGAAATGAACTAAATTCCAGGAAACGATGAAGTGTTTGATGTGTCGAAGATCGAACAGGCAACAAAGAACGCCAAGCGTGAAGCCTATGCCACAGTGCTGCATTCTTCTGAAGCATACGTCTGCGGTGCCATAGCCCTTGCCCAAAGTCTCCTAAAAACCGGCGCCAACCGTGACCTGATCCTTCTCCTAGACAGGTCCATCTCTGAACCAAAGCGCGACGCTCTCGAGGCAGCCGGCTGGCAGCTTCGCTTTATCAAAAGAATCCGAAACCCTCGAGCTGAAAAAGACTCCGACAATGAATACAACTATAGCAAGTTCAGGCTCTGGCAGCTAACGGATTATGACAAAATCATATTCATTGATGCAGACATCATTGTTTTACGAAACCTTGATCTCCTTTTCCATTTCCCTCAAATGACAGCTACGGGCAACGATGTTTGGATTTTTAATTCGGGTATTATGGTGATCGAGCCATCAAATTGTTCATTTGAACTTTTAATGAACAAACGTAAAGAAATATTGTCGTACAATGGAGGGAACCAAGGTTTTCTCAATGAAGTCTTCGTTTGGTGGCACCGTTTACCAAGGAGAGTGAACTTTCTCAAGAATTTTTGGTCCAACACCACCGTTGAAACTGCTTTAAAGAACCAGCTTTTTGCAGCTGACCCACCAACTTTATGCGATTCATTACTTGGGATTGAAGCCTTGGCTTTGTTACAGGGATTATGATTGTAACTGGAACATAGGGGATCAACGTGTTTACGCCAGCGATGTGGCCCGTCAGAGATGGTGGAAGTTTCATGACGCCATGGATGAGAAGTTGCAGAAGTTTTGTGGGTTAACAAAGCAAAGAAAAATTGAATTGGATTGGGATAGAAAAATGGCTGGAGAGGCTGGGTTCAAAGATGAGCATTGGAGGATCTATATTAAAGATCCAAGACGAAAAAATTTGATCGAATAGAAATTTGTGATGTTTCTTTCTTTCAATTTCCTTTTTTCTGATAAATATTTTTGTTAATTTCCTTTGTAGGAACACATAATAGCGAGATGTTTTTCCATATAATTTATGTGTTGATAGTTATACCTCATATATTATTTGTATGAGACATTGGTTACAGCCGTACAGGTTACTTTGTACAATATTTGCAGCAGAGAATTTACTTGATGCTCCATGTTTTACTTGAGCCTCACAGCTCCTTGTAGATGGTGAAGAACACAAAGACATCAATGAGAGCTACATTTTTTTTTGGGTCTGAAAACCAACTTACATTTCTCTGTAAGTGGTTGCTTTTACCAGTGATAGAATGTAGAAATTAGAAACAACAGGGACAAGAATTCCCATATGAAGTTGAATTAGGGTAGTTATAATTGTACATAGCTTGAAGAAAATAAATAGTGGGATTGTGTTCAAATGCAAGTTTCAGCCATTGAACAGAGGACTTCAATTGCCATCATTCGCTGCAAAAATAAGTTTAATTAGTTCCTTTTTCACTTTGTTCTCTTTGATTGCTAGTCTAAACCACCTGAGAGATTATTCTCCTGGAAGCAGGGTCTCAAGAAATTTGATTGTTTGGGTGCCAGCCCTGGCAATCATTGGAGATGATGGTGATTATTTGTTGGTACACCTCACGATCACGAAGCCGTATATATAAATGGCATTTTAGAGGACATGACCTTGGGTTGGGGTCAATGGTGGCGTTAGCTTAGAGGCAGATAGGGCCAGGTGTGGTGATATTGGTTGAGCTTGCTGCCGTTGTCAACTAAAATATATTATAATAATACGATATAAATATAAAATATAAAAATAATATTATTTAAATTTTGAATAATAATTATATTTAAATTTAATAAAATAAAAAATTATATTTTATATTTTATATAAATTATAATACATAATTTTTATATAAAATATAATAAAAAAATATAATATTTTATTTAATATAAATATATGAATTATTAAATTTATTTGGTGAGGCAAAATGCGCCTAAAACATAGATGTTCTATGTTTTCATCGGTTCCTTTCTTTTCTTCCGCCACTGTGACTGCCGACAACTTTCTCTTGGACACAACAACAACACCGGCAACATCGGGATTCATGTTTTTTTTTTAGTTTACATCATCCCCAAACTCTCACGCAAACCTCGCTCTTTGGCTCGCACTTAACCCAAAATCAAACCATGGAAGCTTCTTTCGACTGGATTTCCTCGACCTCCTTTGACGTCATATTTTGGGGCCCACTCTCCAAAGCTTCAGGGGCTCTTCTGTCATTCTCTCTCCTTTGTCTTTCCTCGTCAATGGTTATGGTCGACACATGATGCACGGTGCCTTTAGCAGCGGATTGTGGTCAAAACAACTTTTTTTTTCTCATCCCAGATGAGAGTCCCTCAAACAGAGCACAATTATTGTCCATCCAACAAACCAATCCCCCCTTTTATAAAAAAAAATTTCCCAATTCAGAATTTAAAATAAAAAATAAAGATAACAAAAGAAAAAAGAAAAAAAAAAATCCACATAGAGAGAGAGAGAGAGAGAAAAGAATACAGATGGATATAGTCTGTAAGAATAGGCGAGATAGGCACGTGTGTTCTCCCTTTTTTTTTTTTTTCTATTTTTCTAATTTTAGGACTAAAATTTATCCATCCTTTTATTTATTTATTTATTTTTATTATTGATATTTATTTTCATTTATTTTCTCCCCATAATTTCGTGTCTTAAATTTTCAGAGATCACTGATAATCGCTTCCGTTCCACTATTTGTCTCTTTGCTTCTGGTTAATCCGGGTCAGTTCCTTTCCTTTCTTTCCTCTCTCTCTCTCTCTCTCTCTCTCTCTCTCTTTTAAAGAACTCGATTAATCATCTTACCATTAATTTCTGTTTAATCGATGCTTTAGTTATGAATTAAGAGGCAAATGTTGTGGTTTTTTTTTTTTTGTGGAAATGAAGTTCTGAGAACTTTGAAATTGCTGGCGTTTGAGTTGGATGAATTCATTATAACGTTGACTTAAGTAATCAATCTTACTTTCTTGATTAATTTTCCATTTTTGCTATGTTTAATTGCAAAAACAATTGACAATTCAAATCAATTATGGCTTCTTAATTAATAGAGTAGCTTCATTTGCCTGCCGTGAGCTTCCATTAACCTTTTTTAATTAATTTTCTGTTTTTTTTCGCAGAACTTTAGCAATTAAATACAGGATTAGCAAATTTTATAGATAATAATTGATCTTCTTATCTCAAAATATTGTTTTGATTATGGATTCTTTCGAAAAGAAGCAAATTTGATTTGAAAATACTCATAAAAATCTTTAATAATGATTAAATTATGGTAGTATGTTCTGCCAGTCTGCTCATAAAAAAATAGAAGGGATTGAAAATGGAGAAGCTTCTATTTATGAATTTGGATTATATTTTAATGCGTCCTAGAGTGTCCCTATTAATTAGTGAAATTTTTGGGATTGAGTTTAAATTTCGATCAATGTAAAAAGGTTTATTTTGTTATTAGATATTTGGAATTGTTGATTCTGTGTTCTACACAGATGAATGATCTAAGAAACGTTTGTTTGCTGATTAAAATGATAGTTAGTGTCGTAGACAGACACGCTAATTTGCGGGGCTGAACTTAGCCTGCATCATTTAATGGGGTTCTGGTTTTGACGTTTGTAGAGATTTGGGATAAAAATTGGAGTATATTTTTTCTATTTAATTGAAAATTTTGAATATAGTAGCCAAAAAGGGGGCTTTTGCATGAAATTAAATTTGATGAGCTGTTGAACATTTGCCCCCATTAATGTTATTTGAAATTTTTGGTTCATTCCTTGATTTGATTAACCATTGTTGAAGTGTTTTCTGATTGAATCTTTAATTAAATATTTGTAGCTGATAAGAAATGGGACACCTAAACTAGTGTTAGCTTAAACATCAAGGGAAAACAAGTTTGAGTTGACATTGTTCTTGCTTTCCTGGTACTGTGTGATTTTTAATGCTTGTTTACTCTTGAATTGCTGATTTCTTTGGTCAAAACTTGCTTTCCACCTCACATATTTGCCTTAAAATGTGGAACTTAGATAGTACTTATCTTATATTGAGGGTCTACTATAATAGAATGCAGTTTTAGGCACTAATTTGTTTTTAGTGAAATTTACTCTGTATGTTAAAGATATAATTGCTGATTTTCATGCTAGCCCTTTTGTCAGGAATTAGATGGATTAGGGCAGTGATTTCTAGTGAGTTTTTTTTTTTTTTTTTTTCGTTCCTTACATGGTTTCTGTTGTCTTGGTTTCAGACACCTTGGTGGGACTACTTGTCATTTTCCTGCATGAAGAATGTAAAAGCAGAAGAGATACCTCGTTCAGAATCTTCTTTATCCTCTATAGATGCTGACCATAGTTCAATTAGTAATGGAACAAAACAACCTGACAGTCATTTGTCAGTAATGGAAAGCTGTAAACCAGCCTCTTTACAAAATGCTTCTGAAGGCCCAATTAGAGGACAAGAAGACCATACAACAGATAGAGCAGCTTCAACTTCATCACTTATCATTGATCAAACTGAGACAGATCATCAGGGTAGACTGAAAGATTCTAGGACTGAGGGAATACATGACAGTTGTGATGAACAGCTATCTCAAAATACTTGTTCTGTTGGCATTTCACGTATTCATACTGAGGACATGAGCGTTCCTCCTGCTTCTAATCCAAAGATCGGAGATTCTGAAAATGACCATGTAGCATCTCCCAGTGAGCTTTCTTTACCCTCTATAGATGTCACCAGGGTTGCTATTGCATCTATACATGGTGTTTGTGATGGCCAGCAATCTCAAGAAGCTGATTCCATTGTCAATTCTTCTGTTTTGAATGGTGACAATGACATGATTTTGCCTTCTGCTTCCTCCCATGAAGTGAAATTGAATGAGCTTACTTCGCTCCTTCCTGAGGTTGGCACCATTGCTGTTGGATCCATTCAAGATGCTTCTGATGAACAACAATCTCAAAATTCTCATTCTGCTCCCTTTGATTCCCAAAGTAATCAACATGTAACACCACCAAACGATTCTACTCAACCCCATCTTATGGTCACCACTGTTGCTGCTGGATCCTTACAAGATACGTTGGATGGACAGCAGAGTCAAGGTGCTGCTTCTCTTGGGAGTTCTCATGTTCTGCTTGATGGTATTATTTCCTCCTCTCCCAAGCTTAGTGACTCTAAGGCGGGAGATGCCAAAAATGGGGATCATGAATCCCAAATCAATGATCTTATTCTGCCTCATCAAAAGATTATCAGTTCTACTGTTGAATCCCCAAAATCTATTAGTCCTAAACACACGAAGCAAGTTGATGTAAATAGAGGTCTTATTGATACAGCTGCACCTTTCGAATCTGTTAAAGAAGCTGTTTCCATGTTCGGAGGAATTGTTGATTGGAAAGCTCATAGAATGCAAACTGTGGAGGTATGTTAGATATATTTATAGCGGTGTTAATATAATCAATGCTACTGCAAATATATTTTTGTCATGTCTTGTGAATACTGTTTATCATGAACTTTGTTCTATGACTTTAATGACCATTGTAGTTTTTTTTCTTTTTTTCTCTGCCTACTTTGTTCGTGTAACTTAAAATTTCTTTTTGGGCTATAGAGACGCAAGCTTGTACAACAAGAACTTGAGAAAGTACAGGAGGAGATGCCTGAATACAAGAAACGGTCAGAGGAGGCTGAAGAGGCAAAGATCCAAGTATTAAAGGAGCTGGACAGCACAAAGAGACTAATAGAAGAGCTAAAGCTAAGCCTGGAGAGAGCACAAACTGAAGAGCATCAGGCAAAACAAGACTCTGAACTTGCAAAGCTCAGGGTGGAGGAGATGGAACAAGGTATTGCTGATGAGGCTAGTGTTGCTGCAAAGGCACAGCTTGAAGTTGCTAAAGCTAGGCATGTAGCTGCAGTTTCGGAGCTGAAATCTGTTAAAGAAGTGTTGGAAGCACTAAGAAGGGAATACGCTTCTTTGATGATTGAGAGAGACGTAGCTATTAAGAAAGCTGAAGAGGCTGTTTCTACTTCAAAAGAGGTTGAGAAGACCGTGGAAGAATTGACTATTGAGCTGATTGCCGCAAAGGAGTCCTTAGAGTCTGCACATGCTGCACATTTGGAGGCAGAAGAGAAAAGGATTGGAGCAGCTATGGCCCGAGACCAAGATAATCATCATTGGGAAAAGGAACTAAAGCAGGCTGAAGAAGAGCTCCAGAGATTGAATCAGCAAATCCATTCAGCGAAGGAGCTGAAATTAAACCTAGAAACTGCTTCAGCCCTGCTACTTGATCTGAAAGCTGAATTAGCTGCTTATATGGAATACAAACTTAAGGAGGAAACCGATGGACACTCCAATGATGAGTCACAGACATCAGAGAAAAGAACTCACACTGATATACAAGTTGCAATTGCTGCAGCAAAGAAGGAACTTGAAGAGGTGAAGCTCAATATAGAAAAAGGAACTGCAGAAGTGGATTGTTTGAAGGTGGCTACTATTTCATTAAAATCAGAGCTTGAAAAGGAAAAGTCTGCTCTTGCCACCATTAAGCAGAGAGAAGGAATGGCTTCGGTTGCTGTTGCTTCTCTGGAAGCTGAGCTGGACAAGACTCGGTCAGAAATAGCCGTAGTCCAGATGAAGGAAAAAGAGGCCAGAGAGAAAATGGTGGAGCTGCCGAAGCAACTGCAGAAGGCTGTACAAGAGGCTGACGAGGCCAAGTCACTGGCTCAAATGGCTCGTGAAGAGCTGCGCAAAGCAAAGGAAGAAGAAGAGCAAGCAAAGGCTGGAGCAAGTACCATGGAGAGTAGATTACTTGCAGCTCAAAAGGAGATGGAGGCTGCCAACGCTTCCGAGAAGTTAGCTTTAGCTGCTATCAAAGCTTTGCAAGAGAGTGAATCAGCTCAAAGCACCAATGATGTCGATTCACCTGCTGGTGTAACGCTTTCCATAGAGGATTACTATGAGCTCAGTAAACGTGCACATGAGGCAGAGGAACAGGCCAACATGAGAGTGGCAGCTGCCGTTTCTCAAATTGAGGTAGCTAAGCAATCCGAGTCAAGAAGCTTGGAAAAACTGGAAGAAGCAAATCGAGAGATGGCTGAAAGAAAGGAAGCACTAAAAACTGCTATGGAGAAGGCTGAGAAGGCCAAGGAAGGAAAGTTAGGTATAGAGCAGGAATTGAGAAAGTGGAGGGCTGAACATGAGCAGCGGCGAAAGGCTACTGAATTGAGTCATGGAGAAAACCCACCAAGGGCAAGTTTTGAAGGAAAGAAAGAAACGAACAACTTTGAACCTGTACCTGTAGCTATACCTGCTACTCCTGCCGGCATTCTAGCAAGTCCAAAGGCACATGTCCATGGGAATAAAACAGAAACTGAATCAGCTAAGGAAGTACAGGTTGTAAAGAAAAAGAAAAAGTCACTGTTCCCAAAGTTTGTCATGGTTTTGGCCAGAAAAAAGACAAATTCATCCAAGTCCACGTAAGTAGTCAATAAAGTGCTGTGTTATATTTGCTGTTGTGATTTTACATCGCCTTTTTTTTTTTTTTTGGGGGGGGGGGGGGGGTTGCCACAGTGGCCATAAATGTTCGATAAGATAGTGACAGATTTTTACTCGAGTGTAAATTCTAGTGATTATTTGATGTATGATAAAGTCGAGAACATATTTTTGCTTACGGGAAAGTATTGCGTATGGGTGGAGGATCTGGAGGAAGTAATAATGATGTTTCTATATAGGCTTTGAGACGCTTGCACGTCAACTCTTGCAAAAGTGATATAAGTTTGTAATGATCAAAGAATTTGGTTTTCTTTGCCTTGTGTTTATTTTACGAAATTTCAAAGCTTTTTTTTTTTTAATATAAAGAAGGCCACTGAGATAGGAAAAAACATTATAGATTTTGGAATTTAAACTCCAATGTCGCAATTGAAGAAACAAATGAATTAAACTTCAGATTTAAAGCTACTTTCTTTGAAAAACAGCAATTGAATGATATCAACTATGAAATTGTATGGATTCTAACTAACAAAACAAAATGAATAACAAAAGGTATGAATTTTACAACAATTTCTTAAGCCATAAGAATTTTACGCCTGATCTCAGATAATGATAGGCATTTGGATGTCATTTTCACCATCTCTGAACTGTGTATCATAAATCTTCGTTTGCATACAGCATATAAACAAAGAGTAATGTTTCATCCTACTAAAGCCAATGACAAAGTTGAAAAAGGCCCACCTTTTACATTCAAGAACTAGAGTTAGCAAGGGTTTGAATAATAGTTTTTTGCCATGGATTTGAAAGGTGCTCCATAAGGTTATCAATTGGACCTGCATGAGTGACATGAGCTTGCACAAAGATGCCGAGCATGGCTATCATTGCCAGTCGTCCTGTATGAGACACTAGGTCTCAGAACTTGTATAAAGGAAATCACAACAGTAATAAGGAAATGATAGTAAGTGAAAGGAAGAATTAGGCAAAACAAACCATTTTTTATCTCTTTAAGCTTCCACTCATGAGCATTTTTAATATCTTTAGCCAGACCAAGAGGGTTTAACAGAGGACCTCCAGGGTAGCTGGGAAGCATGAAATCAAAATGTAAATTTAGCTCTTTGTGAAGTAAGAAGATGATTTTTTTTTTTTCTTTTTGAAAAGATTTTCAAGCTAATGGGTGACAACTTCCTAGAGTTGGGGATAGGAAGGGAAAATTTACCCAGGTTCTAAACCTTCTAGTGAGGCTTCCAATCCGAAGAAAGATCCCTCTTTGGCTTGAGAACCTGGACTAACGAAATCCATGTACCTTTTAGTTTCAACAAACCTGTTCGCATAAATAGCAAGCCAAGAAAAAAAAGAAGGAATTAACCCAAACAAAAATGCAGTGCATATCTAAAGAAGTTGGGAGGTTTTGTTTCGATTGACACAAAAAAAAAATTTCTGCCATGGTATTCTACCCCATCAAAAGCAACTGGACAATTAACAAAGTTCTTGTGCTGGCAAATTCAAATTTCACTGCACCAGCTTCATACCAAACTGGTAAGTTGCGGATCCCTGTAACGCGTAGTAACTGCAATAAAGTCCTAATATGTCATCAAAAATCCGTGATGGACGTTAAAACTGGGAAGTTCAAACAATCCATTTGGAAGAATGCCAACAACAGAAAGCTATTGTGTAAGTAAACAGCACAAATAGTCAAACGTCTCTTCAAGGAATGGAAATATGCCGTGCCCTGGAAGATCGTTTGGGAGACACTTACATCAGTGAAAAGAATTCCAGCAGCTCCAGCCATTGCAAAGCGAGCATGGACCAACTCTGCCTGAACGTACCACTTCAAACTCTCTGGGTCTTCTCCAAGCCCAAGTGGGTCAAACCCATAATCTCCGGCCAAACTGGATTAGAAAAAAAATAAAAAGAAAGAAAAAAACTTAGAAAAAAAGGTTTTCATGTTGTTACGAAATTCTATTGTCTAGAACTTTTCCTGTGGGCTAGTGGCTCACGTTCCATCCAGATAGGGCGGAGGGTCAAGTCCAGGGAGCCAAGTTGGCCGCCGCTGGGCTTGAACTGCAATCTGTCCATAGCGTCGAGGGGCAGGAGTTGACCAAAATGAGCTTCCTGCACCCAATGAGGGTTTGTATATTTTGTTAGGAAAGAAGGATGAGTAGCAAGGCTGAACAAGGAAGCCTCTTCCAAGTGTAACGGCCATTGCTTTGTTTTCTGTTTCTTATCTTTTTCTCTTTTTGTGTTTTCTTTTTCCTCTTTCCGTCCATCAACAATTCCTAATTGGAGGCAAACAGGGCGTCCACGTACACAACTACCATTAAAAAAGGTCAGAAAAATGATAACCCAGGCCCACCAGGTCATTCCTAGCCACTGGATTTGGATGTATGTATTGTTGGACCATTTGAAAGATATGCTCCAATCTGAACAAATTGATGAAAGCAATAAGGAAAAGAAAAGAGAAAATATTGGTTTTCTGCAATTTCACCGTCTCTGGACAGCTCGATTCAATCACAACAAAGGATTCGAAAGACGGAGATACATAATACTAAAGCAAGCCAGTTGCCATTCACTTTTGTTTCATAGGAAGCAACAACTGCTTCATTTATAAGTAAAACAACAGTGACATGTGTATTTTCCCTGGGAGTCACACACAAGAAATTCCCTAGTAAGTCGGTAGATCATACGCGTATGTTAAAAATATAAGCGCAAAAAGGATAAAAGGAAGAAAACAAAGATGAAAATAAAAAAAGAAAAGAAATTTATGTTCAAGTTATAATGCTTATTAATTAACTAAAATCACATAACAGGCAACGCAAGCAGAAAACATATAAAGGAGCAATTTCATAAGGGGACCATTTGGGGGTCTGCAAGTGAAGGAGCTGTCTCAAAGATCTTGATACTTGGTTGGACCCCAAAAGCACCACCATTGCAGTCCCCTTATGAAAGATAATAATGTCCCCAAGCCCCCCCAAAAAACGTTGCAAAACAAATCAAGCTCAGAAACTAAGTTAACAGGATCCATGAGAACAGAAGGTAAGCATGACTAATAAAATTAGCATCATGATCACACGCTGAACAGCACAAAGAAGGTAATTGTGAATCCAACAAATCATATAGTTTTTGTTGAAAAAAGAAACATTTCAATTGATCAATAAAAAGGATTGAGGAGCTTTATAATCCAAATCCTTACCGACTAGAAGCCTTCCTATCTGGTAAACTAGTACATAAAGCAATGATGAAGTGTATTATCAATGAAAGAGGTTGATAAATGGCTTTTGTTTATACTTTTGTCTAACTTGAGTTTTGCAACAAAAGAACCAAATACAATAGTACATTAGCATCTCCGCTCACATCTTTGCAGGCTTTGGGAAAATGTCAGGAGTGAATTTCTGAGCTGCACTCAAGCTCCCCTTGATCTTCATTGCACCCCTGCATCACCAATACGACCATATCAATTGTGAGACACATCTAAGCAGATCCTAAACATTTTAATCCCACTCCCTACAGCGGAACCCCCTCCCCCTAAAAATACTAATAACAAAGGGTAAAGAAACAGAAATTAGAGAGTTGTACCTCATAAAAGCAATCTGGGGATTCATCTTCCCAGTGGCAACCTTTATAAAATCATCATCTTTAAAAGAAAATGTAGCATCAGGCTTTCCACCTTCATACTTACCTAAATTTCAGAGTAATAGGATATTGAACGACTTTATAATGAAAAATTTCGAAACAACACAACCGAATTGATCGCATAAATCTATGAATTGATGTAATCATACTTGAATCTCCAAGAGCAAGTCACTGAGATGAACACTAACCACATACAAAGAGAACAATCATAATTACCAATTTCATACGGCCAAAAACTTGCTGAAACAGACGGAAAATTTTATCCTAATGATAAGAGCACCTTATGTTAAAGAGAGTTAGGTAACCTCCTCATCTGCTAGTTGGGTAAAAAATTAATGCACTTAGACATAGAACACCTAAGAATGGAAGCAGTGCAACCTGACAAAGAATTAATAGGACTTGTAACATGACAAATAAAATGGTGAAGTATTATTGAATTAATGAAATGGGGTCTGCTCTGCTACCATTGTCAAAGAGAGTGTTGAATAACCAAAAAAAAAAAAGAAGATGATAGAAAAGACATGAAAATGACAGAAAAGAGCCCCAACTGGCTACAAGATTTATATTCTAATTACCAGAAACTGAGCAATGGATTAATGGGCAGATATTGGGAAGCAACCATTTCAATTTTCAATAAAAAAAATCATTTATAGCTAAAACTTTTGCAGATTATACAATGAAAAAGATAAAAACTTCAAACTCTATTCCATCAATACAATTAACAAAGCTGCAATTTTATCAAGAGGCAGAGCAACATAAACAAACCTAACCAAGAAAAAAGAAGAAGAAGAAGAATAAGATTAAATTAGCAAAAATAGGGCAAGTCTTAAACAAGAAAAGAAGAGAAGAAAAGAGGCCAACCTTTGGTAACTTTTCCTTTCTTGAGATCAACAATGTAAGAAACCTCATCAAACCCAATTTTCTGTAAGTCATAAACAAAAACCCAGAATTAAAAGCAAGCTTTCAAATCAAATTGAAGTAAAAAAAAAAAACACACGCACACACACACAAAAGGGTGGACCTTGGGGGCAATATTGATTTGGTAAACGAGACCAATCTTCTTGATAAGCTCTTTCCCAGCATCAGAAGCCAAGTAACAAATTATCAGATTTCAACTCAGTGTTCGCCATTATTACACCAAAACTTGTGAAATCGAAGCTATGGAATTGGCTTTGTCTTACCGTTGAACTTTTTCTTCCTTGCGGAACGGTTTTTATCATGTGGATAGTAGCTGACGAGCATTTACTGCAGTCTAGCACGGGATCAGGAAAAGGCTAACGTGACACGCATTCTTATAGAGAAAAACCTTGCTCTGATGCGGCTGATTTCATTGGGAAACTGTTAAACTCCTCCTTATTGTTTGCTGATTTTCAATTCTGAAAACTTGTCCGATTGATGGCTTCCGTTTAGATAAGTTGCAAGTTACTAATGTAGTAATGTTAACAGGGTATCTTTAATAGAAATATTTGATTATTAATTTGTGGACCCAGATGACATGCCACGTGGGATTTCGTTTTGCGGATTATCGAGTACTTTCTGGCATGGGCAAGATGTTTTCTAGTTTGCTATAAAGGTTATCATAGTTGCTTTTATGTTGAAAATGGATTTTGGGCCTTCAGGCTTTGTGTTTGGGATTTTTGGATCAATTGGCTAGCCCAAAATAGTTTTGAAAGTGGACCTCTTTTTTTTATAGTAGTTGATAACTCCAATGAAGATCAGGGATCCATAGATTTTAGTTTTTTGGTTCACTCGTTTATTTTGTTGGGATGAATTAAATTTTTTATGGGACTTGAGCCTCATCAAAATTTTCTTGCTGGGTTTTCTTTTAGATGATTATCATCTGATCACATGTGTTAAGCCTTTATTTATGGCTTTTGTACAAAATCAGTAAGTCTCTCCAGTCAAACTCTAGATATGGCTTATCTAGAAATTGAATGATGAGGAATATGATATGATTCAAATGAAGGAAAAACCATGTACAAATAATATAATGAACTTGCCACTCACCATACCACAGGATGATTTGATTCAATGTCATGTCTTAAGAAAGATTTTCCAATGATAACAATTCAAAAGAATGGTTAAGTAGGTTTTAATCAATTTATGAAGTACTCCAAAAATGAATCAAAATTTAATTGTTTCATATAATCATATTTAAAAAAAAATATTAAACGAATCTTAAATTCGAATTTTAATACTTATAATTTTTTCTTTTATGTAACCAAAAAAAAAAAAAAAACTCGGTTTTACAATAACAAGTAACTAAGCAGGGTCAGCTAAATGTGTTTGCTGAAAGTTCCTCCATGCTACATCACTACGGATCCTTCAAAATATCATGGTCTCAAGGCTATCAAGCTCTGGTGGGCACATCTAATTAGTAGGGTCCATAAGGGAAGACAGCACAAGCTTTCGTCAACCAGCTTGGTGTCCTTCGGAGGGTGCTCACCCGCCGGACACATCATCCCATTACAACTTAGCCAAATGGTAGTTTGACACGTGGTTCTCTTATAGCCTCCGATGGAGACTCCAATGGTACGGCATAAGTGTTTTGATTTATGGAAAACGGCAAGCAATGAAAACTAAAACATGATGCTACTCCTTTCTGAAAATGATTTGCAGATAAATATGAAACTTGGAATAGCACTTGTCTGCTAATGAAACCTTTCAATTATCATAGATATCAAATTTGGACTTATAAATTGCTCGCCTCTAAAAGAAGAAAAAAAAAAAGAGAGGCTTTGAATTACAATAAGAATTAACTGAAATGGATGGAAACAAGTTACTCTCGCCTATCCCCATGAGAGTTTGGAAGGGGATATGCTATAAATTGGAAACTAGTGAATGGGGAGGATGGGGATGGGGGGCGCCATTACTGCTATTATAATTCACATCCATGCTGCCTTTTCTACGTTGTAGATTCTTTCCAAAATCTGGTGGGGAGTCCTTGCAGAGGGACTGGAAATGGGCCATATTGAATCCCACTTTGGGATCCTACCACTTCCCACCTGCAAAACCCAACAAGATGTTATTGTCAGCAGTTATATGCATAGAAACAAGTCCTCTTCCTTCAACAAAGATCTGTAATTCATTTTCTCACTTTTTTTTTTCTCTTTCTTATATTTCCTTTTTCGATCATTTTTATGAATTTAGTCACCTTATTTCATGCAGCCACTTACATGAACAAGATTCTAATTGAAGGGTTGTCTTGTCCAAAACATCTTGATGGTAGAACATTCCCTTGAAGATTGATTAAGATTGTTTTTGCAGTGACAATAAGGAAATCTCAGTGAAGGGGACAAGTAGGAGAAAATGGTCCAAGTTACTGTTAAGGCAGTGTGTTGTTCGTATGATAGGAACATAACATATCATTGGCACTTTGATTTTCAGACAATACCTGAACTTGCAAACCAAGTGGTGGATCACAATGAGCATCTGCAGCTTTGCAAGCTCATTTCCAGGACAGGCATGCACTCCACTGCCAAATGGCATGAAAGTGTAGGGTTTTGGGGCAACCTACAAAACAGTGAGAGTAATTCATCATGTCTACAACCAGAGAACTGCCTTTACTCATAAGCCATAAAAGTTTAAACCAAAATCATAAATGAAAGAAGAAAAAAAAATCAAAGTGGATATATAGTACATGTTAGTCTATTCATACCTCAAACCTTGAAGGATCAAATTTCTGCGGATCGGTAAAAAATTCAGTATTGTGATGAATGTTTCTGAACAGAGGCATTACTTTCCAACCTTTCGGAATGAGGTAACCTGTCGCCGGTTTTACAGTCAGCAACTGTCTTATATGTCATTTTATATGAGAATGCTCAGTCAAAGAATGGAATGCTCTGATTAAATCTGGAACGATTGCCTTTTCTGTTTCTGGTTTACGGGGTTTTTAATCCCATGTTTAGAGACAATATAGTCCCAAATAAATCTCACTTACAGGATTACTGTGTCATTTTTTGTAAATAAATGTATTTATCCTCACCTTTGTACTCCACATCAGCGACTGCTTCTCTAAAAGTGAAAGATATGATGCTTGCCATTCTTAATGTCTCTAATATAACCTGACCAAGTTCAATGATTTCCACTGTTAACCAGGGTTGGAAGGTAAACATATTCAACTTGGGAATTCAAGAAAGGAAAAAATTTCACTGTAACTAGATGCCTTGATGAGGTAAGTCACTGTTATTGACAGTTCTCACCTTGTATGTAATTGGCATATTCCTTGTCTGTGACCAACTCAGCGGCTGGTTGCCTTCTTCTTTCAATATTCTAATTGCCTTCTGTTCAGCCTACAAAGACGACCTTACCATTAGTAAATAAGATTATGCTAGCGCTGTATTGATCTGGCCCGGAGGCCCCGGACAAAATTTCAATGACAAAGACAACCATTAAATGAGGGGTGATGATCAGAGAGGGAAAGAGAGAGACTGATCTAGACCTTGCAAAAATGATTTGTCTCGTTCCATGCCCTACCTTAACTGCCTCCAGAAGTTTCGGGTTGTCATGGAGGTACTTGACAATCCATGTCAAGACGCTGGCTGTGGTGTCCTGAGCAGCGAAAAGAGTTCCAATGATGTTATCCGCGATTTGATCATCAGTTAGGACTTGTCCTTTTTCATCTTTGGAATTCAATAAACAACCCAAGAGATGCTTTTCAAGAAACTTCTTCTCCTTCCTTTCACTTATGATATCACTCAAAATCTTACCTAACCTCTTTCTTGCCTGCACGTAATTCGTTTAAAGGAAATAACAAGGAACACAGTGAATTTGACTAGTCAACTTTAAACAAGTTTACTTCCAAAAAGACAAAAAAGAAGTCACAATTAATTCAAAATTAACAAACAGGAATGGGATTGCTTATGATATGATATTCTGCAAGCCTACCACTATTGCCTTTTTGTATGGGGTTCCAGGGATGTTTGTAGGGAAGGAATTGTAGCCTCTGTCAACTATGAAGTAGTTCTTCTTAAGCTCCTCTCTATATCGAGCCTCCAAACAGCCAAAAATCAATAGTATGCCAACTTCAAAAGCGAACTGCAATCATTCGGAGACAAATTACCAAAGTGAGGAGATCCAAAGAAAATATGAAAAGCAACTTTTCAAGACTATATAATTAATTATTAATAGCAGAATGCAAAACTGTTTCTCCGACTTGTTAAAGTGGAAAAGAAATATAAAAATATTGACCCAATCAGTTGTTTTTGATGACATTGAACCGAACTAACCTTTTTCATTTCATGAAAGGTGTTAACAACATGCCCCCCATGCCAAGAATCTAAGGAAAAGGCTGCTAGGGCATCAATATCTGGCACCAAGTTCCGAATAGCCTTAATAGACAATGAGGCTTGAACCAGCTTTCTGAGACGAGTATGGTAGTCTCCTTGGTGGAAAAACAGCGCAGCTGGACCAACAAGATGCTCCTTGCTTTTGGGGTACGTGGGCTTAAACAAGTGAGCTTGAGTTACCAACACAAAGCGAGCAGCCTCAGGGCTAGCCAGCATAACAGAAGGGCAGCCTAGAATATGTGTTTTGAAAATCTCCCCATACCTGAATCACCATGTTTTAAATTTGCCACAATGAAGTCAGTGAAAAAGCACAGAAAGAAACAAACCCAAAAAGCATCAAAAGATAGTAAAACATTTAGAAATTCAGAGCAGCAAAACAAGGAGGGTTTCAAAACCTTTTCTGTTTGGCAGCAAAAAACACATTTGGGTCTTGAGAATATACTTGGAGAGTTTCTCCTATATAAGGCCATCCCATTGATCCGGGAGGAAGCTCGGTCTCAGCTCTTCCATGGGATTCTTTCTTTTGCCTTCTCAAGAACCTATATGTGACTACTGTTATAAGAAAGATAATAACATACGCAAGAATTCCTGCCATTTCTCCCTGGAAGCAGCTAATCAGGTTAACCTGACTCGTTGTAGAATGCAAGATTTGATTTGGTGATTGGAGTGATCGGTCGAAGGAGAATGAATTGACTTATATAGAAAAAGATAAGAATGAGACAAGAAGGACGTACGTAATTCCAGATTTTCTAGATAAAGATATTCATTTAAATCCAAATGTGTAGTCTAAAACAATTTATGACCACGAATCCAGTTCTGTTATTTTTTGGAAATTAACATCTCATCTCCCAAATGTAAAATTAATGACTGATCCATAAAGAGAAAGGAGTTACAAAAAATCAGATTCAGCTTTCCTGTTATGCTGCCTACAGCCAACTTGTGTGAATGTGGGGATTGAACCAATGGAGGCCAAGCACATAACCTTAAAAGGGTATTTTTATAATATAATTGATAAGTATGGGGGTTCATTCATAATTGTCCAGGGCCGATTGGATAATTCTTTAAGACACATCTGGTCCAAACTAGAGTTTTGTAATCACCCTGTTTGGTTAACTTAAAATTTTCCATAAAAGCTAAATTCATCAGTACTTTTATAGAAAACATAGCAGCCTATGAATTATAGTTTTGTCTAAATATATATGTACATACATATATAGTTCAGTGTATCTAATTAAATGTTGGCTGTCAAATTGAATGGATATTGAATTGACTATTGACTAAGTATAGGGGAAAAAATGCACGAAACTGTCCAAAAAATTCAACAAAAGTTAATACTAACAAATTGATTATTGGAAGAATAAACCCTGTTTGTGACTCTTGATCTTAATAGAAATGAAACGAAGTTGAAAATTACTATGCCATGGATTGTGAAAGATAATATATAGAAATTGATATATGGCTTGAATGATTGGACATTTCTAGGATTTTTAAAGATCAATAATGATAATTAACCTTCCACTATCCTCTTTTAATTATATTTCATAGCCAAGGAACAACTGCTAGCATTTTCCATTTGACATTAGGATATATGAAAATAATCCTCATGCAAGCAAATTAAGTATAGTTAGGAATTGCATTAGAAAATTTTGCTGCAGTTGGTTGATGCATGATTTTTTGATTGAAGAATAAGCCTTTTCGAATTAAAAAAAAAATGTTCTCTTAAATAAACCATGCATGCATTCTCTTTTTGCATAGCTATCTAATTCAATAGGCTATGTAAAATTTGGCATGCATAGGAAACAAGTCTAATTTAGAAAAAGATGGAAGTAAACCTTGAATTGGAAGAGAGTACTGTTAGGGAATTAGGATAGGAATATGATGTGTATTACTCTTAGGAGATAGACACATGCCAAATTCCAAAAAGCTCCAAGATTTGCACCTTATAATGGCTGTCCTGGATGTCTGATCTTTGAGCTGAAATTGAAATCCAAGCAATTGGTATATACCTCAAAATTCCACTTTACTAAAAAAAAAAAAAAGGCCAATAAGAGTTTATAAAAATGATAAAAGACAAAGATTAGATGTATTAGCATTTAAATTTTAATTCTTTTATGATTTTTTGTTAATAAATAATTTATAAGTTTAAAAAATTTATAATTAAAAATTTAATAAATCTATAAATATTAATATAATAACAATTTATTTTAATTTTAAAAACGAAATAACCATCTCTATTTTTGAACTTTCTACTACCAAAAACAAAAAAGAAAAGCATAGGTTGTTAATCCAGAAAATAGTGTGAGAACAAACTTAGATTTTATCAGAAAGAATATTACATTAATCCTCGAAAGGCCAAAAAAAAAATAGAGCATGAAAAAAGTTGGCATGCCGGCATCCAGCTCATAGGGGATGGTGTCATTGTCATGCCATGTCTTAGGATATACGACTCCGACTCGCCAATCTCAAAAATCCCAATCTGGAGTTGGATGGTCCCTACTCCTACTGATTCTCTGGTCCCTAGGAGGCCCATTTCTTGCTGGCTTGAAGGACAAGTACACTTGAGAAAAATTATTTGTTTGCCGACGTGGAACTCTCAGGAGCATTGGACCGCAAACGTTTTTGATATGCCCAATCTCACAGTACCACTATTGCTCAAAGCAAAGGAAAGGAAAGCCTTGCCTCAAGCCAAGGCCTAGGAGGGATCGTGTCCCCAGGTGATGCCCATCACCATCACAGCTAGCTGGACTTTCACCATGTCTCAATCTGGGTAGTCCAATTTCCAGAGCCTTCCTATGCGAGCGAGACCGCGTTCTCATGTTTCCCCCAGGCCCCAACCTCACTTATTTCATTTCTTTATCTTTTCTTTTCTTTTCTTTATTTCTTTAATGTATTCTTCCTAGAATTATCCAGTATTTTCCTCCTGCATATTTTCTTTTGCCTAGATTTAAAATATACAGTAAACTTTTTGGAGATCATGCGTATAGGATTGTAATCTCTTTCTTTATGAACAAATTTATTTGATTTAATTACAAACAATATTCTAAATACCTAGTTGCAATTTTGCTTCTACATTGTCACGTACAGAAATTGATAATAACGCTAGAAACTTGAACTTCTAGTGTTCAAACTTGAACATTATATATCCATGGATGGTGCTGGAGAGTCCCTCAAAAAAATGTATTTCTTCACCGACTCTCCGCCAAAACCCTAACCCTTGTCTTTAGATGTTACTTTATCATCCGAAAAAACAATATTTTGAGCAAAAATTGCGTTATGTAGACTCTTACAATGTTTGTCTCTCCAAACTTTAAATGCTAAACAACTGGAGAAGACATTAGTTAACCATAAATGCAAATTCATTAGTGAAACCTTTAAGCCCCTGTTTGCCTGTAATTTGGTTATGGAGCAACCTTTTCAACGTCGACAATCAGTAGTGCATGAGAGAAAATTACCATGTGTCGAATATTCAATTGCTCTATTTCTCTCATCTCGACACGTTGTTGACATCGATTTGATTTACATAATCTCCAAATGACAAGGGAATCTCTCCCTTATCCTTTGTTTGCCAATCATTTAGGGCAGGTGTCCGCTTCTTACATGGTTCGAGGTACTATCAATCAGCTTCCAACAGAACCGCATGTTGCGCTTTTTAAGCATTTCGTCTGATCAAGTGCTTCATTCTATGTTTTAAAGATCAAAGTAGCTTTGGTTGATCTCTGATAAAAATTAATGGAAAGATTCGATAACAGTCATAAAATTATGATGAACTGAGATTTTGATGTCTTACACGACAGTAAGAGAACTAGAGACATGCCAAGAATGTGGACGATCAAATTACAGATTTGTAGTTGATCAAATTTTCATTGTCAATGCTTACAATAGTGTCATTAAGTTGAAAACATTAGTAAAAAAAAAAAAAATAAGTTCATTTTCATACAATTTAGCTAATTCTTTTCTATGTATTTAAAATTTTATGGGTGAATGAAAGATAATATATCCTACCTATATTCATAATGACCTAATAATATTTTACATTTTGCATTCAAAATGTTTGAGAACGTGAATTGCATTAGCAGCGAAATGATTATCTGGAATATCACTTTTCCTTTTAAGTCAATGGTTGCCCACATATGTTACAAGGGAATTTGAATACGAAATCCTCCTAGAACTTTGATATGACCTTTTTATTTGGAGCCAAGATCTAATCAATGCTCCAATTTGATTTAACCATTTTCGCACCTACAGTTTCGTGTAGGATCAGGGACCAGAGAACGTCCTTTTGATCACTTTAATTAGTGCTAATAGTCAAAGTTCTTTTATAGAAGAAAATGTTTAATAGATAATATTCTTCTTACACAAAAGCTTTTGATAGAATATATCATATATAAGAAAGTGATTTTCCCACTCGATTCAATAAAGTTTGATCTTAAATCAAAGGCTTATGATATGTAATAATTGTTGTTTTTGTCCTTATAAGTGGATTTTTTTTTTTTATTTCATATTGTTAAAGATCGAATCTTAATTATTAAAATTAAGAATCTAATACTCGCATAATTATTTGTTGATTTTTTTTTGCTATAATGATATATAACTATCTCTTTACAATTTTTTTTTCAAGTGATAAGCACAAATGTCAAGTCGGGGACAGTTTTGATTTCGAAATCCTCCTAAACTAGCTATAACAGGACATTTCATAGCATACCAAGTTTTAATATCTCTAACAAATGTCATTTTAATGATTTGCAACATCATATGTCGAGGATATGAAATCCTCCTAAAATTTTAATAAGATCTTTCATATATAATGGACCAAGCTTTATCCTTAAGTTACGTGTTTTTAAATTGACATGCTTGCATATGATTTGAAAATGAAAATCTCCTAATAAAAACTTTAATACATATGAGACTTGTCATATTAAAACAAGGGGTGATCATCGGATAGACATCTTATAGTATTTGTAATTTGGTAATTGCTTGTGGGGTCGGATTTGGATATTATAATTATAAAGTCAATGTAAGTTTTTTTACTCTAAATTTAATCCGATTAGATATTATATAAAATTATACTAAATGCGATTTGACTTAAAATTAATAAAATATTATTTTTTATTATAAATATAAATTTAAATAAATATAAATATAATTAAATATTTAAAATAATTATATATATCAAATCGAATTTATTTAAAACTTGACATGAAATTCGATTTAAAAAAAAAATTAACCTTAAAATTTGGGTTGGATCAAACTCATTAAAGACAAATTAAGCTATCACCCCTACATAAAAGTTTTAGTTTAGGATAAAAACGATTTCAACATGCATGCACATCGTCTAATTTTGGTCATTTCTTGGTGGAACAATGTGGGTTGCTCAGGAATGCCTTTAACTTTCATGCATGGATCGGATCATCAGGAGAGAAAATCTTTCCTGGATTTTATTCCCTGTCCAAAGAAAAAGTAAAACTCCAGTATAGACATACATTAATTAGTTTCCTCTTGTCAGTGTAAATAGATTTTTTTTATTTTTTACGAAAATGGCAGGCATTGCTGCATTCAAGATAATTAATTAAACAGGATTACTGGTTTCATAATATGGTTTCTCTTCCGAAAGAAAAGAAAATGACAGTATGAAAGAGCACCATGAAAAAAAATTATTTGTGGTGTTAATCTATAAATCAAACCAAAATATAAAGTTCTTACGTATGTAATTACTTGTACATTGCACGATATTTTTAATTTATTAAAAAAATCAAAACCAAATTATTGTTGATTTTTTTGGGTGTTCTACTCAGTTTAATTGCTAATGTCTTTGTTTGATAAAAAGGAAAGAAAACGTACGAAAAAGAGTGTTAAAATTTAATGGTTAAATCACAAAATAATATAAGGTCATTATATATCTCAATTATTAAATTAAAACGTTTTCTTTCTTACTCATTTATTTCTTTCTTACCAAAAGGAGTTTGCACTCGTAATTAACATAAAATGAAAGTATATCAACTTATCAACCATGCAATCCTTTAAGCAATTTCTAGGGTTCTAATTAATAAGAATGTACAATTATTTCAATGGGGGAATTAGAAGGGATCAAATCAAGGTGGACCATACAAGAAAAGAACCCAAAAATATAAAATATTTTATATATATGTTATAGCAATATAACTAGGGATGTCTGAATTTATTTCATGCAAGGAATCGTCAATCAATGTGCAATGCATCATACGCAAAAGTTGGAGCTATAGATTTGCGCTACATTAGCAAGTTTCTGGCTATAAAGAGAGGGAGTGTCGAAGATGATCTTGAAGATGAACTTTTAACGTTCCATGAAAGCCATGAATGAACTTTTGGAGTGCAACGAAAACGCCAAGATATCTTATCAGGTATACATCACCATGGCCTACCAATGAGGAATTTCTTGCTTCAGTAGAGCTTGTTGTATGTTAGGGATAAGTGGTCATTTTTGCTCAAGTCTCTTTTTTTTTTTTTACGAACGTTATATACACGTTAGAATATATATATATATATATATGCAAAATCTACAGTCATAGTATTCGGATGCCTAGCGAGTCAACCTCAAATTGAAAAAGTAGCCATTGCCCAATAATGATTGTTAGCGGGATCCCCGAGCACATTATGTGGGTAGCAATTGGGTTTACTTTTTTTGTGACGAACATTAGCCAAGCAATCCAGATATTTTCATCTGAGATGGCTGTAGCTCTGAAATTTGACGCCTCGCCGCATGACTAGCAGACATTTGAGAATCCAAAAGTTGTCCTCTTTCCTGTTGAAAGCACATCCTTCGAAGCATATATATATATATATATATATATGGAGAGAAATGACCACACTTTATCTGCCTGAGAGCGGGCCACGGCTGCCCTACAAGCAAGTCTTCTGCTACATACAGCAAAAGGTTTAGAAAATTAATTAAAGATATATATAACATGGCATATTCTTGTTTTACTTTTTGATTTGCAGTGATTCATATATATTGCTTTCTTTTATGTTCCAGTATGATTTACATGCTTTCTTCAGCTCGATAGTCGGTGACCTTATCTTCAGTATTAGATTATTTCCTTTTGTACCATCTTTTAAATTGCATAGAATTTGAATATTAATAACCAAGAATCCTTTCTTATATTATTCCAATACAAATTAATGGTGTTTTAGTGTAGAGTTAGTGGAGGATTAGATCAAACGCACTAGTGTATCATTCTATTAATTTTATTTGTAAAATTTAAAAATTTTATTGACAGTAAATAAAATAATTTCTTATCTTTATAATTGTTATTCCAAATGTTTAAATTAACAAGTAGGGTTTATCATTTATTAGTTAATATGTTTGTCTTAGAAAGTACATGAGTGAAAGGAATGGGGATGAAAAGAGGGGAAAAAAAAAGGAAAGAAAGATAAGTCATTGAATCCTTTAACCATTGCAACAGAAGTTAGATAACGCAAAGGGGGCATTGGATTGCTTGTGGAAAAGACTAGTAAAGAGAGATATGATCTATAGCTGTTCATCATAATTTATGGTCAAAAAAATTTGTGGTTCACGGTGAAAACTGCTTAATTAATATCCGTGTCCAATATCGGTGTTGCTCCAATGAGAATGAATCTTCAAAGGACCCATTAGGGAATTTTGAAGCGGCCACATCAACCCTTGTTCCAGCTGGAGAATATCTCCGAAAGTGCATGAATTATTGCACCCTTTTGGGTTTATTTGTTTGAGGTAAATGGGGAATCTTACAATAGATGTACAAAAACAAAAAGAATAAAAAATGGCACAGCACAAGGTCGATCTTGACAACTCTTACAGCCCCCACTTTGCTTTTCCATCAATTACCTAGTACAAGAATGATCAAAATGTGGGCTCGTCCTGTGAATCTGATCGATTTAAGACTCTTTAAACACATCAGTATAAAGAAAAAGCTTTATAGTTTCCATAATTTCTCACAATTTTAACGTCAGATTCTGAACGTTTAGGAGGCGAAGATGAATTCCATGGCGTCATTAAAACACTACTTCTGTTTCATTATTTGGCCGTAGATGCCCTTTAGTTTTCACTGTGGTTTGCTCCCTCTTATCGGTCGTTTTCGTGAATTTTGGCCTGTCATCCATTACAGCAATTTCTTATCCTTCAGCCGCTTCTTTCTCGTCTTCTTCACTACATCCTTTATTAACGCTACAATGGAAAGAAAGAAAAAAAGAGGGGGGGGGGGAGGATAGTGCGCATGTCTTCCTAGAATGATTGACTGGCATTAAGAATGCTAAATAAATATGGCCCAGAGCTATGATCCCACTCAAAGCGTGGCAATCCTTTGTCAACGTTAAATCAAAACATCAGCCAGTTCAAAAGTATATGCAAAAGCCAAAATCTTAAAAAGAGTAAAAGCTTTTTTAGTATCGATTTCCTAAACATTGAGAATGATTTGATATCCATAATAATCCATGCTGGATTTTATAATTCATCTTTTCTACTTGCTTCTAAGAATTAAGCTTAATGACACGTAAGGTCAAAAGAAATATATAAGTCTAACAGTTGTATGATTTATTTAGATAGTGTTAAATTTTTAATTTGAATTATCAGAATTTAATTTCTGACAATTTTAATATATAAACTGTCGTACAATAATAGCTGGCTGAAACTAAATGATAACTTGGTTGAATCATATACGCATCTGAAGGAACATCGTCACTGACCACATGTTGAAACCGATGAAAGATGTTCTCTTATAACCGAACATAATCTTAATGGTTTATATTTACTTCAACGAAGAGTACCATATAAAAGTTGCAACTATATCTTCCGGTTTACCAGTTCATTGCTACATGGTGTAGGAGGCAACCATGAAAGCCTGATTGGGATGTCGCTTCATAATCTTAATGGTTTATTTTTACACCAAGACTTTCGCTGCTGATCGACCAGCTTAAACGTACAAGACTCGCAGTAGGGAGATATTAGTATGACAATAGGCCCAGCCCACCTAAACAAACGGGATGACAAGTCCACAACCTTGCAATGACGCAGCGATGTTAAAAGTGAAAATTTATAAAATACGGAGATAGCTAAACTGTTAAAAGAAAAAGTGCAAAAGCTGAGAAATTATTGAATGACATATCAACTGATCTTTGATAAAATGGCACATCAATTGGTGAAGGAAGGTGATCAAACGAATATCGAATATGGGTAAAGGCAATTTTTTAAGGCCGGACAGTACACAAAACAAAAACTACCCAGTGGGCATTGTGAGAGCATCCTTTCCAAGAACAAATATTCATGTCCTTTCTCCGTTAGTGTTTTCAAGGACTGGAACCCCAGGGCCATATATCAATTGGCAACGTTCGCTAAATGAGCTGACCAATCGTGACACTACTTCCTTGAAAAACATGGATGCCACCTGTTAGACACATCAAAAGATTAGGATCATTCAAGCTACCTCAGATAAAATTTTCATCTTGAAACCCTTTTATTATAAAACCATAAGCAAAGTTCTAACAAGTGTTTTTCTTTTTTTTTTTATCAAAAGATACAAACCCCTTAAAAATTCAGAAGAGTTGAAATCTGTTGGTCCTTGAATATTTATAAATTTGGCTGAATGAATTCGTAAGTGAAGGTATGTAGTCTCAGGCAATAAAATGTTTTAAAAAATCATATAGATGACAATATGGGTAGCAGTTTTATTAAAAAGAACGAAAGTAAGGAAGAATCAGGTAATGAACAAGAATATAAAAGCAAATATTTAAGAACTGGGCCCCATTTTATCAAAGGAGAAAAGAACTAATAATTCAAATGAAGAACAGCAGAGTGATTGTTACATGCATATCATGAGCGGGAAAGTGAAATAAAAATACCATACAGGTCATGATCAATGGTTATTAAACATGTTAATGAAAAAAAATACAGCCGGAATGCAGATGCTAAGAAGAATGATCAATATGCAGAAGTCATGCAATACCATAAGCATGCATAGCATCGGTAACAATCTACGAACCCCCTATGTGGCCATTACCTGCCGGTAAAGTGGTGACTGGAACTTAAAGTCCACAAGAAAGTAAAGGCTGCAAGTTCCTGGAGCTGGTCCAGGATTGAATTCCCAAATATTTATCAAATGATCGAAAAGGCTACTTTCTGATGCAGTTGACTGCAAGGACAATATATCATCAGCAAAAATTAAGGGGAAAAACAATTAAATGCATGACAAAAAGGACCATCTTTGGAGTGACAAGCCAAGCAATATCCTTTTTGTAAGTCACTAGCACAAAATAATCACCCACAGATGGCATAGACAGAGGCTCAAAAGAGTTTCTTTTTAGTTATCCAGCCAACAGTAAATGCTAGTTAAAAATGATCAAATTATAGTAGCATAGTCATTTCAATCCCAAGGAGCAAAAGAGATCACACACAAACTCCAAAAGAATGCAGGTCAAACAAACAAAAGTTCGTTATAAGGCAATTAAAATGGCAAATGTGGTTGCTCTAGAACATTTAAACAAACTTTCAATTTTAAGTTTGTTTTCTCAGGAAATAAGGTGCTTTCTTTCTAAATTGAGGCTTCATAGCAATGGGTTCTTAACTCATATTTGGGGAGGAGGGAGAGAGACACAAAGACCGGTGCAGCTGTCCAATTGCTTAAATCCTGTTTTGGTGAAATTTATGTTAAAAACATGAAATACCACATCTCCATCTTGTCTACTTCAACCTAATCCAAAATTTGGTTAACTGAGTCCCCCCTAAATGCATTATACGTAACTTACAGTGAAGTCTCCCCAAAACATGATCACAAAGTTACTGGTTTATGGCTCTCAAATTTATGGCTCTCAAATCCTTGGTTGGCAACAAATCTGCATTTAGAAATACTCTATTCCCAAAACATTAGGATAAAGAAGGTTTAACAATTTACAAGCATCTTGGGATTGTCAGATTGATGACATTTATATTGTAGTATATTATGCAAGTTACAATATGTATGTTCTCACTCATGCTCAATATCATGAAATGACAAAACGGGCAAAGAAGTTTAAAAGCAAACAGCTTATTGAAATTCAAATCTATTTCCATACTAACAGCCGGATAAAAGTTCCTATAATTAGCATATTGCAACATTTTCAAGCATCAATATGCAATATATTAATAAAACAAACACAGCAAAGCAGATATCGTCAACTCATGAGAAACGAAATAAAACCAAGAAATGAGAAAACAGCTGCTTTAAAGAAAAGGGGAATTTGTTTATTATTACCTTTACAAACTTTGCTTTGCTTAATTCTACATGAGAAACATAACTCTCAACAAGAAACTTAAAACCAATCTCTAATTCAGCATCAAACGATCCATCCGGATACCGTTTGATTATATCAGACCGCTGACACCAAGGAACAAATCCATTATACAAATCAACAGCTGCAACCACATCAAATAACTGCTCCGGCGAATACCTAATTATCAACAAATCATTTACATTTTGCGTATTTGAAATAACTTAATCCAATAAGAAATATTATACTAACTTGAATCTTTAACAAAAATAAAAGAAGATTTTGATGAAATCACCCCATGACGATCCTTTCCTCGTAAACTTTTGATAAAACGCCGCCTTCTTCGCCGTCACCGCAGCCCAAGAATCGTCTCCTTTGGAGATTGTAATGATTGAAAAAATTGTTTAATGATACATTAGAATCCTCCTTGCATGAACCGAGTAAGTGGCGAAACGACCGCGTTTCGATACCGGAAACGCTAGAAACCCATCGGATTTGATCGAAGTTCCCGGAACGTCCTCCGTTCTGGCCGTGCCTAAAGAAATGGCTAATCACATTTCTACGGGATGTTACAAAACCCACCGCCTTCGATGTCGATAAAAATGGCGGCATTGCACCTTTTAGAAATTAGGCTTGAATTGGAAACTGGTATGGATAAAAAATTGCGGGACCTGAAATGGTGAAGATTACTACCGACAAGGTAGGAGAAATTCGAAAAAAAAATTGAAAATTGGAAACCCTAGGCTGACGCGCCAAAGAGGGAAAAGAGACGTACATTAGAACATCAACGTCGATAGTTTAGTTTAGTTTAGTTTAGTTGAGAGGTCCCTACGTTTTCGGACGGCGGAGCGAGATCCCAGGACATATATGCCAACATATATAAATTTGTCATTTATAAATATAAATTTTATATAAAATTTTAATGCTTTTTATGTAATTTTAAATTATTAATTATATTATAATTATTGTAATAATTGATCTGCTCCCGTGTTTTTTCATCCATGCTGACCGAAATTTCTGCTTACTGTTTTTTTGACCCAATTTGAAAGTGCGTTTCATCATTATAAAAAATAAAAAATAAATTTCCATAAAATGTTGTGATAATTTTAATTTTTTAACACCACATATGATATAATATAAAAAAATAATGCAATTTAAAATTTTAATTAAAATTTTATATAAATTTAACAAAAAGTGTTTCCTAATAAAAATTATAATATAATAAATTATTTTTTACATGTGTCTAATTAAACAGACAAATACTCTAAATCTAATTCAGTAGTAGTTTTTTATTTTTATAGAAGGAAAAAATATACTTAAAAGAAGCTTGATAATAATCGTGTAAATAAAAGCAGTAATAAACAAAAAATGGTATTTCTAGCACTAAATGCTGACGCCACGTACAAGAAGAAAAGGCCTACATGAACAAATCCGATCTCTCTTTGTCTCGGGCTCTGTCAGGGTCACACACTTATATATGTTCATACTGGTAACACAAACGTTCAGTAATTGAAATTTAGGATACAGAAGTCACCAAAAATTAATATCCATGGAGTTTCATTTGGTTTGTTCACTGTATCAGCATGTAATTACACAAACCATTTGCCTTTTCCAAGTGGGTCTTACTGCTGGAGTTGCGGCTGTAGACATTCAGCTACTTCTGATAAAGGAGGATTCACCTTATGGAACAACCTAAAAGCAAAATAAGAAACATGTCAAAAACCAAGGACTAGAAAAAGTGATTTATGAAAAGATCAATGCTAATAACTTTTACCTGATCATTGCATGAAGCATCAGTTACCAGAGTTTTCAGCTTCTTGGAGCCGCATTCGTTGCTTGCCTCTTCACCTTGTTCCTCATCTACAAAGTTCTGATCTGACACCTCTGCAACAACCAACAAACTAACATTTTAGAATTTATGAGACACCAAACAAGCAAAAGACTAATTGCAGTAATCTCAATCTCAAATAGTAAGCTTTAACATGTTGAACTGTACAGAGAGTGATACTAAACATTATACATCTGATAATCTTGAATCAAATTTATTTTGCCACATACCTATCATATATATAGATAGAAATCATAATTATTGTAGAGGTGAAAAACATAACTGAGAGCACTTCAAGTGAAACATTGACAGATCAACAATACAAGTTAAATCATTATATGTTGAACAGTCTAAGGTTGGATGAATTAACTCGGTTACCACTGCAGGCACCAAAACACAGTATTTTAGATTAAATCATCATGAACACAACAAAATACCACTGTAGGCATCTGTTTTACTGCCTAATGCAAATAATTTCACCTTCACAATCTAGAGAATGAGATGCATGAAAGTGTTTGAGAAGCTGATACACAGAAAATTGCCTTCTTCACATTTAAATTGTTTGTTTTACCTTTGCATGAAGCACTACCTTGAAGACTACAGGAGGCTAAAACACGAGACTTAGATCCAGATCTCAAGTGCTGGATCCAAGGACTTGCCACAAAACAATAAGAATCGTCTTTTTTATTTAGTTGAAATCCAGGTCTTTCAAAATTGATCTTCTTCCAGCAACCACCTCGAAGAACTTTAAACTGCAACAAAAGATTGGAACAAGAAGTAAAAAAGATTTTCCATAGAGGAAACCCAGATATTATGAAGAGCAGAGATCAATCCTGAACCTGGCCAGAAGAGGCACAATCTGCTGGCCTTGATGATTTTGATCCTGGCAACCTCTCCTTCTGCAAGTTCCAGCCAAGACAATTCATAGAATCATATAACTGATTAACAAATGATGCTTCCATGGATTTAAGGTATAAACTGTGCTTCTCATCTGTCCATTCTGTAGAGGTAGACTCTGTCAGCAGAGAATCCTGTAGTATTATCATTAACACACATGATCAGAAAGTTATCCCAAAAGCGAAGAAAACACATAATTCTGTACAAGCAGATTACATAAAGCAATAAACAATCCAATTTTTTAAAATAATACATATAAGGAGATCAACATTACAGCCAATTACGTCTACTGCTTGCATTAACACTATGAAATATGTAATTCGAAAAAATGTTACAAATCCTCAATTAATAGCACCCAACTATCAAAGCAACTCAAAAGTTAGAAGCATATTATCATAAACACTAGCCTTTTTCTTAAAACTTTCTTTTAATGCTCAACAGAAACGTTATAAATAAATATCAAAAGAACATGCATGATTAAAAATGATAAAAAGAATTACCATTTAAAGCGGTTTATTAGTCTATTATGTGCTTTAAAGTGAAGTTTGGAAATTTAGCTTCTGTACAAGCTAAACCGATGTCAAATTTACTTTCTTTAAACCAGAAAAAAGGAACCCATGGTACAAATTCCTTGATGCATAAATCAATAACAGAAAAAAACGACTAGAAAGAAGAAGAAGAAGAAGAAGAGGAGAAGGACGAGGAGGTTGTACCAAGCTTGGACCTTGTTCTTGGTGAGCAAACCCCGGTGACCTCTCAAGAGTCGTCAACTCAAGGGCAGAGGCCTCTGAACTCGCCCGAGACTCAATTCTCCTGAAGCCCTCCATGCAAAAAACACCATTAAAAAAATCCCTTAATTCAGAAGATTAGAAGATGGCAAATTTTTATTTAAAAAAAAAAAGAAAAAAGAGAAAGAAATTGTATGAGAGAGACAGAGGAGAGGCGATGGCAGGTGAGATGTAATGAGGAGGAGGTGTTGAGTAGGGACAAAAGAAAGTTACAGTTGTTATCACTTTGGCACGTGTCATGGAACATCATATTGCCACGTCACATCTATGGTTACCGATAGCTCCAGATATTTGCTGAAGACTTGAAGTGTTCAAAATATCTATCTCCTTGTCCTTTTTCTTTGTTTACACTTTAACTTGACAGATAAGATGACGTGGCCGTACTTTTTATTCTTTTCTTCTTTTATTATCTTTCTCTTTTTTTTTTTCTCATTGTAAGTATTTTTTTTAGAAATACTAATCGATTTTTGGTATCTAAACACTTTATATTTGTATTTATTGAACCCTAATTTATATGAACATTTTTTGTATTATTGAATAAAATTATTGTTGTGTGTAAAATTTTAGTATAAACCTAAATTTTTTATGATTATTCATAATTATAAGTAAACACGTCATTACTTAATTAAGCACGTGAAGAGCATTTTTTTTTAATCTTCAACGCCAATAAATTCTCCAAATTAATAGGTAAACAGATAATATTATTTTACTAAGAATACTTCAAAATATCACATGGAATTTTTGTTGAAATTTTCACATTATGAAAATTTAACCTAATTTCAGTGCTTTGAACCTCAAATAAAAACAATAATCGAGTTACAATGATTTGTTGTTAATGTTGTATATACATTGCAGAATATTTTTGCAGTTATAATGAAAAATTTTGGCAACTTGTGGTGTATGAAGGAAAAATTACAGTGAAAATGGATTGAACATATTTGAGCTAAAGAAGGGCAAATTCAATCTCAGATAATAATCTCTTTGAGCTTTTGCAGAGTGTAGCTGAGAAGAAACTAAGATCACGTTACTCTCAACGGATGCCGACAGTCGACAGAGAGTGCTCGGATTCAAGTTTCCTGCTTCTGCTCACCCTCCGGTATTATGGTTTCTTGAAGATTACTCAGACCATATTTTGCAGCTTTTGCAAACATAAAACAAGTATCCTGATATGGACAAGTTTAGATGTATCTGTCATTATGGAGAGGACTTCCATAACACCCGCAAGGCGGCAACCTGTTGTGTAAAGCTTTCGCTCTCCACGGAGTTCAGGGAAAGGTTATGCTTCTGTGTGAGAATCTGTCACAAAGCAAATCCTCAACCAATGTATGGTAGTTCTGTAAAATGAGAATAAAATGCCCAAAATTTGTCATACAGACTTTCTCAATTGAAAGGCATTTACAGTTATTCTGAACTTGTGATATGAAGAAGAATTTACAAACCAAAATGCAAGCAGCTTTAGCCTACACTGAAGATACAGCATTAAAGCTTAACAGTACAATGGAAAGTGCATGTAGCTTTACAGGCACGCAATTGATTTACTTCAATTTGATGAATTCCAAAAGTAATTATGTATTACTACATGACAATTCCAAATATAAACCCACATAAGTATGTTTAAGAAGTATACCTGAAATTTCAAGTGATTTAATAATGCCTGATTTCTTAAAAGTAAATCTTATAAAATTGATATTTTTTTATGTTAATATTTGTGCCATCAAATAAACAAAATCATATCACAAATTTTTAGAATCAATCAGTATAGTATAATAACACAAAGGGTATTAATAGGGAAGATCGAGACCTTGGGATGTCTTCATTGGATTTTATTATTCGTTCTAAGGCTAAAAAATTATAATCGTTCGATCTCAATTTTCTTTATCATTATGAATCATATCTTTATTGGTATCTTTTGATGTCAACATTTATGTTATTAAATAAAAAATTATATCTAAAATTTTCATAATCAATCTAATATAATAACTTATTTACATTTTGATATAAATTTTGAAAATTTATTCGGGTGTTAAGCCAAAACTAAATAAATGAAGAATGCAAGCAAGGTGTAAATAAAATGAACCAAAATTGAAATTTTCGACTGTGATACCTTTTTTTTTTAAAATACGATTTGTGTTTTTAGGTTTTCTCTTGTTAATTTATTTTCTAAACGATGTTAAAAATACATTTTATATTGATTTAATGCATTCAAAATTTACTTGAATAAAGTGATTCCAGAAAAAAAAAAAAAAAAGTTATTGCAAGAAAATAAAGTAATGCCAAAAATCATGTGCTCAAGTCTTGAGCAGAGATTGGGCCTTGGGCCCATTTCTGTCAACCCTTTTATCAGCCCAAAGAAAATAAATTAAAGGCGCCTAGCTGGACAAAGGGGCGGTCTCACCCTTTTTATCAGCTTAGATTTCCTTTCCAATGGCAAACCACTCTCCATATTTTTTATCAGCGTTGATAATGTGACCGTTAACACTTTCTTTTCTTTCTTCAACTACTTAAAAACTCACTGATCCAGTAAACTCACTATGGCTTCGATTCTCAAGCCACCACCGCCCTACTTTATCCCTATCTCCTTCGCTTCCTCCTTAGTTGTCTTATCTTCTCCGTTGCACCAAACGACGTCGCTCCGAGTTCGGTTTTGCTCTTTGAGGACCGGCCCCGACGGCGGGAGAATCGAGAGCCAGGAATCTTACGGCGCTGATTTGTTAAGGAAGCCGGGTATATTGCCAGCGAAGGACAGTGATGGAATTGCGGAAGAAGAGGAGGGTAGTGAGGGAAAAAGAAATAGAGGCGAATGGAATGATTGGGAAGACAAGATTTTAGAGGACACTGTTCCTCTCGTTGGCTTTGTTAGAACGGTTCTTCATTCTGGAAAGTAATTAATTTAATTTCTTGGCTTTTTTGTTTTAAATTTTATCTAATTCAAACTTTTTATGGCAAAGTTGTAAATTCAATGCAGATATAGAAGTGGAGATAGATTGAGTCCAGAGCACGAAAAGGCGATTCTTGAGAGGTTGCTACCGTACCATCCGGAGTCTGAGAAGAAAATTGGATGTGGAGTTGATTACATTACTGTATGTTTCTTTTGCATCCTTTTCTTTTTAAATTTTGATTGCTGAAATTTATTGTAATTGGAAGCTTGAATTAACCAATTTAATTAAGTATTACCGGTACTTGTTTTTAAAGGATTAGATCAAATCAAGTTGCATAAATATAAAATCACTATATGAGTGCAAATTCGTCTTGATATTCCAATACATGTATTTGAATTGAATTTCAGTTATATTTTGTAATAAAAATGTTTTAAAAGAATTACATGTCCCGTGCATAGTTTCGGGCTCAAGTCTAGTTTATGCAGTAAATTTGAAGGGGCAGGCATCTAGAAATGTAGGTGAGAGCTATACCTAGAAGGAGTAGTTCTGGCTTTGAGAATTTTGAAGTAGACTGGAGACGTTTGGCAGGTTTAGAATCTGCACTGATAGCAATATTCCCCATCCCAACTTCCATTGCCTTCATATCATCCATCTCCCTCTTTGCTCTTTTAACTAGTAGATATAGTGGAGACAAAAGAGACGACAATTACACTTGCTCAACAGCTCATTTGATGTACAAATTTTAGAATTCATGCTTAGTTCTAGTTAGAAAGATTATAGGGTAATCTATCATCGTAATTTCTACTCTGCATATTGACATTTTCTACTGATAAGGCATTCTATTTTAGTTTCTGTTTTAGTTTTCTCCATCCTTTTGGTCTTTCTTTTTTCGAGTCTAAATTAAGTGTATGGAGGACCATCACTTAAACTAATGTTTTTTTGTAATTGTATTTCCTCATTGGCTTTGTGCTTCTCATTTCTTGATGAGATCATGCAGAAACTATTGTTATCTATAAGTTTTGATACCTGTGGACTTGAATTGATCATGGGCTGGCCTACATGTAGTGAACCCAGCCAGATCAACCCATGAATATGATTTGGGTCTGTTTTGGATTTATCTTCTGGTTGATTTGTATGCAAGGATGTATCTTGTTCATTAGTTTTCTTGTTATAAGAAATGTGAAAATGTGCATTATGATTGCTTTCATCACCATTATGTAGTGGGACAACCTATTCAATATTGAATTAAATTCACCATTATGTATTGCCCCATAAACATAAAAACCCAGGTAGTAAAAACATTTTGCAGTCAACGCTGCACGTAATCATAATTTTACCAAGGAGATGAGTTGATATTATTCGTCCCAAATTCTTTCTTAGACTTGCTCAGTTACTCTTGATCTCTCCATTAACATGGATGGCATTGCAACTTACACAGATCGCCTTGGTCCAAAAGCCTCATCATATTAACTTTGCAAACATGAAATTTCTTCCACCTATGCAACCTCTTCAGATTTTTGGCAATTTAATGGTTTCTATTATTTTAGGGGATTGGGATGATGGAGGTGTCTTTTCAGTCATGTTTTTGTTGGGCTTAAAACAACAAACACAATAACATGGAAGCAATATATCACAATAAATCGACAGCAAATAGACAAAAATTAATAATCAATAATGTAAGAAAAACTAAACACACTAAAATTTTTGTGAAAAACCTTCAAATGTAGAGGGAAAAACCCACGGATCACTAGAAAAATCTCCACTTCTAAATAATAGGTATACAAAGTTCATCTCTAGTTAAAATTAGAGTTAAACAACAATTAGAGAGAGAGAATTTGAGAAATTTCATCAAATAGATGACTCAACAAATATATTATAGATTTGTATTTAGAGAGCTTCAATCCCGATCTTCACCATTCAGAATGTAGAACATTGAGTTGTGAATGCATTGACAAAATTTCAACTCAACCAGACCACGGATCAACCTTCATTCAGGCTCTTGATCAAACTGATAGCATTCTTTTCTCTTTTTTTTCGTTTCTTTTTTTTTTTTTCCTTTTTGGTTTGAGCCATTCACCCTTTCACAGCCCTCACCCCATTTAAGAGGGCTAATATGTGTTGCAGAATACAAAAGGCATATGGCTAGGCCTTTTGGTCAAAATTAATGAATGGGACTGGACCCCACCTAACAATCTCCCGTTCCAGTCCCATTAGAAGGAGATCCATCACAAAAACAGTTTCATTTGGAACTTACCTTGGCCAAGGAATCCATTCCTTGGCTTTAGATTTAAGGTTAAATCAGAAAGAGTATATAATGTTTTGTGACAGTCAGAGTGCTTTAGATTTGAGTAAGAATGTCATATACATGCTAAATACAATAGATAAGTTTGACTAAGACACTTCCTAGGGAAAAACTTGAGCTATGCAATAACTTGGTCGGAATTGATTTTTTGTCCAAGGCTAGTTCCAAATGAGACTGCTATAGTGATGGATCTCCTTCTAATGGAACTGGAGGGGGAGATTGTTATGTGGGGTCCTATCCCATGCATTACTTTTGACCAAAATGGATAGTTTTCAATTTATATAAAAGAAGTTAAACTACAAGATCAATGAAAGGACTTGCAAAATTGAGGGGGAAAATTAGCTCAAAGAAAGGAAACCTCTTGAGTGATTAAAATTTGATTTTGGGATTTACACAAGTTAAATGATACCATGGCCTGTTTGGCCAACTTGTGTTGATTAAGTAAATGATGAATGCTTCTCATATTTGGTTTTCAGGTTGGTTACCATCCTGACTTTGTAGACTCAAGATGTCTGTTCATAGTTCGAAAAGATGGAGAAATGGTTGACTTTTCTTACAGGAAATGCATCAATGGCCTGATAAGAAAAAACTATCCTCTATATGCAGACAGCTTCATTCTCAAACATTTCCGACGGCGTAGACGGGTTTCCTGAGGTTAATGCTCGAAACTTGTCAACCACTTTATATTATTAAGGATCTTTTGAATTTTATTCTTATTGTTTGTAATATGTCATAATTATGAGCTCAATTAACATTGTAGAAATTAAAGGCAATTACTGAAAATTCTTAAATGCTGGATGTAGTTTATAGAAAAACATATTCCTAAAAGATTGTACTGAGTTCTGCTGAATGGTTTGACTGGTAACTGGTCTAAGGCCAAATGTGCATATATCCTTAAATCACGGTTCCTCTGTCAAGGAGTAGGATTTCACTAGTTTTCTATATTGCTCTGCTACTGCTCTCTCTCTCAACAAACATCAAGCACACCCACATGCATAAATGCTGCTTTGGCTACCAAACTGCATTAACTCTTCGCATCTTACGTGACTGTAACAGAGAGTAGTAGTCATGCTTTATCGTTTAAGTCAAGAAGTCGATCATTTCTTCGTGAGGAAGTGTCAGTTGTTTGTTTGTTAGAGCTCACTCATTCATTCTCTTAATGGAAGACAGATGTCAGTATATATATGTGCACTGTTTACTTTTTTCCCCCTAATAATTGAAGACAGATGTCAGTTGCCTTGGCCGTTAAGTAACTAACACAAATAGTGAATTGCATATCTGTGCCATTTCCTTGTTCACTATGATTATTCTCTTAAACGTGTATATTTAATAAGTGAAAATTGATTTAATATATCATCGTAAGCTTTTGAACTTCATCAATAAAATTAGAAGATAATCATATATTCAATTAAAATATATTTTTAATTTACTTGTGAACTTTTAAAACACTATAACCATGCATCATTATGAAGTAAATTAAAATAATATTCACAAGAATTTATTCAGTTGGTAAGAAAAAGCACGCTCCATCGCGCTCTAGCATTTATCTCTTGTCGCTACTCGCCACAAAACCAACCACGCCACTACAGTCCAAAACCATAAAATTCACACCGTACCCACCTTTCCTTCCATGCAACGTGGGCGGTCCATATCCTTCCATTTTGATTTTCAATTGGTCATTACAGCCTCCTACACCCTCCCCATTGGTCACGTCTCGCCAATCCACCCGGCCCACAAATATATTATTAAAAAAAGAAAATATATATTTAATATCTTAAAATGAAAAAAAAAAAAAAAAGAGAAACCGACACTTGGCGTTTCGAAAGCTCTAACTCGCGAAGAAGAGGAGCCAAACGCTGTCCGAAGAAGCAACAGGAAAGAAACACAAAAAGTACTAACAAGGTAAAATATATATATTACTATTTTTTATTTTTTAAATTATTTTATGTTTTTTCATTTTTTAAAAAGGGTGCTGTTTTGGATAATTGATAAACTAATTTGTTCACTTCGTATTTATTTTGGTTTGGTTGGGTTTTGATCTTTGCTGTTTTCTTTCAATTATTTGGTATGTTAAATTTGTTGTTTTTTTTTTTTTTTTTTTCTGAATTAGAAAGCTTAATGTTTTCATTACCTCAGATCTTCAACTTTCTGGTAATTGAAAACAGAGATTTCTTGAACACATCAAAATGTTAGATTTTACTAACACTTCAAGAACAGAAAAAAAGAGTTGATTTTTACATTCATTTTTTTATTTTCTTTCGTTATATGTTTTTGTGTTTGGTTGTTTTTTCTTAGTTGAAACTGATAAAGAGTTCGTGATCTTGAATTTTTGGTTCTATTGAAAACGTGAACTTCCCAAATAAAGAAAAAAAATATATAAACCTATAATTTGATTTGGGTTTAATTTATTTTGCTTTCATTAAAGTATACTAGTAAAGGACTATAATCTATATTCTTTTTGGGATCAAGTTTATTGACACTGTTTTATCCAGATTTTAATGGGGACTAACATGAACTTCAAGAGCTTTGGAAGTAACCAACCGCCATCAGCTGACGGCGCCGGGGATAAAACGCCGGGGAATAATCCGTTAACTAGAGAGACATCTATCTATTCTCTAACCTTTGATGAGTTTCAAAGCACTATGGGTGGAATAGACAAAGATTTTGGGTCAATGAACATGGATGAGTTGTTGAAGAGCATTTGGAGTTCTGAAGAAACTCAAACAATGGCTTCTTCCACTGGTGGGCTAGAGGGAAATGGAGGGTTACAAAGGCAAGGGTCTTTGACTTTGCCAAGGACACTTAGCCAGAAAACTGTTGATGAAGTTTGGAAAGATATTTCAAGGGAGTATTCAATAGGGAAAGACGGGATTGGAACTGCAGGTACTAATAATATGCCACAAAGGCAGCAGACTTTAGGGGAGATGACTTTAGAGGAGTTTTTGGTGAGGGCTGGTGTGGTAAGAGAGGATACCCAGTTGGCTGTGAAGGTTAATAATGTCAATGGGGGTAATAATACTGGGTTTGGTATTGGGTTTCAACAAGGTGGCAGAGGTCAAAATTTGATGGGGAATAGGCTTTCTGAAGGTGATAATAAAATTGGTATTCAGCGTTCCAATTTGCCTTTAAACGTTAATGGAGTTAGTTTAAACCAGCACCAGTTAGCTCAGCAGCAAACTCAACAGCACCAGCAACCAGTTTTTCCTAAGCAACCAGCTGTTGGATATGGAGCTCAGATACCTTTACAAAGTGGTGGTCAGTTGGGGAGTTCTGGAATTAGGGGTGGAATTTCTGGGATTGGAGATCATGGACTTACTCAGGGTGGTGCACTGCAACGTGGAGGGATGGGGATGGTTGGTTTAGGAGGGCCAGTCGGTATTTCTACTGGATCACCTGCTAACCAGCTTTCATCAGATGGGATTGGTAAGAGTGGTGGAGATACTTCCTCTGTTTCGCCAGTTCCTTATGTGTCTAATGGAAGTTTGAGGGGTAGGAAATGCAGTAATGTGGAAAAGGCTGCTGAGAGGAGGCAGAGGAGAATGATAAAGAACAGAGAATCAGCTGCAAGATCACGAGCTCGCAAGCAGGTGAATATATATATTTTATTTACTAGTTCATCTAATCTTCCCTTCTTCATAGCTTTTAAATTCATCGTAGGTAGACAATTTGGAATATGCATTATTATCATCTATGAACTGGATATCTGAAAGTGTTATCAGTCAGCTCATTTGATGACTTTTCTCTGCTATGTCAGCTCTTTATGCTCATTTGATATCACATTTACCTTTTTGTGCCAAGATATGTCGGAGATTTTTAACTCTGCTTTTAATACACTTCAAGCAACACCTTCCCACCCAGTTTCGTCTTGTTACATCTTAATGAGTTTTACTAGCCATTGACCTTCTGCTTTTACCGTATGTGACATGCTGCATCCCAAAACTTCATGAAAGATTATGCTACAGTATGGTAATTTGATAGCGATCTGACATGAGAAGAGATGAAAGATTTTGAGAAGTCGAGGTCATGAGGAGTTATAAGGATCCTTGTTACAAGGCAATGGAGCATTTGTTTAACAACACGAGTAGTTTGAAGCTCTATCATATAACAATCAATAAAACCATTGAATAAGGTTGACATCCTTGACCTTGTTGATTTTGTTATAACTATAGCGGATCAAAACAGTTCTATCCTGAAGTAACTAGTAAAATTATGGTGTGTATCAAATTCATGCTTTGAAGTTTCTTATGGTTTTTACTTTCTTAATCTGCTAGGCTTATACAATGGAATTGCAAGCAGAAGTTGCAAACCTAAAAGAGGAGAACCAAGAATTGCGGAAGAAACATGTATGTTCTTTCCCTTCTTTGTTTCAGTGCACCCATCATCATTTTTACAGAATATTACTAATTGTTGGTTATGGCAGACCCATACTTACATTTTCATTGACTGCACTTTGGTTGCTGCAGGAAGAAATCAAGGAAATGCTGAAAAATCAGGTACCGAAAAGTTCTCTTTGCCATTTCTGTTTTTTTTTGATAACAACTTAAAATTTATACCCTCCTATTATCATGATGCATCATCATCCATATACTTGCATGCATCTCCCAGATGCTTTCAAAAACACATCTTTATTTTATGAATTAAGAGTTGTCTCCTCCTCATGTCTAGAAATTCCAGAGTTTTTCTGTGTATCCGTTAGAGCATGATTGTCATTTCACTTCACTGGTATGATATGGGTTTCTCACATGAGATCATACTGTTTAATCATGGAATCCTCTAAAAACCCTCAAATTTATGATATGCCAATCGTCATGAATGTTTTTCCTGATCTTGTTTGAGTTGGTTGACAACCACAGGTCATGGAGATGATGAATAAGCAACAAGGAGCTAAGGAGCAATGCCTGCGAAGAACACAGACGGGTCCATGGTGAGGTTGTTAAAGCGTTGTGCCTGTGATTCTTAGTTGAATTATGGTTGTACATAATTTATTCAAGGGGGTAGTTCTTCTTCCTTTAGATTTGGAGAGATGAGCTACTGCAGTGTAGATTGAAAAATGGTCCAATATTTGTGTTATCTTTCATACATTTCTCTTATGGACAACATGATTCAGTAAGAATATGCACATTTCAGAGAATCTCAATAGTTCCCCCTATCATTGAATTAATCCTCCGTTTATGTGCACTGCAATTGGTTTGGTAACAGTTCATGGATTTTTCTTTTCTTTTTTTAATTTTCTCATCTGCTTCATATATGCAGTAAGAATGATACAATGGTTATGCTATGCATTATTTATTATTTCTATATTTGATGCATGGCACTGGAAACTTTTGCATAAACTTTGAAGTATAATACATGCTTATGCTTTTTCAATTTAAACCATCAGTCTCCGTTGAAGTAACCAATGAGATGACCAATCTATGTGATTTGAGCCACGGATTGCTCATTTAAAAGAAATATACCTAGTGAAAACGGGGTCAAAATGGCATGCAGCTTGGATAATGTCTATATGCCTGTTTATAATAATGAATTTTATCCTTTATACCCAAAATTTGGGAAACAAATTAAAGAGATTTCCAAACCAACAAATAGGCGCAACAGACATACCTTTCCATCTCAATGGTGAGTTAAAGAAAAAAACTAATCGATAATAACCAGTGGCCCCAGCCCGCAAGGCCCTCAGCCGATAGCAATGCAACTTGTGTAATCACAGGCTGAAAGAAACCCCTTGCCTTTTTTTTTAATTTAGCAATTCTGGAGAATCAGATCAATTTCGAAACAATGCCCTTCAAGTTGCCACAGCAGCCTCATGTTCACTCATAGGTTCACTGTTTATCATGTTCAAGTTACTTCCTCTGAACCTCATCTAGCAAAGTGGCAGCTCCGTAGAATAACATCATTACTTTCAGATCAGAAACTTTAATTCTAAAAAGGGTAGCCAGTGGTGCATTCCATGTCCTTCCAAGATATCATTTTCCTACGATCCCTCCCTCTGAATGATCTAGAGAAAAGTCTACCACTAACAGGTTTACACAAGCCAATATCAATCACAGAACTACTCTTCCTCTTTTCAGAAGATGAAGTTGCCTCATCCATGTAATAGTCAACAGCATAGCAAGATAGTACACTTGATGTGATAATGTATAGTTTTCTTCATCTGGAGGTACCATCTTTAACATATGAAGATTTACCTACACGATGCAACAAGAGAATGAGAATTTATTGCATATGCTTGGGAAAGCTAGTAATAGTAGGCCCTACAGAGACACTACTTTCAAGTAGTTAAGAGAGAGAGAATGCTAAGAAATTGATGGAACTCAACTAGCGAGCACATGACCATTACAGCAAGAACAAAAGGGCTAAAACTACTCTACATTTAATAAATGAAACCATTATCATTTATCAATATCATGATTCATCATAAGAAGCATAAGCTCATAATTAACTATGCTTTATTGTAATGTCATTCCATGTTTCTATGCCTGGAGAAAATACTCCAGCAAATCACCATGCATTAATGTGAGATAGCTACTTTGGAAATACTGGTTGCTTACTTCAGCCTCCATAGCACGGACTTCATTATGCCACTTAGAATAGTGATTCTCAGAAGAATTTTCTCCAGGAGAAGAATAAAGATTCACTGTAAACAGAGGAGGTCTAAGAGGGTATTCCATACTGATTTTAACCTGCAACAGTTCAGTTTGATGTTAGGCTTCTATTGTTAATGAGCATAATAGAAAAAAAAAACCATTTTAATTGTTGACACCTTGGCTTCTAGTTTCATACTCCTCCCACTTGTGTCCATTCTCCTAGTTAAAAGAAGAATAAATTCCTTGATACCATAGTCCACCCATGACTTTTCAGCTATTTCATAGCATTGAGTAGAAGCAGAGTTTTCAGTCTCTGTCTCTGTGGGCTCATCCAGATCACTATCAGTCTCCAGAATGAAGTCAGAACCATCATCATGTTTTTTGAAACTTGGTGATTTTCCCTTACTGACTAGGGACAAAAAGCTTTTTGAAATCAAAGCCAACTGCTTGGGATGGTTAAGACTAGATCCCTTTAATGGAGTAAGTTTAGCATCATTTGTGACAGATGGAAATGAAAGCAAAGATGGCAGCTCCCCATCTTCCCTTAAACTCTCCAGCTCTTCCTTCGACATACCAGATCTTCCATTCATATCAACATCCATAGGTTCTTGGACTGGTTCTGCGTCAGTAACAAGTTGAGATGAAGCCTCATTGACTTTGGATGCTACAGATGACCAACTATGTAAACTGCATAAAGGGGTATGCAAGGCCCACGGAACACTTTTACAATTCAGAGAAGGCCATTTAAGCTTCATAAATGATTCAAGCTGTTCCCTGTAATTCAATAAAAGAATTCCAAATTTTCAACAAAAAACATGCCACACTGAAGATAAAACAAGCTAAGAATATTCCAACATAGAACAAAAATAATCTTCCAACACATAAGATGCACATAAAAACAAGTTACACTAAGGCAGAGAGACAAAAGTTTGTACTAAAACCACATTGAGGGACTTTATATCATAAAGATGGCAACAAGGACCCTAGCAGGCTAGCACAGGAAATTATAACCGAATATTCGGTTTTGACCACATTGTGGTCTTCACTCCTATTTGCTTTCCTACTGTTTTCTTGAAGATCCAAACTCCAAACATACAGGGCAGTGACTCACACAAGAGCCAGCTCAGCTTTTTTCCGTGAGCGGATTCTTTGCACAACTGTCTGCACTCGATTCTGCTGGCGATAAGAAGCAAGACCAGAAATAAAAGCATTGCTTTTGGTTTCATTATTTGAAGTTTCATGGCTATTAAGCAATGGTGAAACCTCAGGTAAGAAATCAATTCCTGCCAAATGCTGGGCCCACTTGTATGGACGTGAAGTTCTCTTTTCATCAAATGTAGCAGCATCACCAACGAAGAGCTTGGCTGACTGCAATATCATTCAGAACCACATTATTAAATGAAAAGGAAAAAATCTGCAACGACTGAGAAGGTAAGGTTGAAAGCAAGACATGTAATAGCTATCAGACACAAACCTGGTGAGGCAGATCAAGGCCAGTGTCATCAGGAAATAAATTGCAAAGGATATTATACTCAGGTCCTTCAGTTGACCCTTCAATCCCAGCACAAACAACATTCAACTTTAACAAGTACTCAAACTTCAGAGTGATAAGTTTTGTGGATCTAGGATCAGATGCCTCATCATCGTATATGTGAAGGATAATTTTCAGAGGATAAACTTGATAGACTCCTGCCTGGTCAATAGCCTCCTTGCTTGGAGCCCTCTTTGGTCGCTTTCTCCTCTGCTGGCCATCATCTTCCTCATCGGGTACATCATCCTCCAACCTTGAGCTCTCTACACTAGTAGATAAACCTGGTAGTTAACGATAACAGTACTCTGTTCAAATTTTTTCTGAAAGAAGAAATTTCACATCATCTGCTACCAGAAGACAAGAGCATGTTAGAGGTCAAGTTAGCAAGATAAATCGAAGTATAATATGTATCAGACATCTTGAAGAAAATTCTTTGTAGAAACAGGTTTAATACACTCACCCTCCAAGGAATTTAACCTAATACAACTTGGTTAATGTTATAAACAGCCATATCTTCCATTTAAATGTTGCACACCATCTCTCACTATTCTATTAATGCCAAGCTCTATATCTGGTGATACTATGTCCATTTGTACTAGCTTACTTGTCTGTTGATTGGAGCACAAAGTATAATTTTAAAGTAACATCTGACGAGCTATCAAAGATGGCACCATGCACAAGCCAGAAGTAAGACCAACATCACTCACCATTGTCCTTATTTGCATGCTGGCGAGCGAAAGCTTGAGCATCCTTCATACTTCCTACAATCTCCAGATTGATATCTTCACCAAACGCTTCCTGCTGGGCCATGAACTGAGAGTAAATCACGTAGAGTGGAGGTGGAAGCAATTCGGCTGAATGATGTTGCTTCAGTTTCTTTGAATGCAAAACACCCAATTGATTCTGTACTGGCAATGATGCTTTCTTAAGGGACTTGAGGTGTGAAGGCAGGCTCGACATAAACTTCTTCCGATTTGCTATTATCTCCAAAAGACTTTTCTTTTGTTGTTCCAACCTTTCTAGAAGTTTGCATAGCTCTTTCCGCTGAAACAAACAATATCCAAAGGTAAGCTTAGCAAAGCATTCTTTTAGCAAATCGCTTCAAATACTATCAATACAAAGATTACTACTTCAATTCAAAATACATGATACATTGTTCTAAACACAGATATGGTATCGAAAAGACTCAAATTTTCCATAAAATTAAAACATAAGATAAAGACTATGGTAATTTACCTGGAAGAGCTCATAATTAAGCCTTTTAAGCATCAAATTATGCAAGCTATCATCAGACAAATTCGAACCCTTGATTGCTTCAGGGGCGTCGTGAAAAAACTGCTCCTCCGGTACAAGCTCGATATCAGGATACTTAGATTTGAAATCCTTGCAAGTTTTTATAGCTTTCAAATAGTGACTCTTCTCGTACATTAAATTGTGAAGCTGCAGCGTCGTAAAATCCACCGGCGCCTTCGCTCGTTCCGTCTTGGCTTTCACTTTGTCCTCCTCCAATAATATACTACGATTCGCCTGGGAAAAACAATAAAACAAAACCCTAGATTTCAATTTCTCTTTCCTTTTTTTTTAATATATTTTTTAATGGACAAACAGAAATGTAAGACAGAGGAAGATGACCTGTCTGAGAGTGACAAAGTTGAGAAACATTTGGGTGACGAGTTCTCTGAGTTGGGATTTTGGTTTGCTTTCCTTTTTGTGGAGAGGATTTTGGCGACGATCTCTTCGACCGATGCTTTGCTTTCTTTAAGCATATCGTAAGGAGATTTCTCAGGCCTACGCAGCGGAGCTGGTGAGTGCGAGCTCTCTTCCACCACCATTCCCTCCTCTATCTCTCCATCCTCCATCTTCTTCCTCCCTTTACCGCTTGCGCTTTGCTTCAGTTTTAGCTACTGCTTCAACCCCGGAGAAGAGCCAGCCGACATCAGTTCAATTCGGTTAGAACAGGGACCTCCTATGTTCTCTGCTTCTTGTCCCCAACGCTGTCGTTTTCTCGCTAGTTGTGGTTTGAAAAAGAAACGAAATTCTTGTTGTCAAATATGGGGCTTTTCAACTTTTAAGCCCAACACTGTTTAAAAGGAATAAAAAGTCTCAACGAATATCTTCCCAATTTTATTCTAAGCAAACAGCGTCTAATCGTTTCAAGGTTGTCTTTGAGATTTGGCGAAGTTAAAAGCCGACCAGAGAACTTCTTGTCGTCTATGAAAAGCGGGAGTTTTGGGTTTGGTATTCTCGAAAGAAATGGACGCGGTCGAAAACCAAAGCAAAGCTCCAGCTATCAAAGCTTTGGATTCTCTCTTCAAGCTCACCCACGTCCACTTATGGTTTACATCTCTCCCTCTTTTTTCATCCATCTTTATCTGCTGGTAATTAGAGAAAATAGTTGAATTTTAGTGAAAGAATAACAACAGTTTAGTGAACTTCAACTCAACGTCTTCTTTGCTCAAACACGGATGGTGTTTATAAGGAGACTTGACAATATTCTTGCTCATGCGAAAGTGAAAGCAATGTAATTTCCCTTGTCTAATTCTTTTCTTTCTTTCTTTCTTTCTTTCTTTCTTTTTTCTTTACCGTTTGGTATGTTTACTTAAATGCAGAAATCCTCTCGACAAAAGGATAAGAGCTGCTCAAGCATTTTTCATGCGACCAATGGCAAGTGCTCTGCAATTTATTTTGAACTTGTCTATAGTTATCTTGGTTTTAATTATTTTGTAAGTTATTGATAGTGAAATATAATTGGGATGATTGCTGTGCATCCCAAGAGGTTTATTGATTCAATTCCTTATCTTCTTTCCTTTTTTTTGGGCCACAAATGCCTTATTGGTAGTGAAATTTCACAGCTTCATGAACATTGATAATGGCTGAGGAAACATGCTTCAACAGTTTGGTTCTCTTTGCAGATTTGAAACGTCTTTTTTTATTTGCAATTGTGCATAACTGCATACATAAACCAAATAACCATATAAATGGATAGCTCCTAGCTAAGTATAGATGCTACAAGGAGCATGCTCTTAATTGTGTCCATTTCAGGGTTTTCTGACATCTTAATTTGCTTGCAGCATCACCAAGACACTGACTGGAACAATTTTTTATGCTGATGATATTCATTTAGAAACTGTTGCTTTAGCAAAAGGTAATGTAGACGCCCCGCTTGTTGCTGCCATTAAAAAGAGGAAAAAGAAAACAAGACACGCTCTGGGGAAATTGTGTAGGGATCATGAAGGTTTATAATTCAATCATCTTTTCCTTCCTATTTACTGATGAAATCCATTGTTTTGGCTTTTAACATATTTACTGGATTAATCAGACACCGTTGTTTTTGTACCATTTTTGCCAAATTAAGCTAATGCTGGGCAAATGGTGTTGAATTGTTTTCTTCCTTTGTCCAGAACTTCAATTCAAAGGAATGTTTGAGGAGTATTCTGCCATGATTGGTAAATATTGGTGGCAGAGATACCTGCTATTCTCCAGATTTGATGATGGTATAAAAATGGATGAGGAAGGGTGGTTTTCTGTCACTCCAGAGCCTATAGCTAGGCATCATGCATCCCGTTGTGGGAGTGGCATTGTAGTTGACTCTTTTACTGGAGTTGGTGGGAATGCCATTCAATTGGGCCCAGAGGTGAGAGTACTATTGGAACTCCATTTCCCCTTGGTTTTGTTGCGCCGCATGTTTATGTCTGTACTTTATTTTCTTGTTCCATGTGATTCTTCAGGAGTGCACATGTAATAGCTATTGATATCAATCCAAAGACGATAGGTTATGCATATCATAATGCCGCTGTCTATGGTGTCGATGACTAAATAGATTTCATAATTGGGGGTTTTTTTTGCTTTGGCACCTAAATTGAAGGTACCAGTCTGGCTTATTGCATGTTACAGATATCAGTTTCTTATTTTACATTGCAAGTTATTCCATCCTGTAAACAAGCCATCCTTTCCCAAAGTTTGGACTTGAGACCTTTTTGTTAATGGGTGTCCCTTTGCAACATTTTAGATTTTGATATATTAGACAGTGAATGTGACACTGACTAGTATATTCTGGATGTTATGTTTTCTAGTTCTTGTTATTGCTTCTCAATGATTGATGCTCAAGTCTAAGACGGAACATATTAATCTTTTTCATGTGTTTGTTTCTCTCTATTTAGCTTTAGTCTAATAGTTTTTGACATCAATATTTCTCGTGTGTAGGCAGATACTGTCTTCTTATCACCTCCTTGGGGGGGTCCTGATTACACTAAAGTAAAGATGTATGACCTCAATACAATGCTTAGGCCATGTGATGGGTACTTCTTTTTCTGCTTCCTAAGTGTCACACTGCGAATATTTAGATTTTGTTTTTTTGTACCTCTTAAGAGTTGTTTTAATTCCTTTTTGATTGTACTTCTGCAGATATTTCCTGTTTAATGTTGCAAAGAAAATTGCCTGCAGAATTGTCATGTTTCTCCCTAGAATTGTAGATATCAACCAATTGGCAGAATTATCTATGTCTGCCCAGCCTCCTTGGTCATTAGAGGTAATCTTCGAATTTTTTTAATCAGTGAACATTATTGATATAGATGCTTAATATGTAACCATTTATCACAGGAGAATGTCACCATAACATTCATGTAAGACACAGAGATTCTCGATGTGTTCACTAGGAAACTAGATATGTTAATGAGAGCACCTTTGTTCAAATCATGAGCCTCAGTTTGCAATAAATGAAATAATTCTTATTGATTTTTCAATTGGTGCTTTCTTTGTGCTTCATCGTCATATGCAATTAATGAGAATTTCTACCTATTGTTCTCATTTTCCTTTTCAATTCTGTTTTTTTTTTTTTGGAGCTATCCTCTCTGCCAGTCTAGATTTGTATTACCTCTCTTTAATTTGTAATCTAATCTTATATTCTGCTGTTGAATTTTTTATTTTGTTGTTGTTAAAGCAAATGTCTATAATCCTAAGTTGAGAAAAACTTTTTGCATGGCAAGTTGAAGGCAATAACTGCTTACTTTGAGGTGGCGACAGTTACAGGACAATAAATCAGCATTATTCATATGCACTATGGAGTGATCGAAGAGAATGGGGTCAGCTTTTTGTGGATCTTAAGCCACCTGATATTTTAAATGTTGTTCTATAGATTCCTCAAACCGGCCTTTCTTTTTCTTTATGTCTTCTGCTTCTTTCGGGCAGCAGAGTGTTTTACCAACAACCTAAAACCCTGTATATAATGCTGCATTAAGGCAGTAGTTTGATGTAAGTCAGAAATAGTTGCATTTGCATTATTGCCTTATCTTCGAGTTACGCATGTACAATCACCACTTTTTCATCTGAGTGTTCGTGCCCATACGCAAGTCTTATGAGTGGAGACTTAAGTTACAGGCTTGTGCAGCTCCAAAATATGGGGATGGTTTTTTTCGCGTTTAGATCAACTTAATACAAGGTTTACAGCAACTTATAATGTATTGTTTGTTTTGATACATTAAACCTCACGGTTTTGTCTCACGAAAAGACGTTCACAAGTTAAAAAGTAATGTGAATATCTATATCTCAAGATCAATTCTCGTACACAGTTGATGTAAAAGAAGGTGATGTGAATATTTATATTTTATATATTTCAAAATCAATTCTAGTAAATAGTCAATGTAGGATTTATGGTTCTTTTTTAAGATTGTAACATCTTCTATCACTTTAACGAAAGTTTATCGTTTTTATGATACATCGTTAGTATCTTAAAGTTGATTCTAATATTGTTATCAATTATCATAAATCGAAATTTAAGTTTTAGGCTTATACGGCTTCAAGATATAGGGATGGTTTCTTTCGTGTCTTAGATTAATTTAACACAAGGTTTACATCAACTTATAAGATATTATTTATTTCAGTTCATTGGATTTTACGATTTTATTTCACAAAAAATACTTCACAAAAAAATATGATGTGAATATTTATATCTTAATATCAATTTTAATACACAATCAATATAAAATATATAATTCTTCTCTGTAATCATGATACAAGCATAAACATAATATGTTGCACTAATTATTAAATCAAATGTTGTGTGTCATCTGGGTGGTCATCGTCGGTGTAAACTGTTGTTTATGTTCTAAAATTGATCATTGGCTACAAAAGTTTGGATGAGGCTCCCTCGTGTTAGTTATAAGACGGATATAAGACAACTTATCATGTGGATGAAGGTTTAAACGGTGGGATTTCAGTTGAGTAGCATGAAAGATTCAGTATTTCTGCTAAAAAAAAGAAGGTATTATTCCATGTTTAAAAATGCATTTGAGAATGTGGTTGCAACAACTAGATAACCTAGTTGCAAACAATTATAGAATTTGATGGAAACTGATAGAGACTTTATTGAGCATGTGGTCACAAGATAAAGCAGATCTCTTTGTTTACAAGCGGAAAGCAATTACAATATAAAATGATGCCAGTGAGTTTATTAAAAGGAAACAAACAAAAAAAAATCCAATCAAATCAGTATCTGTGGTGTGTATCTGAAGATAAATCAAGATTTGGGAAAGTGGGTTGGGTCCAGTCCTGGATTGACGAAACAAACCCAACCTGACTGACCAATAATGAACAATAATAGCAACTCCAAAATTGACTAGGAATAGTTAAAGCCCTGACCCTCGAGCTCAACTTAGCAAGGAACCTGACAAACATGGGTTGCTGTTACCGAAGCATTTTATCAAATCTTGGTCATCAGAATAATATATCAGCTCCTCATTACTAAGACAAGAAAGAGAGGGAACCTGTAAATCGACAATTTTGTTTGTTTCTTTTCTCTCGTCAGAACTGTTTATTCTAAATTATTTTCTAGCAGAATTTACCTGGTTTGACCACGCCATGGCTCCAGGCTGTACAGCTGACAACCGTGCGTGTACAAATTGTGGGGGATGGTGAATTCCTTCTTCTCTCGGGGATTTGATTTTGTTCTGCTACAATACGTCAATTTACGTAATAAATACAGTGCTGAACATTGCTTTTCCCTACGGAAAATTCTTTGAGAAGCAACAACTTTCAACGGAGTGATAAAAACCCCCATAGCTGCCATGCCAATAATAGAAAGGAAGTCAGATCTTGGAGCTCCTTTGCTTTTAGTTTGTTTCATTATCCCATGAAAGATCACATGCAGAGAAGGGAGCTTCCTTGACAAAAATGAGCCTGAGAAGAAAAAATGTTGAAATATAGTATATCCATGTAAGGTGAGTGGGAAGAAAGAAGATGATGGCTCCACATAATGCGGCACGTTTGGTGGGGACAAAAAGATTTGATCACCGCCCATGACTCCTTTCGGCACTTTGCTCTTGCATCAGGATACAATAAAAAACACCGCAACAACAATTTCCCCGTTGACTATGCTTCATACGGATGATAATTCACCCTCGAAACGATATGATCATGTGGTGAAAATTTTGTTCACCAATCATTCAAATGAAGTATATTTTTTATTATTATTCTGTTTCATGTCTAATTAAACACGTTCTTTTTATCATAAGTTGTCCGAAAATTTGGAAGTCATTTTTTAACGCAATGAATTAAATATTTGGTGTTTGGACTTTTTCTTTTTAGGAAAATTATTTTTCTTTAAATAAAAACAATTAATTAGGTGGAAAATGTACTTTACTAATGTTAGTACAGATAATTTTTTTTTAAGATCATGACATCTAACGAATGTCTTTCGTCATTAATGGTACATTGTTAGTTTTTTTAGAGTTGATTTTAATATCATCTGTTATAAATCAAAACTTAAGCTTTAGATTTGTGTAACTTCAAAATTCGGATATAAACTCATATGATATTTTAAATTAATTTAACTGTCACGGTTCATATTTTTATGAAATATTATCCGTTTCGGATTTCCTTTGATCTTACGATTTGTTTCACAAAAAATATCTTATAAAAAAAATGATGTAAATTTTTATATCTTAAAATTATCTTTAGTATATAATCAATGTAAAATTTATGGCTCATCTCTAAACCCGTGATATAAATTCTAAAGATTAAAGATTAAAAGAGTTAATTGCGGTGACTTGCTTTTATATAGTTACATAATTTTGTTGATGTGGCTTTGCAGACTAATCTTTTTCCATGATGTGGGGTTTAAATTTGGGTGTAACAATTAGTAGTTATCATGAATTTGACCCATACCCACCAAGAAAATAAAAAAGTTTATTATTTTTCTATTTTTCTCACGTCGTATGGTGGAATTTCAATAATGTTGTTAATTTCAACTTTTATTTTGCTGATTTTTCTTGCCAATTTCATACTTCTATTCAGACTACTAAGAGCACTAAGATCTTATTTGGTTGGTGGAATGGAATAAAAGAAGAATGGAAAAATTATTTTTAGAATAAAAAAGAAAAAAAATATTATGATGTTTGGTTTATTGAAATGAAATATAGTAAGAATTAGTACTATTATGTCTAGTTAGTTTAAAGAATATAATTAGAATAAATATAAAAAACTAATTTATCCTTTTACATTGTTAATTATAATTTATTATAAAAAAATAGTTATCATAATTAATTAATAAAAGATAATTATTAATTAATTTTTTATCTCCTACTATTAATTATTAATTAATTAATAAAATTTAATCATAATCAATTAAGAAAAAATTAATCCTACTTAATTAATAAAAACAAAATTAATCATAATAAATTGATAACAATAAAAATGCCCAAAAAATTAAATAAAACAATTACTTAATTAATTAAACATTTCACTAACTATTATTACACGGGTATAGTATCAAATTTAATAATAAAATATTAAAAATCATCAAAATTTGAATTCAAATCCCTACCAACCAATTGACGAACCATGTGCTCTGTTACTTTCATTATAGTCCGTCGTTTTAGTTTTTTTGCAATAAATATATAATTTTCAATAGCATTTTCAACTTCAATAAAATAAAAACAAAACAAAATTTTTAAAAATATAAAACATTGTAACGTTTTGATACGCGTGTCGTGGTTTGTCCTCCTCCAATGGTGCCGCTTTTCTACTAGCAGACAACATCATTTAATACCCAAATACGAAAAGAATAATCACATCCATTTTGTCAAAAAAAATTCTCTCGGAACGTGACAACCCCCGTAATTCCTCCCACAAATTATACCAAAAAGACTTTAATACCATCGTAATTAAACCGAAATAATCATAAATCAAAGGGCTTTATAGTCAATTTGGAGGTAGACAAAATCCCAGGACCCATGTCCAAGTCCAGGAAAACGCGTAACATTAAACACACTAAGCATCAAACCCGGGTTTTGGAAAAGGCCTTCGTCTTTTAACTCCAACCCGCCATGTGTAGCAACAGAAAAAGAAAAAAAAATGGCCGATATTTGAAGAAGAAGAACTGAAGAAGTGAAAGCTTTGAAGAAAATGGCGGAGCTAGGGTTTCAAGAACAAAGCTCAGTGAGATCAGGTTACAGAGCTCGGGATGCCAGCCCTGACTCTGTTATATTCACTCCGGAATCGAATCTCAGCCTCTTCTCTTCGGCTTCCGCTAGTGTCGAACACTGCTCTTTTGCTTCCGATGCTCACGACCACGATTCTCTTGCTTCCGAACTCTCTTTAGTAACTTCTCCAATCTTAAAAAATTTTTAAAAATTTTTGTTTATCTCAATTTTCAGTGCAATGCTTAAGCAGAGGAAGCTGTAACAGTCGCATTGTCGATCGATTGTTGTTGAATGTCGATCAATTTGCATGCTATATTTTCTTATCGGATTAAATATTTAATAAAAATTTTGAAAAGAGGAAAAAAGAAAAATCATTTTTGAAATGTGAATTGTTGTGCAGCATTTGGCAGGACATGAAGGAGGAAAACAGACTGAGTGTTCGAGTGGACCAGATCCAGATCCAAACAAAGTTATAACAGTCTATAAGCACAGTCGCCTCTCCAGAAACGGAGAAAAAGTGAAAGGTACTCGCGTTTTAAAAAGTTAAAAATTGAAACTTCACCAAAACAAAAAAAAAAAGAAAAAGGAAAATAACGAATAGGCCAAAAATATCACAAATTCACTCATTCATTGTCATTGTCCCCCCTCCTTTTTCTCTTTTGCCATAATACGCAGTTCAAAAAGATGAAAACGATGCAGCTAATATAGAGGACGAATATCAACTCATAGATTCAGCAAGAAACTCATTCTGTCTTGCTCTTAAAGGTACCCTTTATTTTCCTTTTAAAGTTGTTTTTTTTAGCTTAATTTTTGTTTTCAAAAGAGTAATAATTGTCATTTTTTTTTTTTTATATAGAGGGTAAGGATAGGAGGATTAGATCTGAAGCTTTGTTGAAGAATCCTGATAGGCGAAGACCGGCTTCCTTAGATCTAAATAATGTCTCTGCTTCGTCTCCTCGGTTGGGGACTATAAAGAAAAGCTCCGTTGCAACACGGAAATTGGGTGCATTTCCTAGTCCCGGGACTCCCAATTATCATCATCATCATCATCACTTGAGTGCTGGGATGCAGAAGGGTTGGAGTTCTGAGCGCGTGCCATTGCATTACAATGGTGGAATGAGGCAGGGAAATGCTGCTGGGGTGTTGCCTTTTAACAATGGAAGGACTTTGCCTTCAAAGTGGGAAGATGCTGAGAGGTGGATTCTTAGTCCTGTTTCTGGGGATGGTGGTGTGAGGCAATCCGCGGTGCCACTACATAGAAGACCAAAATCAAAGAGTGGTCCACTTGGTCCTCCTGGGATTGCTTACTATTCGTTGTACTCACCTACGATGCACATGTTTGATGGGGGGCATACTGGGAATTTCATCACCGGCTCTCCGTTTTCAGCTGGTGTAATTGCAGCTGATGGTTTGAAAATTCATTCTCGTAGTCATGGTGGAGGATTTGCTGTTCGGACTGAGCCTTGCATGGCCCGTTCTGTTAGCGTGCATGGATGCTCTGAGGTAGTCGACCCACCATCGGTGCCTTCTCAAGGTACATGTCCATCTTTTGTACAAAACTTCTGGATCAGATGATTATACGAGATTTAGCTTACATCAATCATCTCCACATGGACATTGCAATTTGAAAATTATGATATCAATTATGAAAGGTTTTTTTTTTTTTCTCCATGTTTATTGTCTTGGCATCCAAATTAATCTAAACTTAAATTAAAACTTTTTATTTGATGCATTGTAGATAAATCAAAACTCATCATTTGATCAAAAATTTTAAAACCCCTTTATTAAATGTTATTTTTTATGAGTTACTAATGTAATTATCTGAAAAAAGTTACTAATTAAGTGTGTTATAATGATGAAAGAATGTAACTCTTGATATAAGAATCATTTAAATATTAAAGAATCTGCAAGTCCGGGCAAATGGACTTGAGCAGTGTGGGATTTTTATTTCTCTACAGTCGCCAAATTTATGAACTTGATGTTTCTTTGTCATAATATGATCCATGAAATATCAATATAGGCCATTTTCCAATTCTAAACTTGATTCTCTATTGAGAAATAGGTTGTTGTTGTTATGGTAATTGCTAAGCCTACTGTACTTTCATACATCTTATCCCATTTGGTTTTTCATCAAAGATGCTGATGAAAATCTTGATGCAGTCAAGGATGCAGCCACTTATATGTCTCGCACTGTTTCAAGGAGAGACATGGCAACCCAAATGAGCCCACAGAGTAGCACCCACTCATCTCCCAAAGGAAGGCTTTCTTTCTCTCCCTCCACCCCTTCTGCTCTACGTATCATGGAACTGCAAAGCATCCACTCCTCTAAATCAGAAGTGAGAGATGTGCAAGTAGATGAAAAGGTCACCATGACTAGGTGGTCAAAGAAGCTTAGAGCTCGAAACACTGGGAAGATCTCAGAAATTGTTGATGACTGGAGAAAGAGAGCTGTTGACACTTGTACATCAACTTGGGATGTGACAGAGACAGCAAATAACATTTCCAAGTATGTCTACTTTACTACTACATCACCTCTATTTCTTTTGTCCTGATGTGTTGGTTTTGTAGGATTTAGATCAACAACTTTGGAAGTGACTGGTTAAATTTCACCGATAAAAATGCCTTAACACAAGCAGTAAATATCTCTATCTATCAAGAACTTGAAGATCCCTTCAATAAAAGCTAAAAGTTTCCAATCAAACATTTTTGTTCTCTCTGTTTGAACCCCAATCACATTCTTCCTCAAAGACCAGCTTAAATGATTGCAATATAATGCTTAATTTACCAAAAATTATAAGCCTCATGTCAGTTTTGAGATGCTAGATTGTGTGGGATTAGCCTTTTGTCATTTCATAAATCTGCCCAAGAAACTGCATCCAACTTATTACTCTAATCAAGCAAAAGTTCATGTTTATCTTCATGTATCAATATCAGACAACACTGGAAGAGATTGAAATGTTTACAGAACATATTTGATCGATATTCATATTTTCAACTTCTTTGTTTCACCTTTGCAGGGTCAAAAGAGAAGAAGCCAAAATCACTGCATGGGAGAACCTGCAGAAGGCAAAAGCTGAGGCAGCCATAAAGAAACTAGAGGTTGCTTTTTCTTAAGTACTTCTTGATTCACAATTGAAGTAATTGTAATGAGATATTTAAGTCAATGATCAACCTTGATACAGTAAAAATAAAAATCTCTCCAGCAGTATGATTTTAAAATTTCTTTCCTTTCCTTTGTTGAAGCTATCATGTAACATCTTGATGAATTGGAATTCTGTAGATAGATTTCTCTGGAAAAGTGTTGGTTCTATTTATATTTCTTAAATAGAATATACTTTGTTAAGATAAAACTACTAAAAAAAGAGACAATCATGATGGCAAATGTTAATAATCTGTGGCGAAAATGCAACAGATCTAGCATTACCCAAAAACTTGTTATCTTCATCATTACTGACATAACAATGTATTTCAGATGAAGCTGGAAAAGAAGAGATCGTCATCAATGGATAAGATAATGAAAAAGCTGAGATCAGCTCAGAAGAAAGCCCAAGAAATGAGAAGCTATATGTTAGCCAATCAGACCCACCAAGTTACAAGGACCTCACATAAGGCTATATCATTCCTTCGAACCCGCCATATGGGTTCATTGAGTGGTTGCTTTACCTGCCATGCATTCTAAGGCCTCATTTAGCTAGCATTTACTGGTTCAATCAGTCTTGAAATGCCGGGTAATTTCAGCTTGGAATAATGCTTTCTCTTCATATTTTTGCTTAATTGTTTTAAATTATAAAGAATGATGACAAGGAGGATTAACATGACTGGTTAAGGGATTTTTCTTTTTCTCCTCGCATTTTGTGTGTGTCTGTGTGTGCTTTAAGATTTAAACAATATCTGCACATCGGATTAATGAGTTCCTCGATGTGGAGAGTTATACAAATACAATATCATTCATATAAAATGGTGAGGCACCCCTTAATAAGCTCCACTTCAGATGCAGCTCAATTCACTTGCTAAAGGCATTAGCTATTTTTGTTACTTAAACTGGCACTTCAGCATCCCATGTTAATAGGCTGCTTAAGGTTTTGATTATATGGAATTTTAAGGTGCATCTTCCTCTGGATGAATAACAAGACACATGATTATTTACTTATTTACATTTAATTCAGTGAATGTCGAAAAATGGAAACATCTCTACTTAACACAAAAGCTTTATTTACTTGCTGATTTAGTTTTATGCTTACATTATCTCATCTTATCTCTAACCAGCTTGAGGGACGAAGACCACTGGAGACAATGAATATTGTACAGGAAGCAAGTATTATACTGACACCAAATTGGTGTCACTGCAGTTTTGCCTGAATGAAGCACCACTACCTACATCAAGGTTCCAGATTAGTACAAGAACCCAATTGTCATGTCCTAGGACTTCAAAATTTCCTGAATGCTTGACTAATAAAATCCTGTATGCATGCATGTATGTATGTATATCAACCTGTCAAAATATTTTTTTTCTTACTATGACAGTTTGCCGTGGAAATGGAAATATCATTCATCCCTTTTACCTTCTTTTTCTCACAAGAAGTCAGAATTCTTGAGAACAAATAGATGCCAAGCATTTCAATTTTGTCATTAAAACTTGTGTATTCACATATTTATTCTGATTTTTGCATTCGTGTTCATGGTATATATCCTTCCAGTTATTCATATCTGCCAATAATGAGCTTTGTAAGTATTGAATTATCTTTTTCATTCTCTTTTAAGTTCGTGTTTGTATACAGGGTCTGGAAGCGGACGATCCGGGGGCAAGGTTCCCAATCGGGTAGCATTCACATAATCTTGAGGGAAATGAGCCGATATTCCTGGTATTACTATTCCAATTATCCTCCACATTCTCAAAAACCACCCTTCCTGTAGGGCAGGATGAAACCCCTAATAAGCTCCCAAACTGCATTCATGATCTATGGTAACACCCATAGCAAAGAGAAGTAATTCTTGTTGGGTTCATCCGACAAAACGTGCATTGCAAAATTTTAGTTTCAAAGCCATCCCTATGGTTTTCAAATCAAAATAAAACTCTGATAAAAGGCACTTGCCTTCCCTTTATGGCAGCTATTGAAATAGAGTCAAAGTCCAAAATGCTTGAAAAAGAGATTATTGTCATCAAAGGGAACCCTAGGCGCCATGTCATTGTAGTAAACGTACCTGAAATATTTCACGTCAAGTTTTCTCAATTTCTCTGTCATAAACTCCCTAAACTTCTCGTCCCCCACCCTTGGCTGCCCAAAGGTGTAAACCCCTTCCAACCTCTCCAATAATCATTGCTCCTCATTTAAGATTAGCAAAGCGGCAAACAAAATTGCTAATGCCTCACCAAAGCTATGCCCCGTCAATATAAACATGCCTCACCAAACCTGTTTCAGCTTTTCTCTGAGAGTTTAGTAAGCAAATTTATGTTGGTCACTGCGCTGTTGGATCCTCTTGGGCCAACCTTGGTTCTTTTGCAGGCCTAGAGCTTTCATAAAACCACCATGGGTCTTCGACTTGCCCATCTCTGTAAGTTCATACCAGGAAAGATCTAAGTTGGTCCGCCAGTCGTCGGCATTAAATGGGCTGGTGCCTCTAAATGCAACCACAATCAAGTTAGGGTTAGCCCGTGTGTCTTGGAGAATGAAGGCTTGGGTTGTAAAACGTTCTAGGAAATCTGTGAAGCAAATTACCAAAAGTAGGATTTAAATAAAGAAATATTGCCAAAAAAAAAAAAAAATTCCTTGAAGAAATAAAATTCCATGGCTGAACATATAAGAGTGAAGTGTGACAATGAGACAAAGAAATGTGTAAATTATTATGTTAGTAATTGATTAGTAAGGGACAAAACAATGAATTCACGGTTATTTCAAACCTATCTTATTCTTTACCCTTAATGAATTCATGGTTATTTTTTTAACCCCACATCAAATTTTTTAATAGCAACATCTCTCAAAAAAAAAAAAAATCAATCTTTTAATAGCAACGTTGTCTGCACATGAATTGTTATATGTATTAAATATTATAAATTATAAACCACAAACTACAAATCATCACTGCATTTGGCCATAATTAAACCAAGGTGGCTTAGACAAGAAAAAAACAATGCAATTTGTGGATGTGTGACGACTGCCGCTTGATTATTTAAATGATCTATATTTATGGATTTATATAGTTGATCACCGTTCCTTAATTGAAAATCAAAGTTAAAGATGATCGTCAGAACTAATCCTATCTTACCTCTCTGTTTTTTAATAGAAGTTAAAAAAATATTAATTTTTTGTATATTTATTTTAAAAGTTAATATTTACTTATTAATGATAGTGTATAGAATTTGTTTATTTTTCAAATCACATGCATTATACAAACGTGACCTTGATAAGTAACATTAATTAAATAAAATATTTCAGCATACATATTGTAATTAATTTTTTCTACTATACTATATATTTTTATAAAAAAATATAGTTTAATTAGTTAGTGGTAAAATGCTGAATTTTTAATTTTTGACTTAAATCCTAACGTTATTAAATAAAAATAGTTTAGTTGACCTTGAAAATAAGGAAATGAGATTAGATATCATGATTTGGACTTTGTTAAAAATGAATCTCTATAATGGCCCTTAATATGGTTTTAATGCATAATGACTTAACCACTATTAGGGACAAGAAAAAGAAATTGAGAAAATTGAAAATTATTTCAAAATTATAGTATTTGGTTTGATTTAAATTGATTTTTTTATTTGGTTTGGATTAAATTCGGATACTAAATATATATATATATTAAACTTAGATCTATTTAAATATATTAAAAATTTATAATATATTTTCATTAGTTTTATATATTTTTTAAATTTTTATAAAATAAATCTATTTAAATATATTAAAAATCATAGTAAAATAATATATATATATAAATAAAATTTAAAAATCAATGAATCAAATCAAATTGATAGAGTTTGGTTCAAATGGGATTGATTTCAAAAAAATGTTAGTTCATATTTGAATAAAATTTTAAAATTTTTTAATAGTATACATTATCCAACAAAATCAAATCGAATCCAATCTAAACCAAATGATTATCACCCCTCACCAGTAACTTTTATCTCATTTATGAATTATGCACCCCTAATTCCTTATAAATTGTGATAACAGAACTACCCCATTGCTAATGCTGAGATTAATGCTGGTCTTGATCACTACCCAGGAATAGAGACGATTTTTGGCAAGCAATTTCAAAGAATTGGTTGAAAGAATTGCTTAATTACCATATATATATATATATATATATATATATTTATGAGTTGGAGTTTTCCTAACTTTTCACTATAAAATATTTGTCTTTAAAGAGTCATTTGGTTCGCGAAATCTTAAATTTCGAAAAAAAATATAATCTTTGAAAAAAATACGATATTCGGGATTTTTTTATTTATTTCATATTCACTCATTTGATTAGAAGAATTCACATATATTAATTTTTGAATAATTACCATAATATCATTAACATATATAATGATAACTTTTTATTAGCTTTTATTAATAATAAATATCTAAATGACAAATGATGTTTTTAGCAGTAAAAGAAGACAAATATTTTATTTGATTGCTATTTTTATTTATAAAATATCATCAATAAAAAAAGTTAGAGATTATTTAAGATATTTTTGGTTAAAAAACCCATCAAATAATCTTCTTTATTTTTTTAAAGAAATTATTTAAAGAGTTTTTAGTCTAAAAGCTTTTTAAATAATACTTTTTAGAAAATATGAGTGGATTTTGAAATAATACCCTTCAAATACTGAAAGGTATTATTTAAGGCATTTTTATCTAGATATACCTTAAACAATCTCTTTCAAACAATATTAAAAGGCTAGAGAGAAAGATCAAACTTACACTTTTATTATTAATAATCACAGGTTTTAATCGATTGAATTATTCTTATTTTTTTATATTTTATTATTAAATCTTATAAGTAATAAAAGAGATTATTTAAGACATTTTTTTATACCAAATGTCATTTATTTCAATCACAAAAAAAAAGTAGTAAAATCTAGACATACTTTTCAAAATGATAATGACTATTTCACAATTTTTTTGTCAAATTTAAAAATAACGTTATTTTTTTCTCTCAAAATATTAGAATATCACAAGAAAATGTGAGTTTTTCATTCTGAAACTTTTGGTACTATTGGAAACTGTCACTTTTCCTTGTAATCAGATTATTTTAAACCAAACATTAGAATCAAATATTTAATAATAAAATTATAAGAGAAAATTTGTGAATTCTCTCGAATTAAATGTCACCTAAAGTCTAAAAGATTTGTCATCTAAAAAATCTACTCTATTATATGAGCAATCTATAACAAATCTGACTATATATGCACTATTATTGGGATCTTGTTCTTAAGGCCATTCATTTATTCTTTCAGTTTATATACAATAATAATAATTGTTATTATTATATAGAAATGTGCACAAAAAAATTATTGTACAGAGATTAAAAATTTTGATTTTTTTTCATGAGTGCAACAATCAATCTCAATATTTGACCCAAAAAAAAACTTCCAAATAGGATGTAGTATTTAATAATCCTTTAAATTAACATAAGGTTTTGCGTTTTAGTCTTTTAGTCCTCCTTTTTTTGTTGATAAATTAATTAGCCTGTAGTGTTCATTTACAGAAGATATTGGACTGTGGCTTCGGTATCCACAAATTATGGATGGGCTCCATGGGCTGAATTAACTAGGCCTTGGATGTCAATTCAAAGACATATTATTAATTAAAATACATGCAAACCAATAAATCATGACTATAAAAATTAAAAATTAAAACATATGCAATAAAAACAAAAAGGGACATAATATACAAATTTAGATCTTTCCTTTTTACAGAAATGATTTCTTTCTATTTCAATATAATTATCAATAGAAAGAAAAATGAAAACACTTTGTAGTTGATAAGGTCGGTCCACGATTGAATTCTTAGAATTTAATTGAAGTCTCCAAAAGAAAATAGAAAAGGAAAGATGGACATTTCATCCAAGTTAAATACAATGGTTGGTGTCCACCGAAAAGCAGATGCATAGATAATCTTTGGACCACCGATTATTTTAGGTGATCATCCAACATAGTTTGACTCACTTTTTTTTTTCTCCCTAAATTTGAAGGAATATATACTTTGGTCGGTCATTGAATTTTTACAATGTTAAACCCTCGATGAAATTAAATTAGGTAAGAAGGAAGTCATAGTTTAATGATAGAAAAAAAATTACAGATATTAAAATTAAAATTAAAATTTATTAAATGTATTGATTTTAATTCTAATTAATATTACTAAAAAAATGTCCTTTATAGATAGAAAATTCCGTCAATAAAAATCAATACTTATTAATGGATTACCGACAAAAAATGTTTTCAATAATTTTTACAATAAATGATGTTAATTTTTTTTATCTATCAATTTTTGACAAAATTAATTCCGTCAATAATCTATCAATAATAGTCATTTTTTAAAACTATATACTATCGATATTTCATTAGTAATTACAGATGAAAAAGTTCCGTGGGTGATACTTGCTTTTTTGGTAGTATAAGCATCGAAATTTTGCTTTCACAATTCTAGAAACAGCAGTGGGACAAATTTTCCATGATTCTGCAAGAATACATGATACATTCCACCCCTCAAATTGGACAAATTGAGAAAAGAATATTGTCCCAAGAGATTAGACTGTGTCCTTGTTCCTTTCGAGGGGACCCTTTTCCTCACTAAAATCTAATCTGACCAACCAACAAACATATTTTAATGTTTTGTTTTTGTAACATAAGTCATTTACTCTTTTTGGTGGGTGAATATTTCATTTTATCATCGCAAAATTCATTTATATCTACATCGGGGCGCCTGGGTTGAACACTGCTCATTTTTTCTGTCATTTTTCACTGCAAGTTATAGATAGGTATGTTCACGTTTTCCTGTTAGGTGTAAGCAATTAAGACAAAGATTTGCTATAAGCATTGGTTTCTCTAAAAAGCAATACTTTATGACAAATGTTAAGATGTAAATCGACGTTCACCTTTGATATTAGATATGAATGTAATTTGATAAATAGTTCAAATCACTCATTGCTACTTGAACTTTGAAATTAATCTTTTGACAAACCACACATGGTTAAAGCTTAAAGTAATATGAAAGCCATTAATACTTTTATTTTGAATGCTATAATTGGTATCACAACATGTTAAATTCTGGTCTCATATTGCTGTGATTATGATATATATCCTCTTGATTGAAGTAGATATCAATAATTTATATATGGACATGAATCATCCTATAAAATTCGTGCCTCATAAGTCATAAATAAAGTAGATAACGACGTATCAGAAACATAACATTTTCTCAGTCCAAAAAACTATTACATCAAAGTTTTTGGGAAGCAAAGATACCGCTATGGCAGGTGTTTTGTTCTTTTTCTAATGATCACATGCTTCCATATAATGCTCAGAAAACCTTCTTGGACTTGCTTTAAATTTCCCATATCTACAATCTTGAATTCATATAGTATATGTCATTTTTATTTCATGCATCAATCATCCCACAAGATGTTTCAGGATATTAAAAACATGTCTTCAAAAGCACAGTGCACTTAGGGATTGCATGCCTTAAATTTACAGGACAAGGGGCTCCCCTTGGCTGAAACGCAGTAATCCCTGGATGTGCTCATGTTGGAGCTTAGCGGGATATCTCACATGGGTTTTTTGATAACATGTCTGACTATGTCTTATTATGTTATTGAAGGTTTTTTTTTTTTTTTTTTTTTGGAATGGGATTCCCTCTTTAAGAGAAGATGTAAAGCTTTCTTTTTCTTTTTGAAAATTTTAATCTATTCTTGAATCCTCTTTACCCTACTACTTATTTGGTTAAAAAAGATATTACATATAAATTTTTTCAAATCTGTAAACTTCAAATATCAATTTCAATAGTATATGAATCGATCCAAAAGGCAATAGGCATGTAAAGCCATTTTTTTTATAGTTGGTTTATTAGCAATAAAAGATTTGTGAGGGCCAGTGGTCCAAAATGTTAAACATAGATGAATGAGGCTAGAGAAGCCCAGTCCAGAACAAAGTTGACATACTTTATCTTTGATGGTGCTACTACCAATTAATTACCAAACTCACAATCAAGAAAATGATGTTTTAGTTTCTTTGAACCTTTCCCATTTTTCAACCTCCCTTAAATAGAAAGCTTGTTTGATGATTCATAGGTATTCATCAAGTGAAAAGAGATGTCTGGACATGCTCTTTTTTATTTTCAATTTTATTATAAATTGTCACTATCTAAAGCTTTCCTTGATCATATATATACACATTCCTGCTATTAATTAGTAAGAATGTCTTTTTTTAAAATCACTCGAAAATTGAATTAAATTCAATTAAAATTTTAAAATATTTTGATCTTATTATATAAATATATATACATCATTTGAAAGAAGTAGCATGTTATTTTTTTTTTTAAGAAAAATTTTTAATCTAAAAGTACAATTCAATTACATGTACATATTATGTCGGCCCTTTTTTTTTTTTTTTCAAGATCCAAAATTTAAGATCATTTACACGCTATAGGTAGCAATCTTTTGTATTGACATCGAATTTCAAATCCCAAGTCAGCAATTCTTATGAGAAAAAATAGGGAATCATATTATCACGAAAAGGTAGGTAATGAGATGTTGAAAAATAACGTACATTGTGTTCAAAAGAAATCAATAGTATAAAACTTGGTTGAGGTTGTCAAAACGATATATTTGAAGCCATTTCATTACAATGTTAGAAATATAAGTCATATTTAATACATAAGATTATAATAAAATAAGATAAGATGATATTATAAATAAGATTATATTAAATAATATCATCTTATCTTATGTTTGATATGTGTAAGAATTAAAATAAAATAATTTGTTTATTGGTTAAAATTATTTTTTCTAAAAGTTTATATAATTTAAATTATTAATATAATTTTTAAGAGTATAATACAATATGTAAATTTAATCTCATAAATTAAAAATAATTCTTTTCACTTTTGAAAGATAAAATCATCTTATACTAAGATGATAATAATTTTTTTTATAATTATATCCCTTTTAATTAGATATAAATCAAACATAATATAAAATGATTATCATATTATTTTATCCATCATACTATACAACAAACATAACCATAAGGATTAAAATAAATTATTTTTTAAACTTTGTAAATCAAAACAATAAATGGCCATTTATCATGCGTAAAGGATCACGTTGTTGATATTGTAAGGATCTTTTTGAAAGTAATTGAAGAGAACAAACTTTCTGTCAAGGCATATACCAGGAAATGGTAATTATATGATTGTGATTAGGAGTTGGTCAATTAGGAAGGGTCGGGAGAGACACGTAGGAGAGCTAGTTGGCCAAGTAGATTTTGAGTATATATCACGTGAAGAGGTGTTGTGGGAAAACGACCCCATCGAATTGCAACATTGCTATTCTATAAACCCACACCGCAATTGTCAGTCTTTCACATGGATTTCCCCTTGCATTTCCTTCCAACTTACGCTCTCTTTCTTTCTCTTTACCCCCGAAAGTGACTTGGAAATTCATAAACCATAACCTCACCTCATATCCCACCCAATTTGGTACCTTGATATTGTCGCTTTGACAAGTGTGATGGGTTAATGTTACAATATACTAGCAGGAGAAGACTCTGTATATCTGTAGGGTGAGTTTGTGCGTCCATAATTTATGTAAACAGCGTGGAATTTTCGTCCCACCAAAGCCATATTAAAGGTCCCTTTTTTTGTGTAGGTCTATCTCAAGAAAGAACCTTTTTCTCTTTCTATCACTAGATTTTTCATAGCAGACGTAATATAGAAAGGTATAGTCTTTGGCATAGCCTGTCAACCCCACTAACATAATTGTTTTTTCGTTTCCAATGACATTTGCGTGGAATTCTTTGCCAATGTGCAACTGTTGTTGCTCTCTAATAATTTTTGTCCAGGATTTGGCACTTTTGGCCAGGTTGTTTATAACTTGTTCTTCTTTTGTTTGCTGGAGAATTATGCATTTCTGATAGCTATGGATGTTCATTAGACAGGTGGCCATTGGATATCAAATTTATATAAGAGTTGTATATAGAGACAGAGAGATGCAAGGAAAAAATATGTATTCTATTAATTAAGATAATTTAATTAATTAGTTTTTTGAACAATTGGGCTATCTATTCGGGGATATGAATTTGATAGCAATACAACATGGATTACATGGGCTAAACATGAAGAGAATTATCAATCCATGATGATGGTCAATGATCATAATCATCTCATTTTAGTTTAGTCTTTTTTTTTTTTACATTCCAATATGTCTAATATCACTCGAAAAGTTGATTTTATACTAAGACTCTTGTTTTATTAAGCTAGCTAAGCATCCCCAAATTCCTGAAGATTTTGAGTAGGTTGATAGAGTTTTCCCATTGGAAGAAAACTCTCATTTGACATTGCCACAGGGAACCCTATCCCACTTGGCCTGTTAGCAGCAGCTCTCTCCAATGACTGCACCTGAGTCTTCAAAAACTTGACATAGTGAATTGCCTCATCTAACATAGATGCAGTGTCCATTTTGGTTCCTCCAGGGACAAGTCTTTGAAGTATCCTTATTCTCTCACTTATTCTCTCTCTCCGGTGCCTTGCTGCCACACTTTGAGGATCTTTTGATATCTTCACGTTCCTTCTCTTTGGTGGCTTAACTGATTCAGGATCTATATGAATTGGTTGCATGGCTGCAATTCGGAAGATCATCTCCCTCATTGCAGCCATTGAATTCTTCTTTTGGGAAGGTGTAGAAAGAGAATTTGCACCTGATAATTCCCCTGCACCACCTGTCCATCTTTTACTGCCAGGGCTAGACAATATACCCGGGGCTCCTGTTTCCTGAATCGGGGTTGAACCAGTGAATGAAATAGTGGTTGGCAGGTTTATGAATGGGGAGGGTGAACCAACCTGTGGGTTTTCAATAAAATGTGGCATGGCACTGATGCTATCATTGAAACTATTGCTTGCACCAGCAAGCTCAGCTGGGGACAATTCTACGACGTCGTTGTAAACCCCGTAGAATCCAGGGAGCTTGTCCATCTGCATCATCATCATCATCTCCATCTGATCTTCTGTTGCAGACTTTAACTGGTCAATTTCCATGGCTATTTTCCTTTTCTTTCGCTTTTCTCTCTTTCTCTCTCAGTAAAAGCAAAAAGAGAAGATAACCCAGGAAAGAAAGTTATATTTGATCAGAAAGAAGAGGAAGCAGAGCTATAACCGAGAGAAAACTGATAGAGGGATGGAGAAGATCAAAGAGAAGAGTGTAAGACTAGGAGTTGTATCAGAACGTGCAGTGAAGGAAAAGAAACAGACACAACTTATTACAAAGGGTAATGAGATCAGAATAAGTGAAAGCAAAATAAATAAATAAATAAAAATAATAAAAAGTGATGTATCGGGAACAGGCTATGCATCCAGTGGGATGACTTTATATAACAAGTGGTTTAATATAAAACAAATAGATAAAAATCCTTTTCAATTTTTTTAAAAAATTTGACAAAATTGTTGAGTTTTTATTTTTTTTAACAATATGATTGTATGTTTAGAGATAGATTATCCCGAAATTAAATTTTAATTCAATTTATTCATATGATTATTAATTTTAATAAGTGATAGCCAATCAATTTAAAACATAAATATTTGTATTTACAATTATTTTCTTTATTTCCGAGCTGCTTTACAAACAAAACAAAGATAGACAATCCTATTTATGACGATTGCAACGCCGAAAAACATCATGAAGCATGCTCTAATTGACACATTTTATCTGGACAATTAAAACTTAATGGTTGCCATATTAAAAAATTAGCCATTTCCTGTTTTCTAGATTCTACTATAAATAGTAAAATCTCAAGTTGTTAAGAGGAGAAATATTGCTTTGTTTGTTCAAGACATTTATTATTTATAAATAATTGAACTGTCAAAACATTTCAACATGTTTTTTTACTAAGAATTCTCAGATTAAAACGTCAATTTATCAAATTAAAAATCAACAAATCATGTACCTGATTATATAACATGATGATGGATAAAGAAGTACTAAACAGAAGGAAACGATACAGTGAAGGAAATCAGAATCAGTCGCTTTTGTAAAGCCAGCAATGAAAAAAACCTACCTTCTACTAAACATAGTGAAGAAAGAAGGAAAATGAGAAAAAGATTGCAAATATCATCCAGCTCTAACGAGGACATGAGAAAAAATTTGCGGCTCCACCAATACTTGAAAGGCTCATATCTAACAACTGTACGTCCAGGGGATACATATAAGTGCTTTTCTATGGTGCATGAATCATTATTTTGCTCTCAAAGTCGCATAAAAAAAAAATACTAATAATTATATAGTTTTAAATCTTAAAAAATAGGTAGAGATAAAGTTTTTCATTTTGCCAATTATGATTTAGTTTTGTGAAAAAGAACCTGTTCGAGATTAACACTAAATTTGATAATTTTAAACATAATATGAATAAAAAATATAAAAATAATACGATTTAAAATTTTAAATAATAATTATATATAAATTTAATAAAATAAAAAATATATTTTATATTTTTATATTAATATAAATTATGATATAATTTTTATATAAAATATAATTTAAATATATAAATTTTAATATTTTATAAGAAATAAGTATATGAATCACCGAATATAATTAAAACCTCTTGATGTGAAATAATGCATTTTTATCATGGTTTGAAAAATAAATTTTAAAAAATAAAAAGGAAATAAAAAATAAAGAGGAAGACAGAAGAGTGGGAACTGTTAGGGTGGCTTAAAAATTAACTTTCTTTTTAAAGAACCCAAAACCAAACAAAACCCCACAATCACATGACAGGTGTTGACAAGACCCCTATAAATGAGTTTTTTTTTCGTTCTGGCGGTGTGGGAATCGGGTGCCATGGGATGCAGTGGATATAACCACGTGGCGAAACTCCAGTGGTTGGGGCGTATCCCTTAGTGTATTATTATTCTTTCTACATGTTGCCTATTTGTTTATCTTGAATTTCTTCTTCGCTCCATCACATCCCTCCGTTCATAGAGGAACGCTTTTCTAGATGGATCAGGTTCCTGACGCCAACCTGCTTCATGTGCTGGAATTGGCAACGAACTTTACCCTGCTTCACCTGCTCTGCTCCGCTCAACATAATTAGATTTTAACGTGATATTTTCGCACTGATTTTGTGCATCCAATTTTATTTTTATAAATATCTATCACAAGAATTGAATCAGAATTAACAGGAAAAAAAAAACTCATGCTCTTATCAATTCAGCTAACCCAGTCTTGATTGAAAATTTTTTTGTTTCGTTGTTTCACTGTATTTTCTTTTTCTTTTTTTTTTCATATGCGCTGTACAGCTTAGAGTTCACTGTTTTTCTTGAGTTTGGTACAGCTTTCTCTACGCAGACTTGACAGGTTTTTCTACCAAGTTGATAAAATTTTCACATTCATCCATAACAAAAAGAAAAAAGCAAGTCGAAAATTTTCATTCAAAGCCCACAGTTGTAATAAATGGAGGGACAACAATGTGAAAAATGTAGTAAAAAAATTTAATTTACCTCTTTGAATTTAATAGTACAGTGGTTTCTGGTTGCTTACAGCTACTGTAATTTTCTTTTCAAATTTCAACTTTCAGAGACTTCCCATATATATATATATATATATATATATATGCAATTATCTTTTATTTGTGTTTTAGCTTTAAATTCTGATCGTCCGTAGCTGTGGGGCTGCTCGTGGACACATAATGATATGATGTAGACGTGGATGAGGAAAGCTCTGGGGAGTGAATTAAGAGGGGTTAAGTGTTAACAGCCAAAACCCTGTAACAAACGACAAAGGATTGATTTTGCCATTTTTGTAAGAGACAGCAGAGTGAATTAATTGGCTCGATAGCTTAGTTATCCAGTTTTTCCTTTGCCAAATGAGCAGCAGATCAGCTCGGTAAGACAAAAGGGTTTAAAATTCTGAACAGTGGTTTGAGCAATCCATGCACGTAAAGTACAAATATGTACTAATGATTGCTGCTGTATCTTTGAGGCCACGCATGCATGAACATTTCACGGCTAATTGAGCGGTTTTGCTGGGATTATATCTCTTACATTACATTCTTCGAAGATAAATTTCTGGGATTTTATACTAATGCTTCCTTCTTTTTTTTTCTTCTGCAACAAACAACTACACCAATCGAAAACACAGAAAACCTTTCAGCACCCTGATTTCAAAGCAACTGTTATAAGATTGACAAATTAACCAGAAACAGAGAAAAGCATCCCTTTTTCTCCCTGTAAACATTAATATAATAAATAAAGTGTTTGTTCATTTATATTTTTCATATAATATTGAGAAAGGCATGAATAAAGAGACATGTTCTCTGCAAGAAGAGGTTCGATTGGATAAAAAGAAACCAGGGGAGATAGATCTTGTTGTTGGGTTGGTTTCTTTTACTTTGCATTATCACACTTGCACCACCTTATCTTCTCTTCCCCACATCCCATTTATAATGCTTTTGTATCTTACCATATAATATCAGTCCAAATGGCAAATAAAACATTATTATAATAATTCTTACTTCTTTCTTCCCACGTCCTTCACCCCCTCCCTCATTGAGAACTGCAGGCTCAGGGAAGCAAATAAAAAAAAAACACTATTTTATTCAATAAAATATGGTCCCACTTCCACGCCTCTTTCTCTCTCTACATGATTTTCAACAGTACTTTCAATTTTGGGGTCGTTTTCTAGTAGCCCAATTGCACAAAACGGAAAGTCAAAAGCATCTTTGGGACTGTTTACCTTTCTCCAACTTATTGTCCAAGCTCCCATTTTTCACGACTTGTTGTAGGAGTAAAAAAAAAAAATGATAGTGGCGAAAGTGTATCTCCCTGGAAGGAAAAAGAGTGAAGGAAGAAGAGAGAGAGAGTTTGGTAGTGGGAGGAGGGAAGGAGACAGGCTTTAATTTACTTCACCGTCTGGTAAACTTTGCTTTGTTTTGTGGCGAGCGAGCCAGTGACCTGTGCTGTGCGTCATGATACGCGAAGGTGATCTCAGGGGGCAGGGGCTGCTTTTCAGATCTTTAAATAGCAAATATTGAGATATGTGAATGATACAAATGATAAATTAATACTCATAAATTATTTTGATTCGATTAAAATAAAATTTGAATTTAGTTTGATTATTATTGAATCAAACTTAAGCTCGAGTAATTTGATTTATCAGTTAAGTTGAATTTGAGTATTTTTTTATCCAGCTTGAATAACTTGTAAGCCTAATCAAACGTTTATATTTTAATATATTTTTATTATTTTAATTAATAAAATAAATTCAAATACAAATAATCAAGTTTTTATCGAATATAAAAATCAAATTTTTTTTATATGTTAATTAAACATAATTGAAAAAGCTTGAATAATTCGATTTTTATCTCAATTCGAGTTTAAACAAAAAAGATAGAACTCAATTCAGTTTAAATTGAATTTCGAGTCTTGAATTTCAAATGAAGCTCTAACTCGAGTTTAATACTATATTGACTCGAACTCGATTGATTACACCTCTAATTATACACTTCAATTGAGCTACGTCATCCCTTCTTGTATTTGATTCATGGTTTCTTCCATACAATCAGTCATCATTGAAAGCTATATTAATCAGATTTAGAGTAAGTGCGAGTCTTTGATCAGTATATGTGATCGTTATGGGTACTTTTTATGTTTTTAAAAATTTTTTATATCTTTCATGTATGATATAGAATGATAGATGGAATAAGATAACATTCATCTTATATCATATTTGATTTGTATTCAAAACAATAGATAAGATTGCATAAAAAATTAATTATCTTCTTTACATAGAATGATTTAATATTCTCAAAGTAAAAAATTATTTTTAATCTGTATGATTAAATTTACATATCTTATTATATTTTTAAAAATTTAATCAATAATTTAAATTATATAAACTTAAAAAAAAAAGATAATTTTAACAATAAATAAAACTATTTTATCTTAATTCTTATACACGTCAAATATAAGATAAGAAAATACTATATAATTTAATCCTATAAAATATAAGATCAATAATTGGGGGGTCAAGAAAAATAGAGTCGAACAACATGTCAAGACCCCCCCCCCCCCAATTATTGATCTTAAACGTGCAATATTACGTGCTTGAATTGATGATTTTGCAAGCAATGTAATGTAACCAACCCTTCCTATCAAGTCCATGGATTCCAATCAAGTGAATTATCTGTAATGTAATTTAATAGTCTAGAAGCCTCACAAAAATTATCAAGTAGTTGATGGACCCTTCATCATTAAGATGAAGAAAACAATCAAATTATCCCAGTATAATAATGGTATCTTCTGCTGCATGCCAACATTGCTGGACACATCAAAATGCTGGGTTTGATTCCCGCAGGCCTACCACTTGAATTTGATACAGCGAAACGGGAATCAGAAATCTGCAATTCCAGGATTTCTTTTTTCAGAAATTGTTAACTACTCACTGAATCAATAATACTAAAAGGTCTATGTCTATTTTATACCCCTTATCGACTAATTAATGCATTTAATGCAATGCTTACTGTAATACTTGAATGTCTGTTGCATCATTCCAACTAGCTTTGGATGTGCTCACAATTCTGTAGTTTTGCTGCCAAGACAATTCCGACCAACTGAATGTGATTGAATAGCAAGAACATTACTCAATAAAAGTGAACATTTTCTTATCTTTCTAGAATATGCTTCATAATCAAGGTACAAAAAATTGCTATGAGATTCTTGTTCTAGATGAAAACTAATTCTCCAATGAAAATTAGAAATGCGAACAAAGAAAATCAAAGCAATGAGTTAATACCTCTGTTGGGAGGTCATAACAAGAAAAGTTATGGTTTGTTTGTGCAAAATAAGTTCCCTAGAGATCCTCCCGTTTGTTCTCCATCTAAGAGCTGGGAGAGTAATGATGGCCTTATTGTCCATGTTTTCATCTGTTGAATTTGCACATTTTTCTAGTGGAGGTTCGAGTGATGGTGCATGTCTTGGGGAAGCTTAACTGGGCTTCTGATACTGCCCGACAGAGTGGATGTCTAACAATGAGAATATTGTCTACAAAGCCTGAATATAATTGAACATCAATAAATGGTTTTCTAGGCCCTCTTGTGTCCAATAGTGAGATCCTTGATGGGCCTCAAAGCTCAATCTCCTGGACCACCCACTCTCTTAAACATAGTTAATCTTAAAACCGTACATCAAACAATTTCCATCATATTTCTCCTCCATTACCCAATGAATCCTAAAAATTTAAGCTTTCCTCCCATCATTCCACCCTAAGAAACCAAACCATATGCACTTAAAGTAAGCAAATCAGATATCTAAACAAAATTTTCTCAGTCCCTAAAGGAGAAATGCTATGTTATTTTATTAACTGCATGTGCTGGATGGCTATGCTCTCAAACCACGAGAGACAAAAAGTTTGGGATATCTATACATTTCATCCAACGTATATCTGTATCTATACCTATACATATGTGAGCTTGTGTGCTTAGCCATGTGCATTGGCTCACGCTAATGTGTGCCACTGCAGGGGCTCTGTTGAATATAGTTTTTTTCTTTTTACTGACAATTTTAATCAATCACGTATTAGTTTGTAGTTTTTGGTTATATATTAACTTATTCATGGATTCCCATTGAAAATAAGGATTCAGGCCAAAAGGTATCACGACAACATTTTCTCCATCTTGACTTAACCAGTGGCTTTAAAATTAGATTTATTTTTCTATTCTCAAGCTAGGGTTTCTTTTGTATATAAAAAAATCCCTATAGTTTCATTTCATGTGGAACATTCTTGGGTCAACAAATGGGATGGAGAAGAAAAGTAGCTAGAAAAGCAAATGGGACACATGTATTTTTGCAGCCTTACACTTCTTTAATCATCTCCAATACATACACTTTTTATGTATTTGTTAAACTATAGTCTTTTGGTTTGTTGTGAACAAAGTGTTGGACCAAAAGAAATGCAAAGGAAGAAGATGTCAACAAAGTGGATTTCAAAAGGGCAAACAAGAAAAAGAGAAGAAAGAAACTTATTTCTTTTTATAAACCCAATTTCTCTCTCCCTTTTTCCTTTTTTAAAACTTTAAAAAAAACAAAAAAGAAGAATTGCTTGGTCCTATACGGCTTAAAGCATCTTTACCAGATGATCCGTATTCACTTTTAAGGCCCATCATCCCTAAGTTATAGCGGTCCTTTTACCAGTAGGTTTTTGTTTTTCTTGTTCGCATTTCTCATGGACTAGGGGTATACTTCTACATAACACGTGCACTTTCTAGGTCACGTGCCATGCCCCAACAATTCCAGGAAAAAGAGTAAGAGCCAAAGACATATACAGTGTCAAATTAGGTTAATTATTAGGGTTAGGGGTTCTTTTTGCTTTTCAATTAATTTATTTATTTGGGTAATAAGACGAAAAACAAATCATGGGCACGACAAAGATATTGTAAGAATTATATATTGATACTTTTATGTCTCTGATGGGGTGTACTTAAATGGATGTTTCTTAACTTACTTTCATCGCTGTCTGACATAGTTTTCTCTGTCTTGGGTAATTAATAACTGCATGAAAATATACAGAAGAACCGGATTCAAGAAAAAGCAAAGAACCTGTTGAAATGTCTAGTCAAACTTTATGTGAAACTTTACTGGTATAGGGATTTTGGACAAAGGGACAAGTAGAAGCCATAAAAGAGAAATGGGGTTTTTTGGCAAGAAAGGAGTGTATTGTTTAGCTATCAGTCAGGGGTCTTCTCTCTGATCTTTTTATGGGTTTTTTGTCTGGAAGAAGAGGAAAAAGAGATTGGAATTAGTGAAAAGAGAGAGGGATCCAAAGATGGGTTTTGAAGACTTGGATCAGATACTTAAAGTAGGAAAAAGCAAAGGTTTTCTGGTCCTAAGAAGAAGTATTGAAGCTTAGATAAACATTTCAAACTCAAGATTCCTTTTTTTTTTGTTGCTTGCTTGACTGACAGTGAATGGGAATGAGAAAAGATAATGAAGATTATCACCTTCATCAAACGAAATGATAACCTTCTTTTTTGACAATAATAGTGATGATAATAATCATAACTACACTGATAATTAGATTATTGAGAAATGACTGTCAGCTATTTTGTTCCCTCATTTTTATAGTAAATCTTTTTGTATCGGGTTTTGAATTCAGATGAGGTAACAAAGCATGGCTGCACGTATCATCCATTAATGGACTAATCAGAGAAAGCCCCAGAGAAATTGTGAATGAGGCAGCTATAACCAGAGACTTCCTCAGCTTTTTTTTATCTGAATTGAAACTGAAAGGAGAGTCATCAGGACTCTGTCTGCCTCTCTCTCTTTCCTGCATTAATGCAAGTATATATATAACTGGAACATACAGACATCGGAATCATGAATAAAGGGAAAAGGAAGAATATGAGCAATAAATTGCACCAATGAAAAACCGAAGAACATCAAGGAAAAAGATTGGTGTTGAGATTTTGAACTTGTTTTAGATCCTCACTCTAACCAAAACCCACCTGCATTCATGTGGCTAGTGGGAACACAATATTACCGGCACTAAAATTATATGCACAGTCACAAACATCCATACACCACAAGCAGACATTGTTCGTCAACAATATCATGAGACTCTAAGAGATAAACAGACACAATCAAACAAAAACTAAAAAAAAAAAAAAAGAAAAGAAAATAGAAGTTCAAAAAGGGAGCTAGAATATTCTCGAATGGATACGGGAAACTAACATGTAGAAGGAGGCATAAGATTCAACCCTAAATCATCTTTTTCCAAGATCAAACGTGCCTTGGTAGTCTCCATATTTGCTGCACTGTACTCAGGGTGCAATCTCTTCTTTGATTGTAAAGGCACTCCAAAGAGCTTTGTTTTGCAACTATTGCTGCTTGGTTCTTCCACCATTGTCAAGGAGCTTTGCGATGTAGCACTTGGAGAGTTCAAAACCTGAACTTGGGGCTTTTGACTATTTGGATAATACCCAAGGAGCTGGTTCAAAGGCTTTTGCAATAATGCACTATTGGTTTTAACAACAGAAGGAACTCCAGATGAAGGAGGGCCACAAAGAAGCAAAGAAGGAGAGTATGAATTGCTAGGAGTGACAGGCTTAACATGGTTTTGAACAAAAAAAATAATATCATTGTAAAGCTTTCTCATATGGGCAAGTTCAGACATAAGCAAATTGTTGCTTCTTCTCAGCCTCTCATTGTCCTCTGATAAAGCTGTGACCGAGCTGTTATAGCCTCCAGCCCCGCCGCCTCCAACAACTGAGACTCCAGTGCCTCCTCTTGGTGAAGAAAGTGGTGGTGAGTCACACCAGTTGGCTTGTTCATCTGAGTCAGCTGGAGAGATGCTGACTCGGCTTGGAAATGGAAAGAAACTCGGGGCATTAACCAAAGGAGAATGTGGGTGATGATGGTGATGATGGTTTATAGACACTTGTGGCTGCGCAGTTTTTCTTCTATGGATCTCGCAAAGCAAATGTTTTTCTCCTTTCTTGAAGAACTCGTTGGCAAACTCCCATCTGTCTGGTACAATCTTCCTAAAACCCTAGTTCATTTACAAAAGCAAAAGCAAAACCCAGATCAGTACAATACTAAAAAAGCAAAAGATTTCAAAAATAATAAAAAAAAGGGATACAGATTTATTAGCAATAGAAGATTTCTTAGAAGAGATAAAGCTTGAGTTTTTATACGTAAGTGTTGAGTTGTCTGACAAAACTAGAGAAATTGTTGTGCTTGAAGTAATTTGGAAGGAGATCACGAGCAAACTCAGGAGGCCTCCAAACTACGAAAGTAGTGTCATCTTCACCCCATGAAACTATGTGATCTGTGGTGGGATCATCTACTAGTTGGTAGGTTTTAGTGAGGAATGGTGCTGGCACTGATTTGTGGGAGTCTAGTGATAGTAATATCCCTTCACAATTGTCAAGCATCAGAGCCATTGAAAGATTAAAGCAGGAACTGCTGGACTTATCTCTTTAATGAAAAGAGAGTGAAAGGGAGGGAGAGAAAGACAAAGAGAGAGGTCCGAGGAAAATAGAGAGGTTTGGAGCGGGAGAGGAGGATTAAGTGGGATAAAAATGTTGGGAGGAGGGGAGAGGGGGGTTGTTACTGTGAACAGTGGGTTTTTTTTTTGCTTTATTATTATTTATGCAATTCTTATGTGTTTTTTTTGTGGTGGTATTAGTATATTTTTGTTTCCCTCCTCGGTGATGTAGTGAGAGAGAATATGTGTCTGTCTGTCTAGGACTGTGAAATAAGGGTCTTTCAAGACAAACCCGTGAGTCTCTCCTCTCCCCCCCCTTCTCCTTCTCTCTATCTCTCTCTTCTCTGACAATAGATCCCGCACACACCCACTTAAAATCAGGCACAGGGGAATGGGTGCAGTCTGTCCTAGGGAATTGACAATGAAACCCCTTCCCCTTTCTTCTTCCACCCTTTTAGTTTCCTAATAGTATATCTTAAAATAATCAACTGTTCATTACGACTGCTAGCTATTCCAAGTATATCAAAAAATGAATTTCCCTTATGCACCTTTTACTGCATTCCTTTACTTTACTAGTACCATTACCACAAATCATTAAATGCAAAAGCTTGGATAAAAAGGCCTAGCAGTGTATCAGATTGATCACTTATTCTCTTGCCTTCCTGCATTTGATCTGTCTGTTACTTTGTTCATGCAACTGATAATTAGTGTTAGAAAACTTATCAATGCAGTTTTTGGAATTTGGTGATGGGGTAATATGGTCACACTGGGAAACCTTGTTTTTTTCTAACGCATGAGAAAAAAATGAGAAGAAGAAAAGAAAGGGAAAGGAAGGTGATTTCACTTCACGTCAAACGAGTGTCCTCTTTTTCATTTTGTAGCTTTGCGTTTGTTGTTTAGTACCACCAACCCTACACGCCCTCCTATTTCAAATGCCATCATTTTTCTATAATATATACTCTAGCAGATATGAGGTAAAGGATATATCGAACTACGTGATAGGATTTAAAGCCTGTTCATAGTGACGACATTTCTCCTTCTTTCTTCTTCTTCTTCTTCTTCTTCTACTTCTTCCTCTTCGCCTTCTTCTTCTCCGCATTACTCTTCTTTTTTCCTTGCTTTCGTAATATTCCAAACTTCGATGTAAAAAAAAAAGACAAGCCCCCTGGCTCTGTCCATATTACCTTTACTGACAAACTTACAATTGTATGAACTATACAGCTCTAGCCTCTATGTAATGTAGCCCTTGCCCATTGAACCCCCCCAGCTTTGGCTCTTCCTATGGCAGGGCTTCTCTTGGCTGACGTGTCTCAGGTGATTGAATTATTGGTCCTAAAAGTTTCCATGAGTAACTCACAGCTTTTCCTTTCCTTCTCTTGTAATCTTCCAAGAAATATTTGTTTTATATGTCTTTTCCTCTCTCTCTCTTTCAATGAGGGGGGCATGAAATTTTTTCTTCCCTTTGTGAGTAAAAAATGAAATAGCAAATAGGAAGCTGAAAACATTCAATCTTGAAATATTTATTGATTCTCTAATAAAAAATATATATACACTTGTTCTCCTGCAGAAAAGAAAAAAATAGTTAAAAAAAGTTTTTTTTAGTGTCAAAATTTAAACAAGATTGCATGAAAACCATATAGTAATGAGTGGACAGTAAGGGATCCTATAAAAGTGAGAAATGGATTCATTTTGTGATGAGTGAAAACAGTAGACAGTAGGGACACCAAGGGGAGGTCCAAAGTGAAAAATATAGAAAATGATTACTAATTATTTCACATAGATACTCAACTGATTTTTTTTTTTTTTTTATGATGCCCATGATTCTCATTATTGGAAAAACAAAGTTAAAAACTGTCCCAGTTCCACCACCCATTGATATAATTCCCCTCTTTACATTTTTGTTGGGGGGGAAAGAAGGTACTTTCCATTCTCAATAAAAAAGCTTTTGTAAAAGTTTACTTAATGCTATCTTGTTAGGCAATCCGCTCGCTTTCCGCTTTACACTTTCCCCAAATAACAGAACAGGGGAAAAATAACAATGTTTAGAAATCCCACAATGGCAATTGAGAGATTCTATCTCAATTTGATCTTTTTATAAAGAATGCTGAATGTTGAAAATAAAAAAATAGATTGCAATTACTAAAATTTAAATCTCAAAATTGATAAATGTTACGAGTAATTATATAATTAATTAAATTAAATTTTAATTTATTTTTATTTCATTTTAAATTTGATGATTCATGTATACTATATATGGTCGTATTTATTTACAAGGTAAAAGTAGTGAATTTTCCAAACTTTTTACTATTAATTAGGATCCAGGAAGTGCAAAGAAGATATCAATTTGAGGCCATATTCTAAGTATTGAAAGATACTATACTTTTTTTCCCCAAGTAAAAGAAAAGAGCCATTAGAATAAAGAATATACTTCACAAATTTTCACCTGGTGAAGACAATAATTAGTCGGTGCAAAGTAAATTCCGTACACAAAGACTAGATTTTGATCCCTTTCATTTCATGACCCCCTCTTCTTTTTTTGGATTAGCAAATGACCAAAATCATTACCCTCTCATGTCTCTTCTTAATTTTGACTGTTTGCTAGCTCATTAGTATCAGTTACTACTTAATTCCCAATGCAATCTCAAACAAACAGTCAATAAACAAAATTATAGCAAGTAAGTACCTACAAGAAAATAAAAATGTCTGCATGTGAGCATGAAAATATATGTACATGTGGCCAAAACAATGGCAAGAAGCAATGTCAGCTTCAAGTCCCGATATTCAATTATAATCGGAAATGCTTCCTCAAGTCTCAGAAAACACCTTCTAAAACGTGCTGTTGCGCTCAATGTCTGATCTGCCTCACCAGGGACCTTCTGCAAACCTGTACATTTTTTTTTTGCAGTAGCAGCTGACATGGAGACAGTCTGTTTTTGTTTATTTTTGTTGATGGTTCTTTGTATGTTGCCATTCTCGTGATTCCTGTTTTGTTCTTTTCCTTGGTAACATAAGACTTGTAATATTTATTACCACCGTGACTCTTCTCCTCATTCATGTTACATGCACATTTATGGGAATAATTTCCTTTGAAACTACTCCCAATTCACCAAAAACACTAGATCTTTTTCCCCTACAAGAATGGATTAATAGTGCACTGGTCTCTGGTGCTCCTTATCCTTTTTTACTATCAAAAGGTCAAATTTTACAGACCATAATTAGTTCAATGTTAACTATAAATTATGGCAGATTAATTTCTTCCTTTGATTAACCTAATCATGTAATTAATCCATGGGGGTGAAACATGAGATATTGAGATATTGTGGGTCCATTAAGAAAAACAAAAATGGGTCCTACTCCTATCTCATTGATGAAAATGAGCAGTTTATGGACAAGGAACAGAAGCAAAGAAACAGTTTTTTTCTTTTTCTCTTTTTTTTTTTAATTGGGAAATCGATTTTTGTTTGCATTAAGACATCCATTATGCATAAGAGTGAGATAGGGCCCCACGAAATAGTATGAAAATCTAGAGAAAAAAAGCTGATCCTTTTCTCTTTCTCTCAACAAGTTGTCAGCAACTTAGGCACAGATCCTACGGAGCCCACCCCCATCACTACCAAAATCCCACACTGCTCTCTCTCTCTCTCTCTTCCCTGCTTCCACTCTACACTTTGAGGGGCCAAGAAGATTCTATTCCAATTTCTAAAACGCAGCCTAAGTGAACCCCACAAACCCTCCAACCCCCCCTTTCTATCACATGACCACCGCCGATTCGTTTCCAAAATACTATACTTCTACTTTTCTTTTCTTCTTCTAGGAGATAAAATGATTGTGAAAAACATTAAACAATACAAATAACATATACGTACAACGAGATTACCAATGTTTAAATGTAGCTTTGAGTATGGGAATTTCAAGGAGAGACAACTTAAAACACAGAGCGAATACGGATAAAACCCTATTATTGATATTAATTTAAGGGGAAAAGAAATAGGGTTGATGACTAAGTGTGAGATAAGAAAAACTATGGGGGTAGGATGTCTTATTTTATTTGATCTTCTTTCAACTATCATTTTTCTAATTCTAAAGTGAAAAGAAAGATAAGAAAGAATCATAATCTGTATTCTATACGACAAGGACAAGCTACAAGGTTCTTTCTTCTGTCTCTTCTTGCACTCTCTTTTGTCTGTTTCACTGTCTCTTTTCCTCAGCAGAAGCGAGGGAGAGAGAGATGGAAGAGGTTCAAAGACAAACCCCATTTGCCATTTTGCATTTGCGTAAATTAATATATATACATAGTTATTACGTGTTATTGATATGTCCATTTATTTATACATGCAGAAAAGCATCAAATCTGTGAATTGGAGATAATGGATGGTCAAACAAGGTTGAACTTAAAACATGTGCAAAGGACAGGATGGACTTGAAGTGAATAATAAAATAGAATATTTTGGGGAAAGTAAAGGAGAAAATGGGATTGAAATGGTTTGGATTAGAAGGGGGAGTCACGAGGGGATATGGGATCCCACGAGGAAATGGCAGAGTGATATAAATTGAGAAGACAAGATAGGTAATTGTCTTGGTAGTGCAGATATGTAGGCAGGGTTTGTCCTTAGTGTTTATTTGGGTGATTGACATCTCTGTCCTTCTAGATGATATCCTCTTCCAAATTTGCACCAGACGAAGAGAGGTTCCCTTCCTGCTGCTGCTCTAATAATGCATGTAAAAATCAAATATGTAGCAAGTGCTATTCTTTGTGCCTGAATTACCCTTTCCCCCTTAACCATGATTAATTACTAGTGAAGTAAATAAAATAGGATTGAGCTCAAACAACTAGGAACTTCATTTATAACTTTGATGACTTTAGAAAGCCGGGAATCACCTCAGCAATTCATCAGTTCCCAAATTTCTAGAAACTAAGCTTGTTTCAAATTCAAATCCCTGTGTATTACATAGGCATGTGGCCAATAAATTTTTTTCCGGACTACCAAGCATATAGTTTCTGAGTTATTGATTGAAATTTGCCCAATCAAAGGTTTGTTTTTAATTTTTTAAATGAAAAGATGTTGGGCTGAAAGGATATATTTATCAATGCAAAACTAATATATTACAATAAATTTACAATATCAAATAAATATAAAAAATTAATAACATAAAGTACACAAAAATTTACTTAAAAATTTTTTAATATAAAAAAAAATACGAACTATCAAAAAAAATTTTTACTATCAAATAATAAATATACAAAATTTTCATCTAATTGAAATTAAAATTAATCAATAATTAAATAAATAATTAAATAAATTTTAAATACATCATAAATTTATTCTTAAAAAGCTTTAAACCTAATTTCTATTATTCAAAATATAAAATATTAAATCATAAATTTACTTACAAAATTTTAATTCAATCAAATTATGAATTAACTTTCATTCTAATGACAGCTATCATCTTCCTTTTTCTCTCTTTCTTTTCCTAGTTTTTTTTTTTTCGATTTCCGGTGCCACTCCAATTTTCACGCCTAGACAGCCTTAGCTCTTTTTATTACGTAAAGCTCTTTAGGGTAGCATAAAACCAAGACTCATGACCTTTAATTTGTAAAAAACACGAGAATGGGGCTACACCTCACATTCCTAACAAAAGGGAGTCCATACCTAACATACTCAACAGTGCATGAAGTTGATCATTAATATGGATGAGAAAAAAATCTTTCAATAACTTAGCTATGTCCAAAGTATCATATACAATGCATGATTCTGTTTCTTCAACTGAATTCTCTTCTTCCAATTCTTTAGATATTGCTTTTATATGTTGAATATGCTCGCGTCCACCACGGTCTCCATTTTGGCCACAAAAGCCATTTTTGTGTGCTTTCCACTGTAAAGTTTCAAGATATATTTATATTTGGAAGCTTTATATATTAATTTTATTATGTTGTTGAATGTTCTTCGAATTGAATTTGTAGGATTCAAAATGGACTGAGACAATGGCCAAAGTGAAGAGAAAATAAAGTTTTTTTTTACTGATTGATAATTAGATATAAAGGAATCTGTTTATGAAATGTATTAGAATAATGGGAGGATTAGGTTCCCATGCAAAAGTTGTATTTTCCCTCTAGAAAAGTCGAAAAGCAGCTTCCTTTCGTGACTAATATCTCTTTAGGAATGGGTCCAAAATGCGGTTTCCATATCGAAATTTTAGACTTGCATTGCATGGGCTGTTGTTTCTTATCACTAAAAGAAAAGCTCATTTTAACAAAAACTTTAGAGAGTTACATTAAAAGGAGAGAACAACAAGGATGTCTTTCCTCCCATTATCCTTCCTTTTCTTTTCTTTTTCCTCCTTTTTTTCCCTTCTTTTTCTTCATTCCTTTGTTAAAGACATGAAAATTCAACTTCTACGTGAAAAAGCTATCCCATACTTAACTCCTTCATGTACAAACTACAAAGGACAATATATAGATATTGACATGTAAGTATATTTGCAGATGATGAAGATCAGAATTGATTCAGAAACTACTCTCCCCCACACAAAAGAAAGAATTAAAGATATCGATATCTGGCTATAGTTTGATGTGATATATATTGGGTGCATGTGGTCTTTGAATCCCACTAGTGAAAAAAAAATTTGCTTTTAATCAGTGCCATGATGAACACATGGCCGACCTTGCATGTCTAAGTATGGGCCCAATTAATTAAGTTTTTATCACAAAACAACATTAACATCTAAAGCTATTTTATGATCACCTAAACATGATTAATCAGAAAAGCATTAATGTCAAAAAAGGAGAATTAGAAGAAGGAAAGGAATGGTGGTTTTGTTATAATTTCAGATAGAATTAGAGGGGAACATAAAGGCTGTTGGAGCACATGCACATCACATTCTTTTTCTTCTTCCTCTTCTCTTCTTTTTATACTATGGCTCATGAACGTTAAAGAAGAGGTGATTAGAAAAAAATAAAAAAAAAAAGGACCCACAATTCAAGGCTGCTGCTGCTCCTCCTCCTCCTCAATCCAAGGGATTTTTGTGTTGATCAACCTATTTCTGGGTCCCCCCATCATCTTCACCATCATTCCATGCATATATATGAAGTCCCACCCTCTCACTTTCTATTTTACTCTTGGCAAAGCAAATGCTGGAAAGTGCCATTTTTTCTATTCACTGCCAATAATTTAGGATATAATATAACTTGTCAAAATTCTTGATTCTCGCCCGCCCTCATCGAAATTCGACTTGAATTATTGTAATTTGATCGGATGATGATCGATCGGTTCTGGGAAAATGCAGTTACCCTCGAATCATTTACCGTGTTGGGTTGATCCAGGCAGTCCCCGTTCCCTCAGTTTCTTTTCTTATTTAACTAAATTATTATTATATTCCTTTACTACTACATATATTTTCATCATAATCATACAAATATCATTGCCACCTAATTATCCACTATGCCGGCCAATCATGTCGACCAAAAAGCTTGCAAGTCACCCTGGTCTTGATCATTCCACGAAGCTGACCTTCCATAGATGAAAACGATATAACTCCATTGCCCACTGTGGTTAGAGTGACACGCGCGGCTCTCACTACATTTACCCGCAATATCAATTTGCTTCATGAGCCAACACCATGTTCCATTGGACTACAAAAATGATTAAATTGGCTTCCCAAAGTGACCAATTAAATGCTCATTAATCAAAAGAACTTGCGGTAAGTCATTATTAGAGAGAAGACATTTTTTCAAGGCTAGTGGCTCTTGCGCATGAGATTAAAAGGAAACTAAAAGGATAATAATGTTGCTAGCAGTCCTCCCATGAAAGCTATATTTGAAAAATATTGGACAAGGGCGTGAATTTAAAGGTGGGTTTCTCTCCTTAGGACCACTGTTGCCAACAAGCAATAGAGGGGGGATAAGACTTTTCTTTTTCTTGGTTTCGTTTCATGAACAGAACTAAGAAGCTCATTTCCCTTTATACATACAAGGTAGAATAATAAGACAATATTTACAATCTTAAGGGTTTTGAATGGTGGAGCAAAGAAGTAAAGTTACAATTTGGATGACTGAAACAGATGTTTCTGTAAACTAAACCTCAAATTTTGGCTGTATACATAGATTCAGCAACATTGACATGTGTTGAGGTTGCTTCAAAGCAGATTAGGTGACATTTAATTTGTGACACCAAGAGAAAATTTATCTTCTTTAATCGTAGAAGGAACTATTTTCAGCAAAATCATCTAGTGATAAACAAAAACTGATGTAATAATTAGATTATAATAAGGGGAAGTGGTGTGAGGAGTGCACATGGCACAGAAAAGATGCAAATTTTTCAGAGAAACGAGAAAAGACAACACTTGAAACTATGCAAATACAAATATTCCATTCACATTTGGGGACCCCTCAAGGAACTGAGCAGAGAGGAACTATGGTGTAGCCTCGTACCCGAGGCAGAGGCTAGCTGTGGCCTGTGGATATCACAAGATACATGTTCGGTTTAAAAATGGAATAACTTTGACAGTCCAAGATCACATTCGAGTCTCCCCAAAAAAAAAAAATTCACGGATGTACAACATATGATGAATAAAAGAACGGCAAAAAAGAGAAAAACAAAGTGGAGGCAACTGGTAAGCCCATTAGAGATAACCCACAGACCCCACAAAGAGAAATAAGAAAAAAAAAAGACAGAAAAAAACAGCTTTATAGGGAATAAGGAGGAGGTTGGATGATTGAACTGGAGTAAAGTCACACTTTTATAATTTTTCAGGTTCTCTAATTTTTATTTTAGTTTTTGTAATAATGGGATAAAGAGAATGGAATGGAATACAAAGGAAAAGGGGGGGCAATGACAGGACTGAGATCGTCTGGGGTTTGCGGTGGGAGGTGGAAGTGGAAATGGAGGTGGAAATGAAATAATTATAATCATAATAATAACAACAATAATGGATAGCAGATAGTTATAATCATGGGAGAAGCATATTCACTTTCCTCTTTGTCATCACTTTCTAAGGCATGATTAGAAAAAAAGTTCATCAATCTTCTACCCCCCATTAAAGAAAAGCAATTCTCTTCCTTCCCCTCCACTTTTGTCCAATTCTACACCAAATAATACAAACTTGTTTCCCAAGACTTCTACATATACTAATTAGAATATTAGTGGAGAAAAAGTTTGGGGTTTTGGAATTCGCAATTGATCATTTCTCAGCTTGGTTAGCTTCAAGAGCTCTTGAATTTCGCAATGGGCTCAGCTTCGAATGTTTGATCTCTCTGCATGGGGCTTGGTCAGGTGACAATGGCTGCTCAACTACTAGAGTACTTGATATAAACTTGTTCAAACTGCTCATTTGAACACCAATCATAAAGCTGAACAGTTGGTTTTGAGTAACAGGGTTTCAGTCAGAAACAGCAATATTCCCTTAACAATATCTCAAATTCTCCCTCTTTTCTCCATAATGTCTTGCATGGCCCCTTGTGCTCACTTAATCTCAGTTGATTTCAAAAGTTTTGATTTTCTGCAAACTAGGCATTGGAAGCCATGTTGTCTGAGTGATATATGGGGTCACACTGTTACAGCATTTAAAGAATAATTAGTTCATCTAAAACAAGACCTTCACAATTAATGATGAAAACTTATTAAATAACAGTCAATCAAGCAGCATCTGTTTTTGAAAAAAAGCGTTCCCTATTTCAAATCTTTCTTTTTCAAAATGCTTAAAAGATTATAAAAAATATCAATGGTGCCTTTGTGAAAATGTCCTTTTACGTGTTTGCATTTAAAGCAAGATGACTGAAATTTATGTATTCAATGTCGATAGCCTTTTTTTTTTTATTTTACAATTTACTTCTATGGGCTAAAGCCCTTTGCATAAGTTCATTTTGTGTTTGACTTAACAGGGAGAGAACACAAAAACAAGAGAAAAGATGCGTAGAATTGGTGGCAAATTCGGCAATGAAGGATGTGATATCCATTCTTAAAGGTTTCGAACTCCTTGAAATGCGGCTGGCCTACTTCTTAGAGAAAGGGCTCTTCCATGGGTTAGCCCAAGGGGCCAGACGGATGTAAAATCAAAAGGCAACGTATTCATATGTAGCACTCTAAGAACTGCATGACAGTATCAGGGTAAAGCAGAGAAGTACGCGGTTGAAACGTAGACACCCCAACATCTCGACTGTGCAAGCTAAAAAAATCAGGGTTATATTGCATCTCTGATACGAATTTGAAGGTACCCAACATTTTTCTGTTTGAGCCATTCATGGCGAATGGTTTTTAGTTTGAGATGTAGGATGGCATGTTTGACGTCTTCAACTTAAATTATTCCTAGTTACTACAGCTCATAGCTTTCTTCATGTAGCATGCATAGGATAGAGAGATGAATTCAAGAAGACACGTTTCCAAATGACACGAGAGATGCAACTTTTAAGAGTCGAGTAAGCCAGCCTTCTTTTTTGGATTGGGTATTTCCTCAAGAACTAACAAAACAATGGTGCATCAAACAAATACAGCAATGAAATTAGTCATAAAGGGAAAAGACACCGTCTTTCTTCATCATTTATAACCCATAAGCCACGTGAGAATCTTTGTAGTTATGTAAAGTTTCATCCAACTAAAAGCAAGTGTAATCAGTTTATCTCAAATACTTTATATAACCAAGCCATATACTCGGAATATTCGATGAGAAACCTTGCCTAACTATCCTTAAAGCAACAAACCAACAAACAAGAGGCAACCATCAATATCAAAAGAATTCTGGATGTAACTTTAGTATAATATTAAAGCTTTCATATGTATATCATTACATAAATACCTCCATGCCAATAATCTTAGATGACTGACACAGTGGGCAAAAACTAAGCTTACTTTCACAAGCTTTACAGAGGCAGAGATGCTTACAAGGTAACAAAAGCATGCAGGCTTCATTCACTCTGCAAATTTTACAAGTCATCAACTCTTTCATGTCACTGTTCTCCTTGCAGAGCAAATGGAAATCAATGACCCGGCCATTGCAGCAAGAAGCTGTATCATCAACCTCGCTATCACCACATCCTTCCTTACTATCTCTACTTTGAGCGTAAACTTGCTGAAGACTAAACTTGAGGGCAGTAATCATGTTTTCATTGTATCTGGCACGCTGCTGCCAGGCACCTGCTTCCATGGTCAATTGCTCCATCCGCTCTGCCAGTTCCATATTCTTTTTGTTAATATTTTCCACTTCTGCTTCTTTCTCACGAAGTTTCTGCGTAACTTTATCTTCCACAAATGAAATTGTCTGAAGTTGGTTAGCCTGAACCTTCTCCAACACAGATTGCTGTAATCGGTCACCCTATTTAAAGAGAAGAGATGGGATTAGAAGTACTTTCATTAAAAGTCAACTTCAAAACTGCTTGTTGACCAATATATATTTCACAATAAGGATAGAAAGTTAATGCTAAAACAAACAATGAAAAATAGGTTTCACCACCATGAACATCACCATACTCGTACAATCATACTATCTCCCATCACTTATAACCATTTGACTAATTAGAAAATACATACACAATTACCATCAAAACCTTGAAAAAGACAAAAAAAGAGGATAAACCACGTGATCTTCAATTAAGATCTTAATTCAAAGGTGCATAGAACAGAAACATTCTCCCATTATAGCATGACCCAGTACCATAGATTCTCCAAAATTTATGTATTTAAGTTAGAATTGTTCAAGTGGTGGAAACAGAATAGTTCATTTCATTCAATCACACTATAATTAACCCTAATTGCTGTAAGGCACATAGTGTTATTTTCAGAAGAAAAATAAAAAAACTGCGAAACAAAGCCCATGATGAAGAAATTCATAATAAGTGATAAGGTGAAAATGCAGATGGTTAAAGATATTTAATTGCTATTACTTCTAGAAAATGATGAACGTATGCAGGACATGCAAAAGCTTGACTCACTCTAATTACCACTTTGCGCACTTGCAGCTCGATAATGACAATAACGTAACTCACAACGAAATACGACAAAATAATATGAATTGTGTTAAGATTGGAAAGTGCCTTATCTACAGTTAAAATTGTGTTAAGATTGGAAAGTGCCTTATCTACAGTTAACAGACTCAATAAGCAATCGAAAAAACTACCAAAAATAAATCTGAAACAAAAATTACCATTATTATCCACATATGGCACAAATGAATCCTAAAATAACAAATCGATCCTTACAAAAATCATAGAAGCTAATCAAACATGTTTTATTTCCATTTAACTGTATTTAACAAGAAGCTAGAGTCCAACAAAGCCAGACCTCAACTTTGAGGAATCTATCAATCTCTGCATCCTGTCGCTGCAACTCATTATCAATGCCATTGCCAACGAGTGACAGCAAAGCCGAATCACCCGAAGAAGCCATCCGATTATTATTATCTAGTGACAAACCTAAACCTGTTGAGACAGACCGTGCTTGAAAAAAATCAACAGAAGATATCTGTGAATTGTTCTCCAAAAAATCTTGTTCCCTTAGTTTCTTCCTTTTAGGCTCAACCCCATTATTCCATGGAAAGTCAGCTCCTCCATCACTCCCATCTGTCACCGGAGCAGACCCGGGTGCAAACCCATCAACATGAACTAAACCAATAAAAACAATCAATAAATAAAAATAAAAAAATCCCAGAAATATTAAACAACAAAGTTCCAATTTTGATGCTTAAAATGTAAAGGTAATTTCACCATAACTACCACTAAAGAAATTGAATTTTTTACTTATCTTCATATAATCCTTAATCAATTAAATAGAAAATAAAAAGTAATTAAAATTAAAAAAAAAAAGGAAGAGAGAGGAATTACAAGGAGGGATATAAGGAGGATGCTGAGACGAATCTTGTAAATCAGGCGTATTGTAATAACCAAGTGGCGGCGAAATCTGACCGTCGATTGCGTATAAGTTCCTGAGATCAAACATAGAAAGAAACAGATTATAAATTTTTTTAGGGTTTAGTTTTTCTTTAGCAGAAAGTTAAATTGATTTTGGTAGTAATTAAAAGATTGGATTTTTTTTTTGGGGGGGGTGGTTTACCTGAAATTTTTAGATTGTTGTTGTGCTTGGTACTGTTGTTGAAACTGGCGCTGAGGGAAAGCCATTTTTGAGAGAGAACTGGTAATGAGTTTTTCATTCGTATAGAGAGAAGAGAAGAGAATAGCGTGGGTGATGGAGAATATTCTTTTTATTTCTAGTTTGGCCTCGTTATTTGTTTTATTTTTTATTGGCCACTGTAATTCCGTTAATTTTCAAAAAGACCGTTTTTTATTTGTTTCTTACGGAATAGGCCAATTTGGACGGGAAAAAAAATAAAAAATATGAAGATTAATAAGCTCTCTTGATTTTTTTTGGGTCTAAAATAGAGATTTTATTTCCTTTTAAAATTTTTAAAATTTGAAAAATTAAAATAAGAATATAAGATAATTTATGATAATATATCCTTAAAAGCTTACATGTGGACTTCAAAAACTTTTAACAATCAAAGAATTTAAAAAATCTTATTGACGGTGAATAAAATAATTTTTATAAACAAATATATTAAAAAATATATTTTGATATATGTGTCTATTACACAAAAAATTTTAATCAAAAGCATAATTTACCCTTTTATTTTTATCACATTTAATTAATTAATTAATTAATTATTTTTATTTTTATTAAAGTAATCTTATTTCAAGCTTAATTGGATCACATTGTGAATTTTGTGATTATCGAAAAGCTATAAGAACAAAGTTTAGTGCTCGTCAAGCCAAACAAAATCAATTAATTAATTCTCCAGCTGCCTAATTTGACTTTAATCACCATAATAGGATATTGTCTTTTACTTTTTGTGAATTACGAAATTCATTTTATAAAAAAAAAAAAAAAAAAAAACCACCAAAACTCGGCTTTCTCTCGAACTCTCTTACGTTATTTTCTTTCAAATTCCAAATATGTAACAATTGTCACCGACCATGTGATGAAAAGCTCCTAAGCATGAGTACTTGACCACATGGATTCCTCCTAGTGGTAGAGTTCCCAACCCTGAACTTGACTAATTGATGGAGACCAACGAGTTAAGCCCCCAATGATATTATATATCATGTTGTGATGCCATATTAATCTAAGCCATTCATGGATTAATTAATCAGATTCCAGAGAGAATCTGAATGAAACAAATCAAAGTGAAAAAAATGAAGGGGGACTCTAAATTGAAGTCGGTTTTAATCTAAGCAGGGGAAACAGGGCAGGGGCCGGTGATGTCCTCAGTGTCGCAGTAGTTGTCAGGGTCTTAAGTAGAGTCGGTATGTGACATCAATTTACATGTGACTTCTGTCGCCTACCGTACCTTCCCACAACAAATGATTCAGCCTTCCATAATTCTTCGTCTTCCTCACTTTAAGACACAACTGATCGGTTTCCAAATCTGAAGTCTCTTCCATTTTGGCCAGAGCTCATCAAGGTCACACCAATGGAAACCACATTTCTCAAAGTGCTTCTTATCATCTCAATTCTGCTCACTGTCAGTGCTCAGGTTGATCACTCCAGCTTCTATCTTATGAGTGAGGAAACTGAATGGCCCTGGAGGATGTCAGTGCATGATGAGTTGGGTGCCAATGAAGAGGAAGAAGGTGGCAGTGCTAGGAGATCTCTATATTGGAAAGCAACACACTATTACATTTCTTATGGGGCACTTTCTGCTAACAGGATTCCATGCCCACCTCGGTCTGGAAGGTCTTACTACACTCATAATTGTTTTAAAGCCACAGAGCCTGCTAACCCCTACATCAGAGGCTGCTCTAGAATCACGCTTTGCAGGAGATAAAATAAGTGTTTAGGAGTTGCAGCTTTTATCCGAACATTGTTCCAATTGATTTTGTATGACTCTTTGTTTCACTCATTGTTATATTAATAGGAAGTTGTTAAATCTTGTTCAACTGAACCAGCTTTGAGATCTTGTGGATCTGAGTATATGATTTGTTCCAGCTACCAAATCAAGTGAATTGCCCTGGCTTTAGCTGTTGGATTCTCTTTGCAGGATTAAGCAATGAAATAAGATCAACATGCAAGAAATGTTATCTGTACCTCATCAGATATAACATGGTGATGATTTTAAAATTAAACAATTTCAGCAATATTTTCATTAACACTTCCACAAGTTATGCAGTAAGGGCCAGAACAACAAAATGGAAGTCAAAATTTAAGAACATCTTATTGACTACAAGCGTACAACCTAATTTCACAAGATCCGAAAGCAATGACGCATGATTATCTGTGGCAAATAATAAGATATATAGTATGACTGTAGAAGGATACAAAATTACAGATTCATAGAATTTTTCTCCTGCAAGCCACAGTTCTCTTAATTTTTTAACAATGAAGGAAATTTTGGTTATTGAAAATAATCATATAGCCATCCATGATACAATTGCTTTATTCAGAATGACCATTTTTGCAAGTTAGATTTCTTGGCTGAATGAAAGGTATCTCCAAACTCACCCACATCGTCACTGAAGTTTGTTATTGGTTTTCTTCGATCTTTTGGAGCAAAAACTAACCTATTATTCAAGAAAGATCAGGGAGGAACCTCGTCTTTTCTTGGCGAAGTAGTTTTTAACCTGAACAATATTATTCAGGTTAAACATTCCAGGACTTGTTAACGAATCTACAATACCTCATCTGGTGTATGCGGTTAAGTATTTGCAAGTTTCATTTCTTTCGAAACAACTCAAATAAATTACAATTTATGTCCAAATATGCTTAGCTTTCTTCCCCAAGGTCCAAGGCCTTGCCTGTGAGTCTATCACTCACCTTTTTGTTGGAGATTAAGCAGATACTACTAAACAGCTAAAAAAAAAAAGTGATTACAGAACAGTTGCTTATGTTATTTTTTTCCTTCTTCATTTTAAAGAAATCCTACCAAAGGTTGTTAAAGAAGACAGATTGGCCATTATTGATTCTAATCACTGATTTTGAGATCATTTATGATTATTGATCCCTGAATCCGGATAATGATCATGTCTCTTTTTAATAAACTGAATGATGTTCTTGAGAGTGAGCATGTGCACAAAAGAACAGGACATCCACATGCCTGAAGTTTGTCTTCAACTTTGTCTTCCATAATTCCCATATTATATTAGGTGCTTATTAGGACATTCCCTGCAAATCACATGGCCAATGAGTTTTGTACAACAAATCAATGGTTTCAGCTTCATTGTGCTTTTCTGTCAGGATTTTTACTCTTTCTAGCACAAAAATTTAATGGAAGCGAGTTTAACTTTAACCAATTGTGCAATTGCAATTTTTTAATCTCAGTTATCCCTACATATGTTAGATCTGTCTTTCGCAAAAAAATATAGATAAAAAATGGCCTGGGAAGAGCTTTAAACTATTTGTCCTAAAAGAAAGAGAAATTAAAGCTTCTCCACCTAACCAAATTTTATCAGCAATAATAAAAAAATTAAGTTGATTCCTTTAAACACGAACTTACTCAACCGACAGCCGAAAATTTTTATCTAAAACATTTAAAACTCTATTATTCCATTATAAACTGTTGTACCACTACATTTACTAGAAGAATGAATTACATTTTTAAAAAGGAAAAAAAATAATAAAAAGCCATAACTCACAAGTCACCACCGAATCAAACGTATGTGGTTCTCACTCATTGGGCACACAGGCAGCCCCAATAAGTCCACAACCGCGTTCCTTACTCCCTGACTAGACATCTCCAGGCCTGTCTGCTTAGCTGTATCCCATTCATTTCCCACTTATCGTCAACAAAAGAAGAATAACAAATTAAAGAAGAAAAAAAAAGGGGGGGGGGGGGGAAGCCACTTCGACGTGTTTTCCATGTTATTCGATCTATCAATCGTATGTGCAAGAATTCTTGAGTGAAATGGGAACATTGAGTTTACTGGGATCGAAAGTTATGTCACATTCGATTTTCTTGTAGAACTTTGGCTTAACCAATTTGCCTAAGATGTAAGCTCTTGAATGGACAATGAAGTTCAGTTTAAGTGAAACTGGAAGCGTTGTTGTGCCCGTTGAACTGCTCAAACTTGCTCCACTTCCGTACAAAGGAACCTTGTTTCCCATAACCGTTACAGATACAGACCTTTGGCTCTTCCTTGATTGATAAAATTTCTTCATCTGAAACACCAAAGTTCAACAAATTTAATGAAATGGAAATGTTAAAAGTTTTTTTTTTTATCTTTTGAAGTGGACTTACGGTTCCTGAAGCAATGGGGATCTGAGAAAATGACAGATCTAGAGGAGTTGATGTGACATGGACGCCAAAAAATGTTCCAGTGTTACGATAAATCATTTTCACTGTGGAATTCATGGAGATCATATCAGTTGCCACACCTGTGGCATCCGAACCAGCTTGGATCTTGAATTGCTCAAATGTTATACTCTGCAGGATCAAATAAAACCAGTCAACCACAACCCATTTGTAATTCAATCTAAAAAGCTTAAAAGAATGATGGAAAAAAAAAGAAGAAAAGAACGAATGAGAGAGCAAGTTACCTTCATTGTGACCTTGGGTTTCTGGGGCCTGCTAGCTCCCCAGAGAATCAAAGAAAACATAGAGAACAGAATAAAGAAGCCAAGAACAAAAGCTAGAAAATAACATCTTCGAGGGAGTCCCTTATCACGCTCTTCATCTTCAAGGAGCCCTTCTTCTTCGATCACATCACATTCTTTCCACTGCTTATGTCCCTTCCTATGTGCTCCCCTAGAAGACGCGTCGTTCGGAGAGATCTTGCGGGATCCGGGTTTAAGCGACCCTGAAAACCGACTCGATGAGGACTCCCGCGAGTGGCGACCCACGGAGGAATGGGAGTGCGGTGGTGATCCCATGGGGCTGAGCACCGGCGTGGAATGGAACGACGTGGTAGTCTTTTCTCCATCGTGAGAATCACGTGAAGGGCTCTGCACGTAGTAAACTGGACGCCGCGGGGACCTCGTTGGCGATGATGGGGCAAGGCTTGTAACCTCTGAGTCTGTCTTGGCGTGCATTTTCGGTGGCGTTTACTTCAAATCTCACCCAACACTAACCAAGAACCTGTCTTTTGCGTCAGCTTATGTAGTAGGGATTATTACAAGTGCTGGGTATGTTTTATTTTGTGGATTTGCTTGAGTGTTTGATGGTGACTTTATGAAGGAGTTTGTTTGCCAACTGGGCGTGAAATTGAAGAATTAAGTACAGATTTTTGCTGTAACGCGTGGAATACGTGAGAAAATAAAATAAAATAAAATATAGGATGACCAAAGTGGGAGAGGACGACAAAAGAGAAGGTGAGTGCGTTTATACTTTTGAGCTAGGGATGCGTTCGGATTCGGGCATTAGGAAGAGGAAGCAGCGAGGAGCTCATTACCCGACAGCCATGTTACAGTTGGCAGCCCTGACCTGACATGGCACCACCAAACTACGATTGTTCTTTACCCTTTTTCCTTGGGCCACCTAACTGTTGCAAGCTATCTAGAATCAGACGATCGTAGGAGTTTGATGAGGGGGAAAGTGATTTGGGCTTATTTTGTTTGGGCTCAAGGCAGTCGGGTATAATTCATGCAGTTAGATCAAAGACAGCTTTTTTTTGTCTTTTTGGATGACAACAGTCAACAGCCTTCCCTAACCTATTTAAAATTGAAGATTTGAAGGTAATATCCGTGATTAGTATTAAAAATCCAAAATTCCCATACCAAGGAACGGGTCTAATGATGTAAGATCAGGACAGGCAGGTTCCCCAACGTTAACAGTTCATCTAGAATTTAACATGAAAAAGAGATGCCACTTGTGGATTTGTGGGTCATACTTGCAATCTATCCATCAACGGCAGGGATCTTAAGCTCGACAATGGGGGCTCCACAATAAACCATGTGAGCCCATGTGGAAAGATACCTGCTCCACGAATGCCTCTTAACACAGCAATAGTTCTGCCCTTTTATATTTTCATTTGTTTTGGTTTTTCATTTTTCCTTTCTGTCGATAATAAGGTTTTGGCAGATATTTTTGTTACTTCAAAATTTAGATTAGCTGGATAGTTAGATAACTTCATTAGTGCTAAAGAAATCTTGTGCATCCCTCCCTCCCCACCTTTTTTCTTATATGTAGATTTTACTTCCAAATAGAAGATCCAATTGCAGGACATAATAAAGGTTGTTTACAAACATATGGCAGAAACTCTGATAACAAACAGAAGGTGTGGGAACAAATACACTAAAAAAATGTAACTTGATGGTGCCAAAGATCAACTCTCATGTATGCAAAATGCTACATGCATCTTTCACAATGTGTGTGTGTTGTTTCGCCATTTAAGAGGTGATTAGCTTATTATTGTCCAAGAAAACTAGTCAGGATTCCTCTGGACTCCAAAATGCACCAAAAGACATATAAGATTTCAAAATGGGGTCAAACTAAGGAAGAATGAGAGGAATATTTAACAAGTTCCAAGTAGAGATCACTGTCAAATAGTAGTAAAAGCAAAAGCAAAAAGGAAAAGAAAAGATAGGTATGAATTAAGCTTACGCTGACTTAATTGGGAGGAACCCTAATTGGCTTACTTATCTCCGAGGCAGCAGACCAGAGGCCGGGAACAAATAAAAAAGAAAAGTTGGTTAGAGATAATTCAAGCAGCTAAGACTTATTAAGATTAAAGAGGACAGGTGTCATTATAAGATTTCAGTTGTATTATGATATGATAATTTAAAATATGATATGATAATATAATATAAATATTACACAAAAATAAAATATAAAAATGAAATAATTTAAAATTTTAATAATAATTATATATAAATTTAATAAAATTTTAAAAAAAAATTTATATTTTTATATCTATATAAATTATAATATATAATTTATATATAAAATATGATAAAAATATATAAATAGTAATATTTGTGTATATAAATTCATGAATTGCCAAATGTACTTACAATAAACGTGACAAAAAGGGATAAAAAAAGCAGAAGATTGTGGGGGATAATTCCTACACCAAAAGCAAATTTCATCAATTAATGATAAGAATGGGTCCAAAATCCAGGCTTATCGTAATTGCCAATCCTGGAAGTGCCCCCTATTGGGTAGAAACTTGGGATTAACATCAAGTGGGGCTAACTTTTGGGCCCACGGCCTGAAATGGGCAAACCCATCGTCCATCATCCGAATGTTCGACACATGGAAGGGTGGCTCCGTCTGTCAATTGTCCCCCAATCTACCAATCTTTCAAGAAATAAAAATAAATAAATAAAATTCTTTTCTTCCTTGTTATGAAGTATGCTTGTCTCATCGCTGCAATTCATGGTTTTATTAGAATTAAATGTGGCTCATTTATACAATTTAGATAGAATGCAGAACATTTTACTTGAGAAGAAGATACTGAAACACAGCAACAGTTTTTAACTCTATAGAACAAAAAAAAAAAAAAACATATATTAATCAATGATAGTAATTATCACTTTATGCAGGGGAATGACGATAAGCACAGTTGCACCTGAACATTGTGTTTTTCGTATATATAAAGAGGAATAAAGATGTCAGTAGCATCAACATATATAAAGCTGAACAAGTATAAAAGGTCATCGGTTTCAATAACATTTGCAGCTTCTAGTGTTTGAACCACAGGAAGATTTAGAGATGGTGACCTCAGTTTTTTACATCCTGTTTCTTTAGGATTTCTGCTTGGCTAAGACATGCCTGGTAAAGAGTTATTCCCAGCATGATTCATCTTGAATTGAAGTTGTGACCGGCCTTCCTTACAGATTTCCTTGACATTTTCAAAGAAAAATGAAAAAGCTTGCATTGATCCAAGAGATTTTCTGATGGATTCATTACATATTCATGCTAAAGGTTCCTTGGAAGATGTTGAAGGGGTGAAGGATCCATACCGTGCCTCAGCAGAGGCTTCAAAACCAAATGAAGATTCCAAATTGGATATATTAGCTACAGAAGGTGCAACAATTGGCTGATTTGAGATGATGCATGAGTTGGAAAAAGGAGTGTTCATCAAGTTTTCTTCATTTGAAGAAAATGTGCCTGCTATTTTGTTGGGACTAAAGAATCCATTTCCCCCGTCATAACCGGTGGGAGGCAGTTGCATTTCCTGTAGTACTCCCGGTAAGCACATCGGGTACAAACCCAATCCATTTCTCATTGATAACATCTGCAAAATCAATGACAACAAAACAAACGGGCTTTTCATGATTCTAGCTCAGTTCGCATTACACTCTACCTTCAGACAAATAAAACTAATGATTTCAAAACAAACTTTAGCTTTTATCATTTCATCTTTATTTAGTGTTTCTTGCCTTCCATACCAACATGTGCAACAAATCAAACAAATGATCTTATCAGCATCACACAAAATAAATGTATGAAAATAAAACAAATCCCTTTCTCTTGAGACCTAATAATTTCAAACACGACACGAAAACGACACGAATAAAAAATATAAAGGTAACATGATATATAATTTTAGCAAAAACTATAAATAGGTTTAACAAAACCAAAATAATGTATTTCATGTTTTCATGTCAACAAAAATTGTAACATGCAATTTTCATGTAAAACGAATACATATATTTTTAATATTTTATACGATTCAAATACACGAATTGCCAAGTCGTCCGTCTCCATCACCAAAAACAAAACAATCTAAGCATGAATAGAGTTTAAAGCATCGCATTGGCGCTTAACCTCTCATTTCCTCTCCCTCCCAGTCCTGATACCATAAATACTAAACTTCTCCATTGCATGTGCAAAATCATAGAAAAATACAGACAGACTAGAAGCATACAATTGCAAAAACTGCTTTGTCTTAGAGCCATTTAATGGAGCACTATCCCCCAATTCTCTCTGTAAATTCTGATAACACACTTTCTCAAACTTAGATGGTGTCATGACATCATTAAATGCCAACAATGCGGGATCTTTAGGATAATTTACGTACATTTTTTTTCAGTTGCTTCGGCAAACTTAAGAGTTACATGTGGAACCAGTTCGTATTTCATGATAAACAGCCAAATCTGACACATGATAACTAGCAAGACAATGTGGTACACTAAAGTAAGAAAACACAAAACAGAAATGGCAGAACCAGAAGAGAACACTCACCTGTACTTGAAGTTGAAGCTGCTTCAGATATTCGATTGCCTCGTCAAGCATCGAAGCCTTATCCGTCTATCACTCCAAAAAAGATAAAAAATCATTTATTAGAAAAAAGACAAGGCTCTGTTTGGTTATAGCAGTTTTTAAATACCTTGTTAGAGTTTGGTATTAGATTCTGTAACGCTTTCATTTTCTCATTAATCCTACTCCTCCTTCTCTGCCAAACAAACAAAAACAAAAGTAAATCAAATTTCGTATAGATTTCATTTGAAAAAAAAAAAAAACTGTTAAAACGGTCAAACCTTTTCCGACAAATTATGGACTTCGGCTGCTCTGCTTCGCTTTGATGAACTACGTGGCCGCTCTTGATTTGACGGAGTCTCCGATGCTTCCTGAACCTTTTAGATTTAAAAAAGTAATCTTAATCTAAGCTTTCGCTATTAGCGAAAAAAAATCGAAAAAAACTTTAAGCTTTAGCTTTTTTTTTTTTTTCAATTCTAAGGAAAAGAATTTTTGAAAATAGGAGAAAATCATTTAAATTATTTTACCTCGCTGTCGTAACTGAAATCTCCGGTGGAAGACAACGCATTGTCGGCGCTATCTTTAACATTGGCTCCAAAATATGTTATAGGATCGGAGAAATTGACTCGAGGCTCTGACTCGGCTCGGACAGCTGATCCGCTAACTCGGTAGCTATCCTCAACTGGAATTTCCATCCCGGCGACGGAATTAGCCGTGGGAGTTGAAAATACCGGCACTTCAAATGGAAAAGACTGAATATACTTGGCCTTGACTTGCATGCACGAAGAAGAGGATTTGTGAAGGAGATGATCAAGGAACGTGGAGATTTCTTCGGGTTCCGGGTTTGAAGATGGGGTTGCACCGTAGAGATCCGCCATGAAAATTGAGTCAGAGAAAAATTAAAGAGAATCGAAACGGAGGCATAAAAGAAGAAACGCGTTTCTGATTGAGAGTGGTTTTTCCTTCTTCTCTTTTTCTGTGCTGATTCGTTTTAAAAACGGATATTTCTTTTTTCAAAATAATGTGAAAATTTTGAAGATTATTACTGAAAAAGTGGAAATAACGAACGGTCCCATATTTTTATTATTATCTGTTTGGCACCCCTCTTTTAATTTCGTTTAAAATTGCCACCAAAATTTGATAACATTCCAAAAATTTACAATTCAATTTTATGGTTTTTTCTTCAAAATGCAAAAAGGTTAATCTAGTAGTAGTTTCTTTTTTTTTTTTCTTCTTTGGATTTTTAATTATTTTTATCCAAAATTTTTTAAACCAAATTTATAAAATTTTTATTTATAACGAAAATTACAAATGATCTTAAATCAAATTTTTGTGTTTGTCAAGATATGATACTTTGAATTCTTAAATCCCACCCAATGTTAAGAGAAGATCTATTGTTTCATAGTTGATATATGAGATACTATTTATAGGAAAAATGTATCACATAACACATGTTGATTTTGAATGTTTTCAAGAATTAATCATTTTTATTCTTACATTCTATCACACATTAATACTTAAAACAAAATCCAACAAGTTTCCAACCAAAATCAATATTTTAGAATTTGATGCAAATATAAAAATTATGAGAGGAAAAAGCACAACATAAATACATAAATTAATAAATTTATAAAAATTAATTTTATGAAAATTATTGTACCTTTGATTATTTTAGTATGTCCTTGAGGGATGGGAATGATATTACGGAGCATTCAAGTGTTATTAATGTAATTTGCCCTGGACTTCAAAACAAAGTGGGAAGAAGGAAAAAAAAAAAAAGAGTTTCTATTTGCTACTTTTTTCTTCTTTCATATATTTTTCTTAATTTTTCAAATAAAGTTATTTAATTACTTTTTTTTGAATTAGAAATTCAAAACTTAAAAGCTTTTGAATTTAAAGATTCGAAAGTTTTAAAAAAATTTTAAATTTATAAATTCAAAAACTTTTAAAAATGTTTGGATTTGCATATTTCATATCTAAAGGTGAGAAAAAATTTAAGAAAACTAAAAATCAATTTCAAACCATATTATTTAGTTCGGTTCATATTATTTTTTTTATTCAGTTTAGATTAAATTTAGATATTAAATGTATATATTAAATTTAGGTGATATTTTGAATCAAAAAATAAAAAATTTTAAAAAAAACCAAACTAAACAAAATTATATATTTTACTAGTTTTTATATACATTTTATATTTTTATAAAATAAAATAATTATTTTATATTTAAATATATTAAATATATTAAAAATTATATTAAATAATATATAAAATATAATTAAATTTTAAAAATAAATAAACTAAACAGATAAAATTTAATTTGAATTGAATAATATGAAAATTCGATTCAGATTCAAATTAAATTATTAAATTTCATAATTTTATATATTATTCAAAAAAATTACATATTTATATTTAAATATATTAAAAATTATATTAAATAATATATATAATATAATTAAATTTTAAAAATCAATAAACTAAATAGATAAAATTTAATTTGAATTGAATAATATGAAAATTCGATTAAGATTCAAACTAAATTATTAAATTTCATAATTTTATATATTATTCAAAAAAATTACATAAAATCCAATTCAAATTTTTATCATCTTAACCATATCATTGCAGCCAATAAAAAATCTAAAAAACCACATATATAGTTTTTGTCTATCAAATTTTAAATGAGCTTAAATTTCATTTTTTTTATAATTATATGAAAAATTTTTGGGATATGAACTTTTTTAACTGACTTTTTTTAAAATTGATTGAATATGAAAATTTGATAAATTATATAATTTATTTAAAATAGATATCTAACCACTTTTAAAATCAAGATGAAAAAATATTTTATAAAAAGATAATTTAAAATAAATTATGGATAGTTAAAATGCAGTGAAAAAAAAAAAAAAAAAAAGCCAGGCTTCGGCCTTCACTGTCTAATCCAACCAAACGTCAGCTTGGCCTGAAAGCAGCACTAATTGAAAGAGACTTACCAATCCTGCAAATCCGGAGGCCACTTTTTTTTAAGGGCGTGTCAGCAGCAACCTCTGCTCCAAATCAGCTACGCGTATTTTAGGATTTACAGATTAGATTACTCAAAGCTACGACTGCAGAATTTGCTGGTGGCTGCTTCAGCTGGTATTTGGCGAGAGATTCTTTACTTTTTTGGTCAGAAAAATGAGGGAAAATGAGGATGACGATTGCAGATTTTGCCCCACTTGCTCGATATGTTTATACAATGTCAGGTTGAATTAAACAAACAACTGTAGAAGAAATATGAGGCACATCGAAATGTAAAGAGATTCAATAATCTATGTCGCCAATGGGCAGAAGATTCATACATAAAACTAAATAGTGCAATGACAACCATGGAAAATGTAGAAACTAGCTTTCTGCTCCCGGTGCTTCAGACATTTGAGTCATCCACATGGAAGATTGCTTTGTTTGACATAATTGGAAGTAAAAATGCCTCTGGCAATTGAATTACAAGTGCCATGGATGGACTATCTTGGAATGAAAACTGTTGCATATGGCACACCTTAAGGCATCTGGTGTTTGATGAATTACAGAAGCCAAGCCACAAACTTTCAATGCCGGTCTTCCTTTCTCTGAACCGTGGAAGAACTTATTGCCTGGAAACAATCGTCTCATTTAGTCAGACCCATTGCTTTACAAATGGGGCACAAGTTTTTGCGCATCAACCATTGTTTAATGCAATCAGCATGGAAGTTGTGTCCACATTCTAGTGTCCCAAGATCTTCTCCATCGTTATATTCTTCCTGCATGTTCGTAAACAATTATTGAAGGGATTCATGGAATTAGTACAGAAACCACCGATGAGAAAATTCATTACCCGACAAACACAACATGGTTCTGTCTCTAACTGAGATCTTGTTGCACTTGAGTGCTTTCGTCGTTTGAGATGGTTTAATATAGTTTCTTCACTCAACCCTGTGCTTACGTTACCAATGCGTTCTTCCAGAGCCAATAACTCCTATTACCCACAAAGCAATTCTACTGTGAGAATTTTCAAAACAGAAAGGATGGTAGATGCCAAGAACATAGATACTACCTCATATGACATGTTATCAACATCAAGCCGCATATCCCGATACCGATCAGGAATATCAGCTATTCCCAAAAAAACTGATTGATCAAGGATCATAACATCCTGCCATACAAGCAGAATTAGAAAGAGAAAATGTCACTTGATTGGTCAAAAGTAAATTATTATCCATAAACAACACTTGGTCCTACATTACATCGCCACACTTTGCCCATGGGAGCTCAAATATGAAGAATGGCAACCTATATGAACATAGTGATAAATGAACAATAAAAGAAAAAGCAATTTTTTTTTTTGCATCCATGTTTCAATTGGTGAAGATAGAACTGCATAAAATTAAGCCATAAATTAAAAACCTTACCTCAAAACGCAAGTTCTCACCCCTATGCATTAGATCCAAGACATTGCGAATCTGCCCCATAAACACACTGTCAGATCCAGTAGAGTGGTTCTTTGCCAAGGTCATTTAATGTTGCAAAATAAGTTGTATATTTACTTTTGAGTGATGAAAATAAAGAATAAAGTGCAACACATGAATGACTGATTAATAGACTAATGCAAGCATTTGGGATAACAATGCCCAATGGCACATCTTTCAGACAAAAACAACTATGAAAAAACAACATACATATTATTCTCCACAATTAGCATTGCACCATCATGCAAGGAATAAGATGTTTCTCCTATATCTATACCAGGTATGTGTATACAGTAACAATTAGATTGGCAGCAAATTAAATAGTAGAAACGTAAGGGGAATCATGATTACTCCTTGTTATGTTAGAGTTCAAAGGGAAAGGTGAAAACTATCAGTCAGAAAAGAAGCAGTTCTAGGGCAGACCTCAGACACAAAAAGCCTGCTTCTTCCTTCAGTGGCAGCAGTTAAAGTTCGAAATGCATGGGGAATTCCAAGCAAACCAGCATCTCGTCTCTCCAACCATGGCATTGACCTAGGGTATGGATGATGGCGGCCCAGATTAGCTACTCCAGAGGAAAGCAGCAGCCCTTCTGAAGAAGTAGGATGTCCTGAAGAAAGTGAAGAATGATTGCCCTGGCCTCCAGATTCAGCACCAAGGGAGGACATCAATGATTGACGAACAAGTTCTGACAATCTTCGTGGATATTGTGTAGAGGGGTTGGGATGAGGAACCCACATGGAAGCAGATGACACATTGGCACCAGAACTTGAGCCAGCACAAGATGTAGAAGCAACATTTCCAGGAGTGCTTATATTTTCACTGCTTAAACCTTGATTTGTTGGATTTCTAGCCAAAGTTCTTAACTCTGGTGCAGAAACAAACATAGGATGATCTAATAGGTTTCTACCCATGCTTCTTGATTGATGTCCCTCATGTTGTACAGCATCTCTATCCGCAGATACATTATAACTTGATGAATTGCCGGTTCTTGAGCGAGAACCTCCATTCCACCTAAATGTCTGCACATTTCGTGGCAAAGTTGGAACATGATTTACGACATTCGGATTTTGAGGACTTGCATTATCTACCATTGGTGCTGACCTTAAGTCTAGTGAATGATCAGTTGGAAGAAGTCTTGATGACTGCTGCAAAGACAAAACAGACTGCCTGGCCGTATCACTTGTAGAAAATATCGGAGGACCGATAGGTTCTTGTATACTGGAAGGATTTATTCTCAGCCGGAAATTCCTGTGTGAGCTCTCTGCAGCTGGTAAAACAAATGGTTCAGGAATGCTGTCAGAAGCTGATTCTCTTACATCTAATCCAAGTCTAGGATGCACCTGTCTTGAGAGGACAGATACATTTACACTGCTTCCTGTACTACAGCTAGCAGAAACTCCATGCCAGGCACTACTTTCTGCACGATGAAAGTAGTTAGAACTTCCACTCGAAGAGGACTGCCCAACATTTTCTTCAAGAGCCTTTCTTTTGCAGGATGCACGACGACCCTCATATGAGCAGCCAGGTCTGCTATCATTATCATCCACAACATACCCACCACTTCCAGAAGAAAGAAGAAAAGCTTCAGGACCAGCAGCAGGTGAACTCTGCTCATTCTCGGATCCACTAGACTTATACAGGTTAGACCGTTCTGTAACTTGACAGTTATTATCACCATGACCCACTAAGCTGGCATTTAAGCAGAGATTCTGGGGAACTGTCTCAGAATTGGAACTTTCGACAAATAGAGAGTTCTGTTCATACTGCCGCTCTTCTAAACTGGGACTAGCATTTGCAGAAGCACTCATAGAAGATGACCATTCATGGTCAGTTTTCCACTCATTATGGCTGACCTCATTCTGTGTGCCACTAGAGCTAGGCTCTCCCAAGCTCCATCTGCCCAGCTCCTGCTCCTCTCGACCAATAGAGTTCAGACAACCAGTGTTCATGTCATTAGGTGACAGCAAACAATCAGGCAATCTGTTTTCTATAGGAGTTCGAATATTATTCCAGCAAACCTGCTGGTCTATAGCAGCATTATTTGATGTAGAGCCGTGGTCAAAGAAGGTTTCAGGCAAGGAACCAACAGTACCCCTTTGCCCCCGCATTAGGGCTTGTATGAAGTTCTGTAAAAATTATTGCAAAGTCCTGAAGAATATTACAATACAAATTGTAAGTCACCAATAGGCACAACAAAGTGGAAGTGAAAGAGAAGCAGTGGCATTGAAATGATTCTAGACAAAGCACTAGTGTACACAAATGAAGAACAAAATATTAAAAATATGTTTCAAATCAATTTTCAGATTTCTAATAGTAAAAGGGTAGTTCAAGTAGGATTGATGTTGCCTTATAGTGACATCTTTTGCATCTCAGACATCAAGAAACCAATTGTTGCAAATAAACTATCAGCAGGCTGAGCAATGCCACGCAAATGTTACTTGAAACCAATAGTAAATGTTTCAAATGATATGCTCGCTTTCTAACACCACAGAGAAAACAAATAACATCACAGAGAACATCAAGGGAAAAGCAGCTGCATCTAAAATCTAATATCCAATAGATTAGGATAACAATGAGGCGCAGAAGCAAATGCAGTTACTAGTGGGAGCAAGAGACAGTAACTGATTAAGCCAAGTGGTCTATCGCCCTGCAAGCAGTAGGATGAGGTTTAGACAATGTAACCAAATCAACAAAGACGCTGATTCGCCCAGTACAGCATATCATCAACAAAGACCACCAAACGTGCTGCTAGCAGCAACGTCAAGTAATCAATCCTAATGTGAAGTAATCCCAAATTTAATCCACACAGGATACATCACAAACTCGGTCAGCAAAACATAGAACCACAAAAGGGCACTGAGCAACTAAATCTGGAAATTTTAAAACATTAGAGGGCAATCAAAATCAAACAATAAAGAGCATCCACTAACAGCAGATATCCAACTGTGGACCATAACGAAAGCAGACAATAAATAAGGTTAAAGCTTCCTCCCTTCGCCATACAGAACAAAATGCAATAATACACAAAGAAAATAAACTGAACACATACACAAGAAATAGGCATTCCAGCTGTAGTTATTTCTCTTCTATATTTTACCTCAGCACCCCCTACCCCAGGCCGGCCAACCCCAACCCCAAAGCCACCATATAACAGAAAAGATAATAGAAGAAAGATAGAAAAAAAAACTAAATCAAACGCAACCGCTAAATTCAATAGAGAATCTAAGGTCAAACAAGGCAACTACAAGCTTCATCTGTTTACAAATCAGCTATTACAAGAGAGAGCCTCTACAATCAAACATCCAGTGAAAACACAGCTAAAATTAACAAACTTTAAACACAAACAGGAAAGACCTCACAGAATAAGCAGATTTTGAAAATAAAAAGATCATAAAAATCAAAACTTTGAAGATGAAAATACCCTATTAAACCAACAACAACAAAATTCAAGAAAAAAAAAACCGGAGAGAATATCCTCCACTTCATCTGACCATCAACCGATCAAACAAAAATAGACATGAAAACACACCCAAAAAGCTCACCTAACGGGTGGAAATGTAAGACCTTGATCGATCTAAAAGAATCTTAACAAGAAGATAAAGGGTTAAACCACAAAATCAGGATGAAAAAAGCTGTCTTGAGATATGCTCCTCTCCTTTCTCAAGAAAAGAGAGAGGAGAAAGAGAGAAAAAAAAAACAAAAAAAAAATGCAAACACTTGAGTCTTGAGCAATGGAAGGAAGACAGAGGGCCTTTAAAAGATAAAATGAAATGAGAAATGAAATACTTCTGTACAAGAAACAAAGAGAGAGATTAAAAGAGGACAATAACCTGTAATTTACCAAATAACCCTGAAGAAAAGAGAGAGAGATTTCCCAACAATGATGAATAACAAAAACAATCAAAACATTGGAGAATGCGGGTGTTCTGTTGGGCCGCGTACCATGTGGCTTTCATGTCACCATCTTTCTTTTCCTTATGAGATTTTTCCATCTTTCCTGTTCACTTATCTATATATGCAAGAAAGATTTTTCCATCTTTCCTCACCCTCCCTCTATCTCTATAATTAATATTAATTAAGACCCTTCTCCCAATGCGGTCCGTAGGCAAAGCCCCACAAACACTTGAACCCCTGTGTTTTGTTTTGTTTCCATCACTTTCACGCCAAGCACCTGCCTTCCCCTCCCTTGTAGCCTCTTTTACCAATCCACGTGTTTCTCTCTTTCCAACCCTTTCCTTTACCCCTCAGCCACCTTTTGTGACCAAAAAAACCCAAGAAAATTTTAATTAAAGACTAAACATTTTTCGAAATAATACGTGAGAACATGACATGTAAAACTGCTAAATACAAACGTGGGATTGGTTTCTTATCTTTTTTTCTTACCCCCTAAGGGAATTTGTTTCTCTCTTTTTCCCATCACATGTTCGTCAAAAAATAAAAAAATCAGATCGGATGGTATAAAAAAATTTAAAATTAGATCGAAATTAAATTTTAAGTAAATTTAATTTTATCGATTTTATATATAAAATAATTATTTTTTAATTATATATATATTTATATATTTAATTTTATATTTATATTAAAAATAACATTTTATTAATTTTAAATTAAATCAAATCAAATATAATTTTATATAATATCAAATTAAATTATATTTAAATATAAAAATAATAAAATAATTTATCAAATCAAATCAAATTCAAATTTTATATATTTAAAATCGAATAAATTTGAAACAAACAAAAATTTATTTGATTCAATCTGATATCATCGCTACTTAAAAGACGAGGGATAATAACTTAGAATTCTCTCTGTTGGTACAATTTTAGGTGGAATATGTCAAATGAGCGTGCATTGGTAAACGCACAGAAATATCATTGCTTTGGTTAAAAGAGGTGTGAATAAAAAGACCCCAACAGTTCCCCTCAATAAGTATTTTTGTAGGTTCTTTGTCCCCAATCTTCCTTAAATATTATTTCGTCTTCGCCGTTCATAACTCAACCGTGGGGGGACCTCTCTCCTCTTAGCTTGTACTGTTTTTCTACCTTTTTTTATATTGAATTTTCTTCTTCTCTCAAAACCATTCAAAGGTGGTTGCTTTGCTTTACATTTTTTTATCCTACTAATGTGTTCATTTGGACATATGGGTACTGCATATACAACCACATTGTGTAATATCTTTCATTGAATATTGATTAATAAGATAAGCATTGATGATTCCCCCATCTTTCAAAGCGAATATTAGAAACTTGGCATTTGCTTTAAACAAAGGACTATCACCTACATATGAAGCCTACACACTCCGTATTTTTTGAATTAATCATGCAAACAAAGTTTGGAGAATATGCACTAATTCCAAAAAGGAACCTAAAATAAAAGAGAGAGAGGAGAAAATTAAATGAGAGGAAGGTGATTTGACTTTTTGTTAATGGAGGACACGCTTGCTACTTGGAATGGTGGCAGGTTATAAATTTTCGAAGGAAAATGAGTCAGTTAAGGGCAGGGTGTAGTTGTTAGCAATTATGTGATTTAACCCCATAGCCAATCTCTTTAACCTGTTCCTGAATGGTGGGTGGTGCGAGTGATTGAATCAATTAATTCATGGAGAGCAAAGCTTATGAATTATGACCCAAAATTTTATTTTTTCTTTTGTGCCTGGAAAGGACACAAAGGTCTTAGTGACCCACCCCTATCAACACGTGTTAGAATAAGAGAGGAGGGTGGATGTTGAATGCAGTGATAATGATTTTCACATGGCAAAGGCAAGTGTTGTCATGCAATTTAAATCCGAAAAAAAAAAATGGGGCTATGCGATGACTTTGTTTACCACGTAATGGAGAACTGGGAAGGGAACAGCTTCCTGTTTTCTTGAGGACAAAAACAAAAAAAGGGTAAGACACTAACACTTGTGGGCAAGATAATAACGTTACAACAAGGCCGTGCCCACAGGATAAGTACATGATGAGGCCTAAGGAACTTACAAAATGAAGTAGCATCGAAACTTGGTAAAAGAAAATTTGATTCCTTCTTGTACTAGTTCTATATTGTGAAATGAACACACATCTTGATTCCGGAGCATAAAAAAAATAGGGAAAAGATGATGCCTAAGGCTTGGGGTTATTGTCAGACAGCCAGAAGAAGTTGAAATGTTGGGTCCAGAGCATAATTTTGATGGATGAAAACATGGCCAAGGTTGATCCAAATCCTATTCAAGAAGGGAGAGGAGTTTTAACTATAGAAAACTACGTAAGCAACCACTAAAATTCTTTATTAATTGGTAATTACATTCGTCTCATGTAGGTTATTATAAAAAGCAAGAGTGAGCACTCAGATGGGGTGACATCGCTCAATTATTCTCCTTTAGAATAAAGTTTACTTTCATATTATCAAAATTAGGAATCATTATTTGACTGGTTTGGCCAAATATGTTAACAACATAAAAAGAGACTAAAAATGTTGAATTCGTTAAGTATAATGTTAATAAATTTGTTTGGACCAACTAGAGAAGAAAATGTATCATACAAAATTTAAAAATTCTTTATCGCTCAAAAATTTTTAAAAAAATAAAAATTGTATCTATAAACAGAATTTATTAAATCTTGATTACCATGAGTTGAACCCTTGTCGACTTACCAAGTCATTATCTATTTAATGGGATTTCGATGAACTTTACCTTAGAACATCAACCAAGTTCCTTCATTGTAGTATCATTTATGTTTACTCGTTATTTTCATTGTTTTGTCCTAATCGGAAAACACTACTTCCATAAGAAATTTTCAATGTTTTCCTTTTCTGAAAATAGTTTTGAAATTTTACTCACCAAATGCATTTTCAAGAAATGAAAAAATAGAAAATGAAAATGGAGATTTAAAAAAAAAAAAAAACCAAAGACAACCTTAAATCTTATCAGACTTTAAAATGATGAATTGATGGATGCGCAATCATGAAAAGTCATGAAAAATTATGGTTTCAACTTTCAAGTTTTGCCTTTCATTAGCCACATAACTATCATGGATGCTCAATCAGTGCCACCGAAAGTCTGAAACTCAGCTTTCAAATCAAGTAGCTGAAGGTTTTTCCCACGTGCGATCAATGCCAGGCAGCATCTCCAGACAGTTTCAACCAAACAGCATAACACCAAAGACCACATGACAGCTCTGTCATAGATTCAGATAATAGCAGCAGGACTTTCTCAAAGCTCTTAACCAGCAAAGGAAGAACAGTAAACATACAAATCAAAACAGTTTCATCCTATTTTATTTAGACTCCAACAGTTGAGTTAATTTATCTACCACGGCAGTGAGTTCAAAGTAGATTACAAACAGGCTAGCAAAAGAAAGGCCTTCCGAAATGGGAGGCCATAAAGATGAGAAAGGAAATCTGTATTATTTAAACATTTTGTGCACCTCTGCAATCAGAAACACACTATAGAACAGGCTAGGAGAAGCAAAACATTGCCTAGAACAAACTACAAGAAGCAAAACATCGCCAAGTGAAGGCATTTGAGAAGCGAGTGGAAAAAAAAAAATTCTAAACCCATCATCATCGGAGAAACAGGAGAACTTGGAAGCCAGGTGAAGCACCTGATGTTGAAATTTATCTGACTTATCAAATGTATCACACACTTAATTCTTCTCAAAGAAATATTCTTGATCACTTATAATTCTTATGAAGGAAAACTTCCTGATAACTTGATTCTTCTGAAGCATAGCTTCTTGATAACTTGAATTCTTCTGAAGTAAGAGTGTAGCCTGCATGGTGACCAAAAGATATATTTACTAAAATGTTAATGAATGTTATCAGTCCAAAGACTTACACAAAAGAGGAACGAGAAATGACCTTACAAGGTGAGTGATCCTGCCATTACACTTATTTCTATTCAGATTTGAAAATATCTTGTTTTTAGCTTCTTGAATATATATAAATCATTCTCTTGCTATTTCTGTGTATTTAAACCTCCAATGAGGTAACTGCTTCTATTTACTTTATGGTGTATCACGAACAATCATTGCCTGAGATCTTCCAACTCTATGAAATCTTCTTCTACAATTGACAGTAACTCATTGGTAGTTAACCGAGATCCCATCTGCATAACAGCCATTGCACAGAAAAACTTGCTCAATTTGAGGAAAGAACGCATCATCAAATAACACTTAGACATGCTTAACATTTGAGGAGTTTGGACTGCAGATGGTGAAAGTTTCACTAGTGAAATATGCAAGCAAATATGGGCAGAATTATCTGGTTTGTAATAAGTGAGAAACCATGACATAAAAAAGCAACAAGTGTGTTGGCAAGAACAATTACTTCACAATCCTGAATAATTGCTATCGTTAGGAAGACAATTTGAAAATGCTGACAGCATATAAAAGTTTTGCAAACTTTTTGTAATGAAAAGAACTGAGGACTTATCTGTACGTACATGCATGACAAAAAGAGTGAAGTTAAGGATAGGCAATTGAGATTGAAGAATATGCATGCTTTGTTAGAAAAGAAAAAAGTATTGCAAAAGCCATGTTTGGTAGCACAAAATGAAAAAGAAAATGGCAGTAATACAACTTCCAAGAGAATAAAATATGCCCAAACTATGTTACCAGATCATCAGGCAGGTCTGGTGGGATGCTTGAAGGAAATTCAAAACTGGCAACAGAAACAGGTCTTGTTGCTATTGGATCATGTAGCTCTTTAGTGAAGTCATCAGCATTAATTCTAGCTTCAAGACTATCAGGTGTAAGAAATACATGGTGCTGAGTACTGATGTGATGCACAGCTGAAACACTTTCTTCTGCACAAGAACTAAAAACATTCTCTGATACACTATTTGCAGCACGAGATTTGACAAACACTCGGCATAGGACAAAGGAAGCCTGCAGATGGCAGAGACATCACTTTTATGGAAGTAACAGTCCAGACCCTCCCCCACCCTTGCAACCAATCTAAACATAAGTTCACAAACTTGGCATAGTACATCTCACAAACATGCATAATTAGTTACAACAAAGTTCATATTTTTGAAAGAGAAGGCACGTAAAAGACGGAACTAAGATTTCTCTACAATATTTGGGCAGAATTTTCTTTATTGAGGACTCAGAACACTCCAATCTACTCGGGTAAAACTTTCTCCAATTGACATAGTAAAACGAAAAACAATCAAATAATTTTCATGTGGCAATTCAGAAAAAACTAATCATTTGCATCTATTTGCCTCACCGACTGAACACAAAACCAACATTATGTTGACTACAATGATGCATCATGTAAAGCATTTTAGAAAAACAACAATACATCCTTTCAACAAACCATGCAGAGCCACATACAAACAAGTGGGGGCACAATTAACCAACTGAAATTTTAGAAACCTTAAAGTTAGACATGAAAATACTTTTGGCCCCCAGAAAATATCTAGTGACGAGAGTCACCTTCAATTTTTAAGCATCGAAAAAGGGTATGAGTTTTAGAACATTAAACAGAAAAGCCTTAAACAGAAACTAAAAGCGATGGTTTGATGGAGACTGGAGAGGACACAATTAAATCTGCAATAGACACAAAATTTGCCATTTCAATTTATCACTACCTACCAAACGTCAATAACAACAAGCGATTCCTCAAAATATTACCCCATAAAAACCTTTCTAAAAAAGGGAAATTAAACAAAATAAAGAGACTATTTTTTTACCTTGAGATGGTGAAGGAGGGCATATTCGTACATAATCCAAGGAGTCCTAACTGCTGCCTTAACTGAATTAACCTCATAAAATACAAATTTAGTTCTGGTCCCCAACAATACATTTCCTCCACCAAGCACATCCCTTACTTTTCCAATTTTCCTCCAAAACCCTCCCTTTGCTCTTCTCCTCCCACTCGTCCCTCCTTTACTCTCCGTATAGCAAAACCAGTGCCTTTTCCTCCCCCGATATCCGTGCACAAAGCACGCGCCTTCCGGCAAATCAGACGGCTCGTAATCGTACAAATTAAGCTCCCCGATCAAATCGCAGCTGCACATATCAGCGCGATCGGCGGAGACGGATCTGTTTTTCCCGGTGAGATAATGGTTAAGAAGCTCCTCCTCGGAAGGGTAAAATCGGCAACCTGGAGGAAGATTACGTAACGACCTCGTTCTGGATGAATCTCCTCCCCCTATTTCTATCAATGGAAGAATCGAACCTTGATTGTTGAACATTCTGGGAATTTTTTTTGTTGAATCACAAAAAGAAATGATTTCTTCTAGGGTTTTTCGTTTTTGGGGGGATGTGATTTGGTTGGGGTTCTGGGGTTTTGTAGGAAAAAAAAAAAAGGCGTGCCCCGGAAGCTTGTTTGCTAGTGAGTGTGTTAGTACCCTATTCACGTGTACGTTTTCCCTATCTACGATTTTTTTTTTTAATTTCGTTTGATTGCAACGTTCTTGCGGTTTTGTTTGTTTGTTAGTGAGGTTGTAGGAAGATGGGGAGTTTTGGTGACTTGGAGCGATTTCATTGGCTGTTATGCGTGAACTGATGACGGCGGAAAGATTGGACTGAGACTTCGATTGGTCAGAAACGGAAATCAATGATCTCTGACCTGTCAGCCGTTAGATCCGAGTTGTTTGCTTCGCCGGCACTTTACAAGATTGTTGTTTGTCAGGTAGTTACGAAAAAATAGTATATTTTAATAAAATATCCTGAGATTTTCCACACATGGAGGGCGTGGCGATAGTTTTTGATTCAGCTGTACTCGCCGCAAGAGCTGATAGATTCGGTAACTGCACACGTGGCTGAAACATAAAGCGAGTGTAACTGGCACCACGCACATACAAGGAAAGACAAAACAAACATCTGCTTCTGATGTGGGGAGCAAATGTCTGAACTGTCGGAAATCCGGTAAAAGACCCTTTTTTATAATTTAAATTTCGAACGTGTTTTTGGAGATGGGCCGGCTGTCACAAGGCTGAGCCTTATGAGCCCACAACGTCAGACTTGGTCTAGCCTGCATCAAAGCAGAGGTCCTTGGTGCTAGCCATGGATCAATTCTATGAAAAATATTGGAAAGCGAGTGCTCGCCATAGATAGATATTTGCTTGCAACCCAGAATTTATTCGAGACGATCTGTCCCTTCTATGCGGTTGAGATTTTAGTATATAATCCATTAGGTCAACATTCAATGAAAGAAGCTTTTTTTTTTTTTTTTCAATTGAAATAACAAATAATAACAACAAATTAATTCTTTGTCTTTAAATAAGCTTATCCTTCTCCAAGAAAAGAATTGTCTAACATCTTATTAAATTATCATTTCAAAATAATACAATCAACCTTTAATTTATTTATAATCATTAAATATAATTTATGTTTGTTTGAAATCATTATGTACCGTCTATATCATTTATGTACTTATTTTTTTAAAATTTTATATAAATTTATTATTAATTATCAATTATTTTAATAATATCGTCGCTCTCTCTCGTGTATAAGATAAAAAAGAAGTTTAGATACGTACGAATTAAGTATCCTCGAAGCTTCTTCAATATTCTTTGATTATCATTTTACTCACTAAACTCTTAAAACACTTTTGCTGACTTGAGCGTCAGAGGACATTTCAAAAAATCGACTCCGGTCCCTCTTTCCCGTACTTTCAAGTTCTCCCTTTCTCAATCTCCAAACAGTTTCCTTCCAACAAAACACCCGAAAACACCTTCGACAAATATATAAGACACCTGATCGAATTTAATAGAAAGTTTAAATTCATGAGTGTAGTGCAATCAGTTAGTCACACATTCAACCAAAGAAAAGTTCTTTCTTTTTATGATTAACCACATATGGAAGAAAATTAAATCTTTTTTCTTTCAGAAGCAAACTTTTATTTTCAGTAATTAAATTTTGACCTAAAAAAAAGGGGATAGCATCAAAATTTAAGCTTTAATTTGAGGAAGAAACAGCTGCCATGAACTCATCATCCCACTCGAGCGTTCATTGAATGCGCTGTAAGATTCTTTAGTTGGTCAATAGCTTCAGGGATAACCCCAGACAATCTATTTAGAGACAGATAGATTTTCTCCAGAGACGACAGGTTCCCTAAAAAAGAAGGGATACTACCTCTTAATGTGTTGTTGCTAAGGCCTAATTCCTTCAGGTTTGACAAGTGGCCAAGTGTAGCAGGTATTTCTCCAACTAGCAGATTGTGTCCAATGTAAAGATGTTTCAGCTTCCAACAACCAGATATGTTGGAAGGAAGTTGACCAACTATGAAGTTTCTAGAAAGAGTTAGTTCTTCCAATTAAATTTCCGATATAAGGTGATATTGGTCCCATTAATTTCAGTGCTGGCAAGTCCAACCTGGTAACTCTCTGATGTCATCGTCCGCATTTAACACCAGGCCATTTGCAAAATGGACGCTGTTGTTCCACGAACGCATAATCCCAAGCTGATCACCAGCTATCTTGGCCTTAAACTGGAGCAAAGCCTGTCGATCTGTTTCATTTGCATTAATTACCAAGGCTGCAGAACCAAGAAAGAAAGGACCTTTAAGATTGAAGCATAAGAGAAGAATGACAGCAACACGGATGGAAAATTTAAGTGACCAAGGCGCTTTGAGATGCATTTCTGATAGCCTCATCAACAAAGAAAAACCGCTTGAATTCATGCTACTATTACTTTACATTTCGTGGTGTTTGCTTCGGCAACAAAAGCAAAGGGAATATAAGTTCTTTCTGCAACTTCAAATGATACAAATTTATAACAAAAGAGTAGGAAAAATTAAGAACTTCGGGTACCTTTTTTTTTTTTTTAAAATTTCTTGTTTAAAACAGTTTTGATCTCTAATGTTGAATCTAGAATGATTTGCTTTGAGTGTTGTCCATTTCATGAATTTCTCTTTGAGATGACTAAAGATATAATTAGGATTAACAGCTTAATTTGTCCTTTGTGGGTTTCAATTTGACATGATATCATAAGATCAGTTTTTTTTTTTTTAAATTGAGTTTGAGATTAAATCGGATTAAGTAATAGTAAAAAAAAATCGGGTTCAATTTTTAGGTAAATCCAACTGATCCGATCCGATTCGACTCGATAAATATAAAAAAATTATTTTTAAATTATTTATTTAATTTTATATTTATATATAATTTTATATTTATATTAAAAATAATATTTTATTAATTTTAAATAAGATTGGATTTGAATATAAAAAAATTAAAAAAAATTTTGGATCGAATCAGATTCAAATATTATTGGTATTAAGTCATGTTAAGTTTGAGATGAGAAAAAACCACCATAACCTGACCTGGTGTTATTCCTAGATATAATTGCCCGACTTAACTAAAGCCATAGACACTTAAGAGAAATTAAAATAAAGTCTTTCTTGTAGACTATAAAATTTCAAAGGTAGGTGCTGAACCAAAATATTTTTATTTGCTTTGAAATATACGAATCGCTCTAGATCTATCCAAAACTCGAGATTTCAAGTTTGGGTTTGATGTGAAATATTTAGAATTTAATAAAAATATTTTTTATTAAAATTTATTTTTAAAATATATTTACAAATATTTAATATTTAATATTCATATTTTAATTTTTTTAATATTTTAATATATTTCTTAAAAATCAAGCTTATTAAGCCCAAAGGGTTAATCAAGCCTAGATAAAACACATAAAATTTCAAATTTTTTATTAAAAATAAATAAATTAGAATTTTAATAAAAAAATTTGAACCAATAGATTGATAGAGTTTAATATGAAGATCAATAATATGTAAAAAATTATTAAAAATATTGTTTATAATTTAAATTTGATCGATATTTATTTAATGATAAAAATTTTATCAATATTTTTATTAAAAATATTTATTTAATAAATATATCAAAATTTATTAATTTTTTTAAAATTTTGCACGTTTGATTTATTTGATGACATCTTTTAATTTATCGATTTTGATTTTTGATTTTAATTTTGATTTATTTATTTTTAGTGAAAAATTTTACAAACTCTACCTATAAAACTTCATGTAGGTTTTTCCCATCAAGCCTTACGCAAGAATTTTTCAAAATCAATCAAATGTGGTCAGATTCGACCATTCAGTAAGTCTAATTGCTTCCCTTATGCCTTTGCTTTCATTAGCAGGATTAATTGGAAGTCTCTAAGGGATTTTGTAGACGTGGCCAAACATAGGAATTTGGCCACTTGCACCATAGGAACAAAGAATTGTGGAATCTGACCAGACAACCACAATTGAAAATAAAGAAGTGGGTTGCTGCATTTGCATTTACCTTGACCCGATTTCTTTAGTGTGACACTCTTTTTTTGGTCCAACTTAGCTATCAATTTCAACAGTCCTTGTAAAGAAAAAACTTCATACTAATAATTATATCTATGTCACTAAACTTGTCACGTTTTGAGATCAAGATACAACACAATCATATTACCTTAAAATAAAATTTCAAAGTAATATGAGTTTTTTTTTTTAATTATTTTAAAATTTTTTAATAAACTAATATAATTTGCTAAGTAAAATCTATATTTTTAATCCAATTAATGATACATCTCTATATATCTAAATATAAACCATATAAAAATATAAAATTGTTTCATAAGATCTCATTGGCTAACATTGTCTTTGATGTTTGAGTAATTTTTTCAAACTGATCTTCTAGCTTTTCACAAAACTAAGTAAACTTATCATTTACTCATCTATATAGAAAAAGTAAAAGGAGAATGAGTAAATCATAACTCAGTAAGTATAGGCTTACACACATTAGCAAATCAAATATCGTTTTCATACATATATATAGATCATTTAAGACATTCGTCAAATCATAATGTCAAAACATTTCAAAGATCATTATTTTATCAAAAATTTCATAGATCATAAATCAATAATAAAACATGTCAATTCATAAATCATTGCAAAATATGATGCCATTCAAATATCGTAATCAAACAAATCATTAATCAACTTTAGAAATCATCGTAAATCATATTTATATACAAATCATGGATCAATCTAAAAAAAATTATCATCATTATTTGTGATAATTCAGCCCAAATAATAATTGAGCTAGACTAATACCAAAGTCCATCAGTTTATTAAGAGACTAATTAGTAAAAAAAAAAATGGTTGAATTATTAAATGAAAGAAAACTTGGCTATGAAGAACTAAAAAAAAAATGAGAGTTCTTTTTTCTCATCTTCCTTAAGGTTAGAGAATATAAAAAATCAAGTTGGTGATTCAAAATCAGAGGCTACAATCAAGTTAATCCTTTAAAGTTGAATATATGCCCTCTTTTTATTTAAAAAGAAATATCAAGTTGATTGCTATTATTTGAAGTTGAAGTTTTGAGAGCAAAACAAAAAAAATCATGAAATTTTTCATTAATCTTGATGATCTATTTGGGTAAATTATTGGGCTTTGTTTATTTCATGTTCTTAAGATTTATTGATGATTATTGAAAGGAGTTTAAAGGTTGAAAGTGGGGATTTCAGTTTTCTAAAGATTGAAAGAGAATTACTATTTTTGGATAAGATGCTATGATTTGCAATAATGAATTAAAATATAATTTTCTATTAATGGATAGATTATTGCTATGATTATTTATATCGTTAGAAAGCATGTTGAATCTACTTTCTAATGAAATAAATGAAAGTAGAATTTGAGTTTTCTATGAAGAGTTGTCTAATTTTTACTTAAGGATATGCAAGCCGTAAGGCAAAAGCATCATGGTTGAATTACGAAAATTATCTTAATTTTTATACAAGGAATTATAGATTAAGCATATATGGTTGGAAAGCTTATTGAGTCTGCTTTCCAACAGAATAAGCAGAATTGAATTTGGAGTTTCCTATGAATAAGTACATAATTTTTACTAGAAGGTATACAGGCTGTCTGGCAGCAGCATATGACGTGGATTGCAAAAATTGTTATAATTAATCTATAAGGAATCACAAGGTGGATCATATATGGTTAGAAAGCTTATCAAATCTAGTTTCTAACTTATTAAAGATATCTTAATTCTAATTTGGATATATTGAGATATGACTATTTTAATGAAAAGAGGTCAGGCTGCCAGTATTAATTAGTTAAGTTAAACCTTGTGTAACTTAGTTGATTTTTGTATAGATGGTCTCAAAAAAGGTTGATTAAATTCTGATGTGTTGAAATGATCTTGAATAGGCCATTAATTATTTTAGAGAAAAACTAAGTGGTGGAATCGAAAAAAGGTAAGTAGAATCTCACACACTTTGCTTGTTTTTGAATCTATATATATTTGTATGTTTCTAAATTAATAAATATTTTATTTCTTTATTTTTGATATATGAAAATAGGATCAAGCATATGATTATTTTGTGTTTTTGCTATGTAAATGTTGGATCATGCTTATGAATGAAATGAGAAAATTATTTATGTTTAAAGAATAATTTTATGATAGCTACGTTTTTACATCACTGAGAAGTGAAATCATCGACACCAGAACTAGCTCTACGACCCTGACTAACGGGTAATAGTAGTTACCAAAGACATGATCATATAAGCCTGGCTAATGGGTAATAGTAGTTAGCATAAGGCCTTAGCTAGCGGGTTATAATAGTTAACAATGATCATGGGAATGAAATTATCGATACGGTTAATGTCACGGGTTATAACAGTGATCGTAACTAATGATAAACGAATGATAATGATGATTTATGATAATGATAATTTACGATGACTTTTAATTATTGATCTATGATTTAGTTTGATTATGATATTCGAATAGTAGTATATTTTACAATGATTTATGAATTGATATGTTTTTATATTGATTTATGAATTTATGAAATATTTGATAGAAAGATGATCGTTGAAATATTTTGACATTATGATTTGGTGAATGTTTTGAATGATTTATATGATATGTATGAAAATGATGCTTAATCCGATAAAGTGTGTGAGCCTATACTTATTGAGCTGTGGTTTGCTCATTCCCCTTTTACTTTTTCTTTACAAATGACTAAGTGATAAGTTTGGTTAGTCTTGTGTGAAGCTAAAAGATGAAATGGAAAAGATTACTTAGTCATCGGAGAATATGTTGGCCAATGAGATCTTATGAGATAGTTTTATATTTTATATGGTTTGTATTTAGATATATAAAGATGTATCATCAATTGGATTAAAGATATAGATTTTACTTGGTAGATTGTTTTATTGAAAAATTTTAGAATTATTAAGAAAGAAGGCTTCATATTACTTTGAAATTTTTTCAAAGTAATACGATCATGTTGCGTCTTGGTCTCAGGGCATGAGATTATTATCATAAATTATCATTATCATTAGTTTATCATTAGCTACGGTCACTACAATAACCCGTGACATTGGTCATATTGATAATTCCATTCTCATGATCATTGCTAACTATTATAACCTACTAGCTAGGGCCTTACGCTAACTACTATAACCCGTTGCAAGGCTGTATGATCATATTTATGCTAACTACTATAATCCATTAGCTAGAGCCATAGAACTAGTTCTGGTGTCGAGGATTCCACTTTTTAAGGATGTAAAAAGTGTAGCTATCATAAAATCATTCTTTAAGTATAAATCATTTTCTCATTTCATTCATAAGCATGATCATTATTTACATAAAAAAATACAAAATAATCATATGCTTGATCTTACTTTCATATATTAAAAATAAATAAATAAAACGTTTACTTATTTAGAAACATACATATATACATAAGTTTGAAAACAAGTAAAGTATGTGAGATTCTACTATCTTTTTCTGATTTCACTACTTAGTTTTTTTTTCTCAAATAATTAACGACTTATTCAAGATAATTTCAATATAATAAAAATTAATCAACCTATTTCGGGATCAATGATACCAAAAACAATTAAGTTAAACATGGGTTAACTTAATTCATTAATACTGATAGTCTAAGCTCTTTTTACGAAAACAACTATATCTCAAAATATCCAACTTGGAATTAAGATCATTTTAATGTGTTAGAAACTAGATTTAATAAGCTTTCTAACCATATATGACTCACCTTGTAATTCCTTGTAGATTAATTATAATAATTTTTGAAATCCACGTCATATGCTGCTACTAGATAGCATATATACCTTTTAATAAAAATTATGTATTTATTCATAGGAAACTCCAAATTCAATTCCGTTTGTTTCGTTAGAAAGTAAACTCAATAAGATTTCCAAACATATATGGCTTAATCTATAAACCCTTGTATTAAAATTAAGATAATTTTTGTAATTCAACCTTAATGTTGCTACCTTATAGCCAGCATATCCTTAAGTAAAAATTAGATAATTCTCCATAGAAAACTCAGATTCAACTTCCATTTCTTTTATTAGAAAGTAGATTCAATAAGCTTTCCATTCATATATAACACTTATAGTAATAATCTATCCATTAATACAAAATTCCATTTTAATTTACTATTACAGATCATAAAGTCTTATCCAAAAATATAATTTCTCCTTCAATCTTTAAAAATTCAAATCTCCACTTTTAGCCTTTAAACTTTATTTAATAATCATTAATAGATCTTAAGAACATGAACAAACAAAGCCTAATAATTTACCCAAAGAGATCATGAAGATTAATAAAAGATTTCATAATTTTTCTTGATTTTCTATCAAAACTTTAACTCCATATAATAGCAATCAAAATAATATATTTTTCTTAAATAAAAAAAAGGGTATATTTTCACCATTATGAGATTAAATTGATTGTGATCTATGAATTTAGATCTTATACTTGATTTTTCATGCACTTAACCCTAAGGTAGATGGGGAAGAAAAACTCTCATTTTCTTTTCTGTTTCAAGATAATTAGATTTTTCTTTGGTAAAACACCCCAGCCACTTTTTCTTTAATAATTAACCTTTTAATTAACTTAATGTGCTTTAGTAATAATCTAGCCCAATTATCATTTGGGCTAGGGTATTACATTCTTCCCTCTTTATAAAAGGTTTTGTTTTCGAAACTTGATTTACATCCATATCTTATTCTTCTATTTTTGCAATCACTTCTCTTGTTGTATGATTGTTTTATTAAACTTTGACAAGAGTAATCATTTTGCCTTAAAACTTGTTTTTTCTAATCAACTATTTGAAAAAGATATTTTCAATATGTTAAAGCTTATATCATCTTGAATTTTTAAATACTCATACCCAACCACATAGCTTTTATTAAGATATTATTTTAACATAGGTTCACCTGGTGATGTTCAGGGGCATTATGGTATTCAATATGTGTTCCATCACATGTAGTCAATCTAAAAATTCCTTAGGTTGTGTTTTCCCCTTGAACTTAGGAATCTCTATCTTTGAATTGAATATGTTAGGTTGAAGTTAGATTTTGTGTAGATAATTTTTGATTTATCGTGGGTGAGATAGGGTGTTATCATCAGAATTGCTGTTGTTTCCATGGTATGGATTGGTTTCTCCTTCATCTTCTTCGTTCCTTTTTTGTTGCCTCCTTATTTCCTTTTTTTCTTCTTGTATATACAGTTGATGTTGTAGTTGAAGGGTTTGTTACTATATCTCCTTTATTAGGGCATCTCTTGAGTCAACATCGGTAGTTGCTGCAACATCGGTGTTGGCTTCAACCTCTTCTGCTAGTGCTTGATGATGATAACTTGCTATAGCTTTGATACTAATTTGATACTGAAAATTGATATTTGAGATGTGGAGATTAACTGCAAATAAAAAAACTCACAAAGAAGACAACTGATAAAAATTTGAATAATGATAGAATATGATTATTGGATTAAAAAGAATAAAAGTTCACCACTAAGACTAGAAATTAAGAGATATAGAAACACCACCCTAAGAATTCTAATCAATGGTATAGAATAATAAAAGTTCACCATTCTAGGAAATCCACTTAGAAGATACAAAACTTGAAAAATAATCTAAAAGATTGTTTAAGGATAAAGAAAACTCTATTCTACCTTCTATCAAAGAATAATAAAAAATATATAGGCTAAGAACATCCCTCAAAGCATGGGAACATCAAATTGCATTGCTAGAATCGTGCCTAAAATCATGGGATTTGAATGTGAACATAATCTGTCCATTTACTCCTGCAGATTACATGATAATAAATCGGGCCATAATCCAATCCATATTCATGCTTTTTTTTTTTCAGCTAGTGTGAACACAATTTTCCTATTTCAGCTCACCTTATTTATGCATTTATTTAGTGGATTTGGATCAAAGATAAACTCATCTTATTTTTAGATAAATTCTCCTTAATCTCAACCTAAGTTATAAGATGTGTTAATACTCCAGTGTCAATATTCCTTTTCTTTTGAAAATGAAATAATATTATTTCTCAGAAAAATTCATTAAATTTTAATTTCTTGAAAATGAGAAAATCAAAAGAAATGGAAGAGGCTTATCTTTTGATAAAAACAAGAGTGACTAAAATGCAAATAAAATGATCAAAAGAGTTGCTCCTTTTGTTCATGGTTAAGCTGATACATCCAATTTCGAATAGATGTTTTTGTATTATTCTTCCAGGTTTGCTGTGTCTTATCTTCTTACCATGGTAGCCATCTTCCACAAAAACATTGCTGCTACATATTCATGGAACATTAAACATTAATAATCTTTTTCCCTTCCCCTGGATTTTGATGACCAATTGACCATAACTTTTATTAATCTATTCAGAAAATACACCTTTTTTTTTTTTTAATCTTAATATCTTTATGAACAATTCTCACAATAAATTCTTGTTAGAAAAATGATAGAAGAGGAAAAGTTTGGATTCTATCTATGGAGGGCGAAAATTGTGGACCCCCCATTGTATGTTATTTATAATAGTTAGTTGCCCTGAGATTTCTGTGGAAAAAGAGAAGATGAAAGTTTTGATTTCTTTGTGGATCAGATTTGGTTGCGTCTGCGTGGTTCATGGGTCAATTTCTGTTGAATAAAAGCCACTCTCAAGAAATGAATAGAGACAGAAGCTTTATAAAATTCATTTGTCTGGTTCTGTATATAAATGTAACTGAATATCATACCAGATAAATTTGGACAAACTCATTCTCAATCCAAGAATGTTAAGCAATAAGCACCAGAAATAGTATATTATTCATGAAACCTGAAACGCTAGAGGTGGAATTTTATTCATGAAATGTAGACACAAGATTAAGAACTTGAAGCTAAAACCAATATTCTTACAGATTTGGTCCTTCATTTCACAAAACAAGGAAATAGGAAGAAAGGAGTAAAAAGAAGAGAATAATAAGCACAAGACTAAGTAACTGCTGCTGAAGGAAATGATGATTTTTTCTTCTTTTCCCTGTTTCTTTCCAGGGGAGGGATTGCTTGCAGGACAGAATACAGAGCCCCAGGGAGTTTCCAATCAAATGTGGTAGTGATCAAAACTGCATCTTCACACGCCAATGGACCAACTAAGCTTAAGCCATTAAGCAGTACCTGCAGCTGAAGAAAATAATGCAAAGGACGTAAAATTTGATAAAAATGTATAACAAATTAAATGTTGTTGTTACTTAGATTTAAACCAATATTAGTACCTCTTGTTCTTAATGATTGAGTTGGAAGCAGCTTGTCTCTTACAGAACAAAGCTCAGCAACAACATTAACCATGTTCATTCTTTCAGTTGGCAATTCAAAAGAACAAGCAATTCCAATTTCAAATATTGAATTCAAGCTCCGAAGAAGTCTGTTATGTTTTTGGCTGCTCTCATTGAAAGTATTGTTCATCACTGTTTCTCCTCCGAAACTTTGTTGAAGAAGAGTGGGATCTGTAATCTCAGCCACTCGATTTGGCAAAGCTGTTTTAACAAAGTTATGAAGGTTCTGATTCTCTTTAAACATTTCATCAGTTGGTCTTCTCCCTGTAAACATCTCCAGCAAAAGAATGCCATAGCTGTACACATCTCCATATGTTGTCACATTACATCCCAAGCCATATTCTGCAATTCATTTGTCACAAATAAGAGCAATAATTTTGAAACAGATGCAAATAGCTTTCACACATCAAAGATCCTAACAGGTTAAATTAAATAACGTATTGATTCGAAAGAACGTTCTTCTTACCTGGAGGAACATAACCAATTGTTCCTCTTAACCAAAGAGAGCTTGACAGGCTTGAAGTGTTATTTTGTATGTCTGATGTAATGAATTTTGCTAGCCCAAAGTCACCTATATGGCCAACCATTTCATCATCAAGTAGAATATTGCTTGGTTTGAGATCACAGTGAACAATTGGTGCTTCGCAATGATGATGAAGATACTCCAATGCACAACCAACATCAACTGCCACATTCAATCTCTGAAAAAAATTCAAGCTTTTTGCTGTCTCTTCTCCCTCATTCATGCCAACAGTTGGATGCAGCCAATCCTCTAGGCTTCCATTTGCAATGAACTCATAAACAAGAGCCTTAAAATCATTGCCTTGATAGTCCACACCAGAACATGCTGTTAATACCTTGACAAGGTTTCGATGTCTAACATTCCTCAAGGCCTCACATTCAGCCAAGAAACTCTTGGAAGCTCCGTGACTCAAAAGTTTAAGTACTTTAACGGCAATAATTGTTCCATTCTCTTCAAGAATTCCCTTATATACGAAACCAAAACTACCTGTACCTACTAAATTTTCTGATGAGAAACCATTAGTAGCTTTTAGGATGCTTTGATACGATAACCTTAACAATGGATTTTCTGCATTTGGTGATGCTGGTTGCTTTCTTTTCTTTCTAAACCAAAAGAGAAACATGAGGAAGAAAACCAAAATAACTCCAGAAAGCGCAGAAACAATAGCAATTATTGATTTAAGTGAAATAGTTGATCTTCCTCTATGTTGTTTCAAGTTATCACAAGTTGGCAAGTGGAACTCAGGAGTGCCTCCACAAAGCTTACTGTTCCCTTCAAGGAATGCAGCACTTGCATTTTTAAAAACTCCATCAAGTGGTACTAGACCTTCGAAATTGTTGCAAGAAAGATTCAAGTAGATTAAAGCGCCAAATGTCACAAGAAATTCAGGAATTTTACCAGTGAGATTGTTTCTAGAAAGGTCTAAATTTGTAAGACCTCTCAATGAACTCAAAGATGAAGGAATTGATCCATTGAAGAAATTGCCTCTCATCAGAAGTACCTCCAGCATTATACAATTACCAAGATCATTTGGAATGACACCAGATAACATGTTTTGAGAAACATCTAATTCACCAAGATTTCTTAAATTTCCTACTTCAAAGGGAAGCACGCCAGTCAAACGGTTTGAAGATAAGTATAGACCGATAGACAAGGACGATAATCCAGCTATTTGGGAAGGTATAGAACCACTGAGATTGTTATTAGAAAGATCTAATAAAATAAGATTTTCACATTTGCCTAGACTTGGAGGAATCTCACCTTGAAGATTGTTGTCATTTAGATGCAATTTGATCAACATCTTTAAATTTCCCAATGAAGTTGGGATGGATCCAGAGATAGAATTATTATTTACATAAAATAATCGTAGCTTTTGAAGCCTGCCAATAACAGATGGAATGGAACCTGATAATTGATTTTGTCCTGCCGATAGCACCTCCAAGTTGATTAGATTTCCAAATCCTGATGGTATTCTTCCCACTATGTTATTGCCTTCCATAAGAAAAATGGTCAAAGCAGTTGACAAATTGCTTATGCACTCAGGTAATATCCCTCCAAAGCTGTTGTCATTTATAACCACCAATTCCAAGCCGGTGGCACTAGTTAAAGAGCAGAGGAAGTTTAAGTCATTTGCTCCATGGCTACCAAGAAGATTCGCACCAATATTCAATCTTTGCAACTTTTCTAGCTCTCGGAATGAAGATATCTTTCCACTAAATTTGTTCCCGTCAACCTGAAGCTCGATGAGGTTAGAGGCATTGGATATTGAAAGAGGGAATGGTCCACTGAGTTGGTTCAGGCTAACATAAAACTTTTCAAGATATGGCATGTTGACTCCCAATTGTGAGGGAAGACTACCGTGAAAGTTATTTTCCCCAATATCAAGAATTCTGATATTAGAGAGATTAAAAAGTGAGGAAGGAACGATACCGGACATTTTATTAATTGCCACGCCAAAAGTGATAAGATTCTTCAGTTGGCCAAGAGTTTCAGGGATAACCCCAGACAATCTATTTATAGCTAGAGAGATTATCTCCAAAGATGACAAGTTCCCTATAAAAGGAGGGATACTCCCTCTTAACGTGTTGTTGGTAAGGCCTAATTCCTTTAGGTTTGACAAGTGGCCAAGTGCAGCAGGTATTTCTCCAACTAGCAGATTGTGTCGAATGCAAAGATGTTTGAGCTTCGAACAACCAGATATATTGGAAGGAATTTCACCAACTATGAAGTTTCTATCAAGAGTTATTTCTTCCAATCTATGTAAACGGCCTATTTCTTGTGGAAGTTCTTGAATGAAACTGTTGTTTTGAAGACTTAACACCCGTAGAAAGCTCAAATTTCCAATATAAGGTGATATTGGTCCCATTAGTTTCAGTGCTGGCAAGTCCAACCTGGTAACTCTCTGATGTCGTCGTCCGCATTTAACACCACGCCACTGGCAAAAATGGACGCTGTTGTTCCACGAACGCATAATCCCAAGCTGATCCCCAGCTATCTTGGCCTTAAACTGGAGCAAAGCCTGTCGATCTGTTTCATTTGCATTAATTGCCAAGGCTGCTGAACCAAGAAAGAAAGGACCTTTAAGATTGAAGCATAAGAGAAGAAAGACAGCAACATGGATGGAAATTTTACTTGAACAAGGCGCCTTGAAATGCATTTCTGATAGCCTCATCAACAAAGAAAGACCACTTGAATTCATGCTACTATTACTTTACATTTCGCGGTGTTTGCTTCGGCAACAAAAGCAAAGAGAATATAAGTTCTTTCTGCAACATCAAATGATAGCAAATTTATAACAAAAGAGTAGGAAAAATTAAGAACTTCATGTACCTTTTTTTTATTTCTTGTTTAAAACAGTTTTGATCTCTAATGTTGAATCTAGAATGATTTGCTTTGAGTGCAGTCCCTTTCATGAATTTCTTTTTGGGATGACTAAAGATAGTTACCGGACTTGACTGAAGCCATAGATACTCAAAGAAATTAAGGTATGGCTTCAGTCGAGTGTCTCGTCTGGACCACAAAATTTCAAAGGTAGATGCTGAACAGAGATATTTTTATTTGCTTTCAGATATAAGAATTTCTCTGGACCACCAGCCGATTGAGAAAATAGATAGTTTTTGTTTTCTCTTTTTTTTCTAATCTTAAATTTTTAAGTACATAAATTGTATATGTTCTCTCCTTAATAAATTGAAAGAAAATTCTTTAGTAAAATAAAAAGAAAACTTGCTTCTCGATCTGTCCAAGGCTCAGGAGATTTGAAGCTTGGGCTCGATCAAAAATATTTAAAATTTTTTAAAAATATATGTTTATTAAATTTTAATTTTAAAATATATTTTAAAATGCTAAATATTCATATTTTTGTATTTTTTAAATATTTTAATATATTTTTTAAAAATCAAGCTTACTAACCATGAAAGATTAGTCAAGCCTTAGGTGAGAATTTTCCAAGACCAATCACACTCGTTCAGATCACCCATGAACAGTGATTTGCCTCCTTTATGCCTTTATTTTCACTATCAGGAGTAATTGGAAGTCTTTAAAGGACTTAGTAGACTTGGATAAAGACTTGCACCATAGGAGCAAATAATGGGGGAATCTAACCAGATAATGACAATAGAAAATAAAGTGGTGGGTCAGTTGCATTTGTGTTAACCTTGACTTGATACCTTTGGTGTGAATCCATTTTTTTTTTGTCCAAAACTCCAAACTCACCTATCAATTTCAACACATGAAGAAAAAGCTTTATAATAATAATAATAATTACGTCTATATCACTCCAACTATCTACAGTTCCAAACTAGATTTTGATTGGTAAATGGATAGACATATTTCAATTGATGTAAATTGTTATACTTTTCAACTGGATCTTCAGTTAGAAATTTGTATGCAAAACTTTAAAGGGATCTTCAGGTATCTCCTTCAATGCAAGCAAGGAGAGTTGATCAGTTTCATTCCGAGCATGGCAGATGCATTGTTTAGGTGAAACTAAAAGAAGATATGCAGCATCCAAGCTTTTGAGCTCTCCATTCATAGCCTTCTAATGTCTAGATTAGTGTGGATCAGGGAAGAAAGAAAAATTGCAGCAGTTTAGCCTAGCAGTATATTTAGACAGAAACTGACATAAAAAGAAACTTGGGTTAGGTTCAATCATGTCTGAATTCGGAAAGTCAGAAGCCTAGCAGTTTGTTCTTGTCTGTCAATCTATTGATGTAAACATTCAAATAACATAAAATGTGGAAATTATCAATGGGAAATCTAATTCTGCCGATGTTTAAGGAAAGTGACAAAGTCCTCTTGTGAAACAAAGCATTGTACCTTATGTCTTCTAAGAATCAAAGACTTCAATTTAAGAGTATTAATTTCTTGCATCATGTTTCATATCCAGGATTACAATATATTATTGATTACTGAAAGTCACCTCTTCAAATTAGGTTGAAAAGGACAATTAGATCTGAACACTCTGGTTAACAAGAATCTGCCTTTGAATTTACTCAATGACCTTGACCTGACCTCTTTGGTGTGAACTCATTTTTTTTGGTGGGGAATCTAACTAGATAATGACAACGGAAAATGAAGTAGTAGATCTGTTGCATTTGCGTTTACCTTGACCTTATTTTTTTGGTGTGAACTCATTGTTTTTTTTTTTTTTTTTGTCCAAACTGCAAATTAATTCACTATCAATTTCAACACATAAAGAAAAAACTTTATGCTAATAATTACGTATATGTCACTCCAACTATCTACGTTGCCAAATTAAATTTTGATTGATAAATAGATAGACATATTTCAGATGTATAATTATTATAGTTTTGAACTATTTATTATATCAGTTTTTTATAGAATTTTCCTAATTCATATGACCTTCGAAAATTTTCAAGAATTTTGGTCTGAAAATGAAAACTGACAAACTGACCATTAATTTGAAGAGTAAGTGTATGTAGTCATGAGTTAATTTAACTTGATTGAACCATTACTAGACTTGATTATCAGAACTCTGGTTTCCACCATGGTTGGTGATCATGCGAAGATGATGGTCAAAACAAAACCAGTTATTTAGAACTGGAAAATGGAAATAGACTGAATTGAATGGACATGCATAAAACATATGGATTCTTCCATTTTATTTCATCAAAAGAAAAAAAAAAAGAAAAAACTCTTCCATTTATGGTACCACCAGGTGATAATCAGTGCTTTTCTCGATCTGTTTGATTTCTTTTTTTTTTTTGAAAATGAAATAATATTCCTTCTCAGGGAAATTCATTAAATTTTAACTTCTTGAAACTCAGAAAATCAAAAGATGGGGAAGAAGCTTATCTTTTGATCAAAACATGAGTGGTTAAAATGCAAACAAAATGATCAAAAGAATTAATTCTTCTGTTCATGATTAAACTGTTACATCCAAATTTGAAGCAGATGCGTTTGTTTTATTCTTCCAGATTTGCTGTGTCTTATCTTCTTACCATGGTAGCGATCTTCCATAATAACATTGCTGCTACATATTCATGGAACATTAAACATTAATAATCCTTTTCCCTTCCCCTGGACTTTGATGACCATATAGTTACTTTTAGGAATCTATTCAGAAAATACACCTATTTATATTTTTTTCATCTTAATTTCTTTACGAACAATTCTCGGTTTAAATTCTTGTTAAAAAAATGATAGAAGAGGAAAAGATTGGATTCTATCCATGGAGGGAGAAAATTATGGACCCCCCTCCCCCAACTCCCAATTGTACGTTATTTGTAATATACATGAAAACAATTGTTAGTTGCGCTGTTATTTCTGTGGAAAAGAAAAGAAGAAAGATGTGATTTCTTTGTGGACCAGATTTGGTTGCGTCTGCATAGTTCATGGGTCAATTCCCCTTGAATAAAAGCTACTCTCGAGAAATGAATAGAGACAGAAGCTTTATAAAATTCATTTGTCTGGATATACAGACAAATTTAGACATAAACTCATTCTCAGTCCAAGAATGTTAAGCAATAGGCACAAGAAAAAGTGTATTACTATTCATGAAACCTGGGGTGGAATTTTATTCATCAAGTCTAGAAACAAGATTAAGAACTTGAAGCTAAATCCAATATTCTTGCATGAATTTCTCTTTGAGACAACTAAAGATATAGTTCCCAGACTTGACTGAAGCCATAGATACTAAAAAAAAAATTAAGGCAAAGTGTCTCTTCCAGACTACAAAATTTCAAATGTAGGTGTTGAACTGAGATATTTTTATTTACTTTCATATACAAGAACTTCTATGGCCACCAGCCAATAGAGAATAGATAGTTTTTTTTTTTTTTTTTACTGTCAATCATTGAATCATTAAAATTAAGAATTCAATACTCTATCAATAAGCTATTGTTGGCAAAATAAATAATTACTGTCATTTCAAGGTCAGTTTTCTGGTGGCTATTATTATCAAGTTTCATAACAGGCAACCATATACTAATTACCAAACAGAATTGACTGCAAAGACTAATTGAAGATAACACTGCATTAAAAGAGGTAGAAAAATTTTCCAATGCCAAGAATTCGAATAGATTTTTTTTAAGGATTTCTCAAGTGCCAAAATATCCAAACGCATGATTAAATGCAGTGAAACTGCATTCTCATTCATGTACCAATTAAAACTAGCTCCATTCAGATCCACATATCCAGTTTTCCCAAGTTTCAGATATTTCTGATCCTGCCTAGACTTTCACTGCAAGATAAAGGAAAAAAAATCCCCATATCCATATCTAATGATGGAATATCATTCATCAGAGATAAGAGTGCATATATATTTTTTGTTTTTTTGGGTCAAATTATAAGCGCATTTGATGTTGATGGTAAGAAAAATGGAAATGAAAGTTGAAATTATAAACCAATAAAATAGAAGTTGTCTGATTCTTTATTCTGAAATCAATTCCCCACACATGTTTTGCAGTTTAATTGTTTAGATTGGAGCTTGAATGCCTCTTTCTTAGTTGGACAAGTTACTGATCAGAAGCTAAAATTTTCAATCACATCACTTGTAGGCTACAATTTAGGTTGCAGGTTCAGTTTACTTAGAAAATTTATCGAAAGACCTTCATTCCATTCAACTTGTGCCAATATCAATGTTCTAATGGTTGGAGGAGATTCTAATTAAACATTAAAAAAAAAAAAAAACAAAGGTCATGATCTTAATAACTAAACTCTAAATTGAATCCATATTCATAAAAATTTGGTAGTCTGAGTTCCTGCAAAGGAATGCGTTTTTGTATGCATTAATTAAAAGTTAATATCATAAATGATTCTAAATTATAGTAAAATATTTAATGTGTTATCTAAATTTTAAAATTTTTTATTTTAATATATGAATAACGAATTTGTTACTTAATATATACTCACTTCTGACGTAATTTATTTTAAATGATAAGATGTGATAAACAAATAACTTTTTAAATGTTATATTAATTAACAGATTCATAATTTAGATATCATATTAAAAATTTTAAAATTCAGACATCACATTAAATATTTCATTAAAATTTAAAAGTCATTCATAAAATTAACCCATTAAGTAATGACAATATGCAATGAAGTAAAACATTTATATGAAAAAGTTAATTACTTCTTAAATTCAAATCTCAATTCTTTCCTTTATTTTTATGTTATTTATTTATTTTTTCACCTATCTTAAGCTATGACCTCCTATAGAAAAATTGGATATAAGATAATTAGAAAGGAAATATTGAGTACCAAAATTTTTTTTTTTATAAATAAATTAAACCAAGAAAATCATATATATATATATATATATACATATATGTTTATTATAATTTTATGGATCTGTAACTTTTGAATTCAAACCCAAATAAAGGCCCAAAAATTCAAGGCCAAATAAATTGATCAAACCCAAATAAAGAGTTATCTTATTGCCTTTCATTTTGGCCTTCCCTCCGACAGAGACTTCAGACTTCCAACTTCCAAAGCTATTTTTTTCTCTTTAAAAATTAAATCTTTGACGTATCCGTACAGGATCTTCAAGCAACAAAAGAATGTCGACGTTTCCGGACTCGTTCACTCAACTCGATACAAAGTTGAGTTTTATAGAAAGAGGGAGGTCACCTGTGAAAACAACAAAGCCAATAACAGAGAAACGGCGAAGGTTCTTTTTCACTTGAAGCCATATGCTAATGCTTTTACCAATTTGTTACTTATCCGAAACAAAACAAAGAAAGAACGCTGTTTTGCTTATTCAGGTTTGGTTATGCTTAACTTGGTAGGTGCTAAAAGTTGCATGCAGAAATATTGATATTATGCTTTTCATCATCTTTACTTAAACTTTGAGGCTTTGAGATGGTTATACGCTTTTCATCATCTTTACTCTTGCCTTCAAATATGCCTTTAGTTTTCCGAAAGTGGGTTCTCTGAAACATGATTTATTCGCACTAGAGTGTGCTATATCTTCCTAGATTAAAATTTTTGTCTTATAGAAATTCCTTGTGAAGTTTTTTGGTTGATCTGTCGAATAATTTATGACACCAAAGAATGAAAGGAAAAAGGTAATGGTGGTATGTAGAATTAAACTTTGATGCAGTGGTGATATTCAGAACAAGGAAACAGTTATGGTTCTATCTCAACATGCGCATGGACAATGTTGAATTTCTAGTATTAATATTTGTGAGCTAAGTAGCATCGTGGAGATTATAAAATTTGTTCACCCAGGTGTCGTAGGTGTCACTTTATCTAACTAGTTTATCAAGGGGGAATGTTACTTGGCTTATATTTTCAACTAAATCGATTGATTGAATTGTCTTATTTTTTTTCTAAAAACTAAAAGAAAATTTATATTAACCAGCCGAAAAAGGTGTAGCAGAACAATTTATTTGCATTATTCTGAATTCTGATTTGATAATAATCCACAAGAAAAAGAAATTCGTACAAATTACATACACCAATAATTGGTGGACAAACTTGCTCTTTATTTTCCTCTCTCCAACTTGAGTGCTTGTTGGAAAGTTTTACTTCTGCAAATACCAGATACAATGTGAAATAAAAGAATGACAGTACTTTGCCTCACTTAAGCCTCTCAAGTCCATTGATATGGCTCCTCAGATACCTGAAGCATATGAAAACAAAGAAATCATTAAATTAAACCATCATATTTACTTCGATAGAATGTAACCAACAAACAATTTACTTGCTCAAATCATTTGAACACAGTATTTATCTGAAAAGTAGTGGAAATGTGCCTTAAGTCATGAAATGGTTTGAGTATTTTGTTAAGAAAATGCAAATTGTTTACCTGCTGATTGAGCAGCATATAAAGTTTGGCCCTCATGATGCAATCGAGTTGGATGAAGCTTGTCTCTAATGGAACAAAGCTTGGTAACAACATCACTAATGTCCATCCGCCCACTTGGGGATTCAGCAGAACAAATGACTCCTTTTTCAAATATTGAATTCAAGAATTGAAAATGTCTGTCATGTCCTTGTTTGACTTGCTCTTCAAGAAGAATGGGATCTATAATCTCAATCACTCGTTCAGGCAAAGCTGCCACAACAAAGTTGTGAAGGTTGACACCATCTTTGAACATTTCATTAGTCGGCGGCCTTTTCCCTGTAAACATCTCAAGCACGAGGATGCAATAACTATAAACATCACCTTTTGTTGACAACTCACTTCCCATCCCATATTCTACAATAAATTCATCACAAATTATATAAATTATAGCAATAATTGCAGAATAGATACCTTGAAAAATATAAAGATATGCCTCTGACATCCAAGCTTTAAACATGTAAAATTACATTCTAATTTAAAGTAATGTAGTCATTTTTCGTTTAACCAAAAACTACTTCCACATTATATGTTTTGCTTTTGAATTATGTTGTGCTAACAGAAAAGTATTAAAATGGGAGAAATGAATAAAACGTACTTACCTGGTGGAGCATAACCAATAGTTCCTCTTAATCCGAGGGAGCTTGACTGAGAAGTAGAATTATTAAGCGTGTCAGCAGAAAGGATTTTTGCTAAGCCAAAGTCACTTACATGGCCAACCATTTCCTCATCAAGTAGAATTTTGCTTGGCTTCTGGTCACAATGAATAATTGGAGTGTCGCAATAATGGTGCAGATACTCCAGTGCATGAGCAACATCTACTGCCACATTTACTCTTTGGAAGAAATTCAGGTTTCTCACTGTCTCCTGTTCATTCATGCCAACAGATGGGTGCAGCCAATCCTCCAAGCTTCCGTTTACCATGAATTGATAAACCAATTCTTTAAAATCATTGCCTTGATAATCAACACCTGAAATTGCCTTTAATACCTTGACAAGATTCCGATCTCTAATGTTCCTCAAGGCCTCACGTTCAGCTAAGAAGCTTCTGGAAGCTGCATGAGCAAGAAGATTAAGCACCTTAACAGCAATAACTACTCCACTCTCTTCAAGAACTCCTTGGTATACAGAACCGAAGTTACCTGAACCAACCAAATTTTGCAAGGAGAATCCATCAGTAGCCCTTAGGATGCTTTTGGTATGATAACTGTAAAAGTGAATTTTCTGCACAAGTTGCTGTTGGCTGCTCTTTCTTCTTTCTAAACCACAAAATGATGAAAAATGAGAATACCAAAATCACTCCTAAAATCACAAAAACAATTGTAATTTTTAATTTGAAAGAAGTGTTTGATCTTCTGGTGGATGCTTTCGAGTTGCATCTGGACAAGTGTAACTCGGGATGCCTCCACAAAGCTTGCTATTTCCCTCAACGAATGTAGCAGTTGCATTTTTAAAGACTCCTTCAATTGGTATCATACCCTCGAAATCATTGAAAGATAGATTTAAATACTCTAATGATCCAAAGCTCTGAAGAAATTCTGGAATCGCACCAGTAAGATTATTGTCAGATATGTCTAATGCCACAAGACCTCTCAATAATCTCAAAGACGAAGGAATGGGCCCTTCAAACAAATTGCCATCCAAGAACAGGTACGGATCCAATATTACACAGATACCAAGATTGTTTGGAAGTAAACCAGATAACCTGTTTCGAGAAACAATCAAATTACCTAGATTTTTCAAATTTCCTACTTCAACAGGAAGCACACCAGTTAAATAGTTGGATGATAAGTCTACTCCAATGGACAAAGATGAGAGTCCAATTACTTCAGGGGGTATTGATCCGGTAAGATTGTTATAAGCAAGATCCAACGCCGCCAAATTTTGGCACTTACCTAGACTTGATGGAATGTTGCTTTGAAGATTATTACGATTTAAAGCAAGTCTGATTAACATTGTCAAATTTCCAATAGAAGAGGGAAATGCCCCAGAGAGGAAATCATTTTTATGAGCATAAAATACCTTTAGCTTTTGAAGCCTCCCAATAGAAAGGGGAATGGAACCTAATAGCTGATTTTCTGATATCACCAGCACTTCCAAATTGATGAGATTTCCAATCCCAGCTGGTATTCTTCCCCATATTTTGTTATCTTGCATTACTGAAAACGAAATAGTGATAGACAAATTACTAATGCACTCGGGTAACTCTCCTCCAAAATTATTTTTGCCTATGTCTAGACTTGTTAGTTTTGTAGTATTGGTTAAAGAACAAAGAAAGTTTAAGTCACTTGCTCCCCATTTCCAAAATGATTTTTCCCTATGAAAAAATCTAGATAGTTTTTCCAGATTTTCAAATGAAGGCAAGTTTCCATTAAGTTGGTTGGATGAAACTTGAAGAACCACGAGATTTGAGGCATTGGCTATTGAAACAGGGAATTGTCCAGTGATTTAGTTTTCTATGACGGAAAAGATTTCAATATAAGGCATAGTGATTCCTAAGTCAGAAGGAAGAGTACCTAATCTTGTTTTTGTCAATATAAAAAATTATCATACTGGAGAGATTGAAAATTGAGTTAGGAAGAAATTGCAATTAGTGATACAGAGAAAATGAAAGATTCGTCAGTTGCCCAAGAGCTTCAGGTATAGCCCCACTTAGACCATTCACAGCCAAAGAAAGTATCTCCAAAGATGATAAGTTCCCCAAGGAAGGTGGGATACTCCCTGTTAAACTGTTGTAGCCTAAGCGTAACACTTTCAGGTTTGACAAGAGACCAAGGAAACCAGGTATTTCTCCGATTAGCTGGTTGCCTCTAATATGAACAAATGTAAGCTTAGAACAACCAGATAAATTGGAAGGAATTTCACCATTGATGAAGTTATTGGACAATTCTAATATTTCCAATCTTCTTAAACGTCCAATTTTTTGAGGAATTTCGTTGCTGAAGCTGTTGCGTGCAAGATTCAACACCCTGAGAAAACTCAAATTTCCAATGTATGGCGATACAGACCCCGCTAGTTTCTGGGATTGCCATTCCAGCTTGGTTACTCTCTGATGTCTGTGACTGCATGTAATACCATCAGGAATTTAAATACCGGTCGCAATCATATTTTCGGTCACATAACGTTTATCGTGTTTTTAAATATAATGGAGATAATTGCGATCATCGAAATCATCGCGATTGTGAATTTTTTTTAATTTTGCACAATTTGTTATAAAATATAGTAATTATAATTATAATCATAAAAACTCTTATTTAATGATTTTTAAAATAATTTATCATACTATATTTTTTATTTTCTAAAAAAAATTATTCACAATTTTTGTTAGATTATAATAAAAATTTCATATTTGGTTTAGCAACAAAATTTTTACTTGAGCCAAGTTCATATTCAATATTAATTCTAAACAAATCAAGATATTAACAAAACATAATATATTAAATACAAAGCATCTATGTTTAATAAAATTACAAACTTAAAAATATAATAATTTCAAATTCTATCAACCATAACTATTGATATATATTTCAAGTTTTACCACATGGTGACAAGGAGGATCAAATTCTTTATTTTCACTTTGAGAGTCAAGTTAACTCCATCTCCATTCCTATGGCCTTTGTTCTTGATGCATTTGAGGTGGATGATACATTTGTGATGGGTAATAACTATATAAATATGGATAACCATGCGGAGGTTAAAAATTAGGTTGTTCTGGTAAATAGTAATGTCCTTGAGTACTAGCAGATGATTCATTATACTTAAAGTTACTAAAATTTGATCTCTTACCTGAAGATGAAGAACCTTTAAAAATATCATAGAGGTGCTTCTTGGTTTTCCTTTTGATCGAGTTATATGGCACTTTGACCCTCACTAGATTTAGTATATGAATTTACTCAATATTCTGTCATGTTAATAAAAAGTTCCACTAGTAGTAGCAAGCTCAAATTCTCCTTCAAGTGGGCTATAAGGTCGTTTTGCATCCATATTACCACCAAAATTTGCACCATCACCATCACCATCATCTGGACTTAAACCCCCACCATCATCACTCTTACTTAGTGTTGAACTTGAACTTGAATAAGACAGATTCCTTTCTTGAGATTAGCATGATTGTTCAATATTTATTTCATTATCAGAATTATCTAGAGGCAATCAATTAGAGTTTTGACTATCTAACGAAAGATTTTCTTTCTCTTGCAACCATTTTGTTAGTAGATCATTATCTTTAAAAATATGGTCAAGGCTAATAGAATTAAAACTATTATTTATCATGTCAATGCTCATTCTTTTTTTATGTATCATCCTCAACCTCATGTTGTAATGGGTATATACAAGTTTTTAAAATTTTTCAAACTTCAATTTGTTTCTTGCTTTGGTGTGAATATAGTTAAACGTGCTTCAGTTACGTTCACAATTTGTTACAGATGCTGTTTGACTTAGTACTTTGATTTGCTAATTTTTGTAATTTATGAACATAAGTGTCATATATCATTCACCACTCAGCTATATAAAATTATTTAAATTAAATTTAAATGTGCTATTCAATTAAATAATATAAATAAATTATAATTATTTAATTTATTAATTACCTGGATTCATTTGCTTCCAAGCTCTTTTGTACCTGTGAGTACCAAATGTTTCATACTTGTCTTGAAATAATAGTAACTACATCAATTGAAAATACAATAATAAATGAATAAATAAAAAATAATTCTATTTTTAATACATAAAATAAATGTCAAAGTTATAAAATATATTAAATACTAACCTGATTAATCATTTTAATTTGAGTATCTATATAAGGTTCTAATCTTTCAATAACTACTTTTGTACCATCTAATATTTCTTTAAGTACATTTTCATAATGCTCAACTTCAAATTGAAATTGTGGATTTAGATAGTAACCTAAACATAATTCATAACAATATTATATTAAAGTAATAAAAAATTAATATATAAACAATTTAAGTATAAAAAATAAACATATTTTTTTAAATACAATCTATATTATTGGTTTACTTACCAGCTGAATGTAAGTCAAAATGCATGAAACTCTATCTATTATCAATAATCTTTTCATATTTAGCAGAATAATGATAATTTTACTGAATTACTTATTTAGCTCTATCCATAGCCTTGTAAACAAATCTTATTATTGGTTTTTTATCACCATCAACAAGACGCAATATTTTAACTAAATGCTCATAAACTTTTATTATTTCACTTGCTTTTTTCTAAAAACCCTTTTCCAAAATGATTTTTTTGGCTTCATAAGTAGGCCCTGATTTTTGTTGTCCCCATTTTAATTCTTTAAATTTTTATATATTCAACAATAAATTTTTAGCATAATATATTTTAAATTAATATTTTAAACAATAATATCATAAAAAATGCTATATTTAAATAGTTATACTAATTACTAAGTACTAACATTTGAATTGAACATCTCTCTCAAACCTTGCTTTTGCCTTGTTATTTATTCTAACTATATGAATGGGTGGCAAATCGAGTAAGAGTAGGACGAAGTATTTGCTTCCCTTGTGTATATTTCTTCATCAAATTAATCATCTAAATGTGATTGTATATAAAATAAGTCATTTTTTTTGCATAATCCAAAACCTTTGCCACATTTTTTCTTGCCAATATCCTTAAGGCATAAATTCAAACAATAAGCTGAACATGCTATCCAATATAAATGTTGTCTTTTCTCCAAAAATAAATAAAAACTAGCTTCGCCTAAACCAAGAACAAAGAAAAAAATATATATAGAAAGCGGGTCAAATACTCAAAATCTCAAAGCGCTTCGAGGTCAGATGAGGACTTGTAGGGCTTTGAAAAAATGCACGGCCTAAGAGCTGAGCCCACAATAAGAGGTTAGCTTGGCCCATTAAACAAGGTCCTTATATAGTAACCTAAGATCTGGCTGATCAGAAGTTTTCCAGGATTAGGCCTGTTGGGCCGGATGAAAGAACTTGAATTGAATTTCTAATGTACTGAAACAAGAACTTGAAAAAAAATAATACTGAAAGCAAGAGAAGGAGATATATTAATGAAAAAAAATAATACTGAAAGCAGGAGAAGGAGACATATTAATGACAAAGTGAAATTTCCAAGCCAGAGATTTGTGCCAGGCCTAAAGATGATCATTGGGTTTTGACATCAGTGAAATTCGGACTCGGTTACCAAGAGAAAACCCTCTATTTCCATTTGAAAAAGATATTCTTCTGGTTACTGCCTTTAATTTCCCTATCAATTTCCGTACTTATTAGATAGATGTGATAATCTAAAATATAATATAATAATATGATATAAATATTATATAAATAATAAATAAATAATAATATAATTTAATATTTTAATAATTATTATATATAAATTTAATTAAATTATATATAAATTATAACATATAATTTTTATATAAAATATAATATAAATATATAAAAATTAATATTTTATATAATATAAATATACAAATTATTAGGTTAAGGTACATATCAGGCCCACAAAAAACTATCAACTTTGGGGAAGTCTTCCAAGTAATAGAAGCATAAGATAATACAGATCATGCATTTCATTTATTATTTTTAATATTTTGAGAACACCCACGGCATCCACCAACTTTGTTTCTAGCATGGAGGGGATGAGGACACGTCTCCTTCTGCAATTTTTGTAAAAACTTGAAATATATATCCAAGGTTCAAGGGGAGGTAGGCTTAAGGGGATGAACGACAAAAGCAGTTGCCTGGACTCCAGTGTCCAAGAGCGATTGCTTTTAACCTAAAAGCTTCATTTCAACAAGTGATCAAAGGATCACATACCCAAGAAACAATTCACCAGCTGAACTCAGAGAGAGAGTGAGGGATCGAATAAAAGAGTGGCACAAACCTGCTTTGGTTTCAAGTCAGGAATAAATAATTAAGCAGTAGAATACAATGAGACAACTTTGTCTTTCTTCCTTCCCGAAACAAAAGAAAAGAAAGAAAAAGTTATTGCACATCATCATCATCACCATCGTCAAAGCAGATCATAATGGGAACAGAGTTTTGGTTTTCTAGCAGTTATTTCCTTTTGGTTTTCCTTTCTTTTTTTTTTCCCAACCCTTTCATCTGCCTTCCGGGTGTAATGGGAAGAGCACTAGAGTTATGTTTTCCTCCTCTTTACATGGCGATCTGCTTTCTTCTTCCAAGTACTCAAATGACCAGCTTCTGCACTTCCTCTTATATGGACTATCCTCCTCTCTTTCCATTATTTCCACCTATAAAAGAATGGATGACAAATTTGATAAGATTTATGTTTATCAAGGGGAAAAAATGGAAAACTGACCATAATAAATCAAAGGGAATTAATGGACGTGCCCTAGTATCCAAAGTTATGGTGGTAATGGGAGCTGAGTTTCTGGGACAGTGGCTAAGGCCAAGGCTGTTGCGCTTCTGCTTTTGTCTCTCACGTGCTTTGTGGTTTTGGAACCAGTAGAAAACGTTTTTGCCTTCGATCTTGCCGTACTTTCCTAGCTGCGCAGTGATTTGTTCTATTTGTTGTGCATTTGGAGTTCGCATCCCACCTCTATACAGCATCTCCAAAATCCCTATCTGTTCTTGCGTTGGATTCCACCGCGTACCTCCAGGGTGCGTTTCCACCTACATAACAAAGTTTCCGCTTCATAAAAGTTCTTCCAATATTCTTTACTTGATTAAGTTTCCATTATCAATAGCGATCAAACCTAGCTTAAACTCATAATTACGCCACATCTTAAAAGATCAGGAGATCTTAATTAAGCTCAAAATCTCATTCTTCTCCTCAAATTAGTTGAAAGAAAGGGTTTCACCATATTCCCATAGTTGTACATACATATTTTTGGCTATTCGGATGTAGGTTGCTAACAGGGTGGTTTATTCATAGAGTAGCTAATTTGCAAAAATAAGGTAGCTAGTTCGATGGAAACCCAAATTAGGCAAGGGCTGCTAAGTCATATTCAGCCATGTTGACAGTAATGAAATATCGAAAGGTACATGAAATAATGTAAAAATTTTGTGAAGTAAGACATAAGAGTGAAGGTACAGGCCGTTAATAGCGGAGGTTTAGTGTACCTGAGGAGAATCTCGCTTCTCGTCATAAGGGCCAAGCTTTCTAGGGCCACTTTCGGGTCTAATGAAGCTCTTAAGGTCGAAAGAGGAGACGGTATCAGTAGAGGTAGCCTGCAGCTTGGGAGCAAGAGGGCGAAAGCGCTTGCATCCAAGAGAGAGGGATGGTTCGTGCTCCCAGAATCCACGTGCCAACTGATGCACCTTCATGTTTCCCATAGTGAAGGAGTGAATGATGGAGAATGGTGAATTATATAGAAGATGAGAGAGAAAAAAAAAAAAAACTTAAAAGCAAAACCCAAAGAAACAAAGAAAGTGGGATATGAGGTGGTGCTTTGAAGAACCAAGGCCAAATGATGAGGTGAGGTTGACTTATGATTTCCCATATTTAAAAAGGTAAAAATTAAAAGAAACAGAGACAAAAGGGGAGTGTTGAAATAGGGGAAGAGAGGGAACAGAACACAAAAGGGAGTGAAAAAGAAAAGGTATAGGGTTTGTGCGTGTGGGTGTGGGGTATACATGAGCAACTGTAATGTAATGTTGAGTCTGTAAATGCGTGTGGGTTGGCCAGTCTAATCGATCGGGTGGGTTTCAATTTTCTCGCTTTCATGATAAGGTGTTCTTGCTTTTCGGTGGCCTCTTTTTTGCTTCTCTCTTTTTTCTTATTTTATTGTAAATTTTTTCGTATAAAGCTATCGTGGGAGAGGAATGAAAAAAGATTCCTCCAATCCCAGAACTTGAAAATGGAACTCATTTCTTTACTTTCCAAGAAAAGGATATGGTTTGAGAGAGAGAAGATATAATGAAAGCCGTTGTCCATCGACCTTTAACAGGTTCTGAATGTTGAAAAATCCAAAACCAACAAAAACTCAAAGAAAAAAATATGTTATTTTTGAGTGCATAAGCATGAACATGCCAAAAAATCCCAAGAATCTCTCCCCCTCTACTTTGGGAACTGTTGTTCTCAATTTCCCATATTCAACAAACCCCACCTTTTTTTTTTTCGTGTATTTTTGGCAGTATCTCTTGGGTCTAGTACCAACCAATTATACCATGCGTAACCGTACATGCAACTGTGGATATATTAAAAAAACCCAAATGCATTTTAATTATTATATATGTTTGCAAGTATAATTTTTGAGTATGGTAAAAAATAATTGCATGTTCCACTTCGTATGATGAGATTTGAATATAGAACTGGATTTTATGAACACAATCACAGGAGACTTTGGATGCAATCGATTGGGTACAGCACGTGTGACTGTCCATCTGACTCAACCCACACATGTGCTTCAATTATACCAACATTTCTCTGCTAGGATGATATAAAGTGGTAAAATTTTCTTTCTTCTTTTTCTTTGTTTCTAAAGGTAATTTTTTCTTCTTAATTTGTCCTTGATTGAGTTGAGCTGTTTTCTCAAACCCCTTTGATTGAGGAGAAGGATTCTTAGGGCAAGCTACACGTGTAGATCTCTCTTGTTAATTCACTACCATAAGAACCATATAAAAAAAAGTTAAAATGTTGAACAATTTTGTTATTATTTTCTACAAGAGTCAAATTGATAACACGTTTTTACATTTAATTTATACCGATTGAGAATATGGAAAAAATTCAGTGTCCAAAAGGACCCATCTCTCATTATCAAACTCTAGATAACCGATCGTGGTCACAGCCAATACTTACTAATATTTCGAAAATTCCCAAGATTAGGAATTGAACAAGGACATTCACCAAAACTAAGGAGCAAGTTCTTAATCTAAGCCTACTGATTTATCCATACAAAGATCCAAAGTAATGAAGAGGAATATGTCCACCAGCCTTCTCTTAACCTGGTAGTAAAAAACACACTAATGTTGAGTGTTTTTTTTTTTTTTCAACAACCCAAAGTTAATTTAGTAGTTACTTATTACTATTTAAGTTTTAAAACGGTTAAAATTTAAGAATTGAGTCTCCATTAAATTATAATAATATATATGTGTTTGTGTAACACTTTTCACAAGAGTATTCTAACATAGATTTTTTTTTTTTTTAAGCTATAGTTTCATGTAATGATTTTCCATATTGAGCAACAAATTTTATAACAATTATCTCACATTTTAGCGGTTCATATTAACTACTACGAAAGCTATTGCTAATTGTTTAATGTTGTTTTAAAACTCAAAAAAAAAAAAAAAAAAGAGGGTACCATTATTAGTTAGTGGTCACTCTCATGCTTTTTACACGAAGTTTTGCTTGTTATTTCGTGCTTGCTTAAAATTTCAAATTTCCAAATTTTGCAAAGTCAATAGTCATACATACAATTCCTATTTTTCCCCCTTCTTTAATTTTTTTTCAAAGTAACAGGTAATATTGGCGAAGACCAAAATCTTCAATAAAGCATGAATAAGATGCATGTTTTTGCAAACTTTTCACTGAAATTGTATGGATAAAGTTTATATATACATACATATATATATATATGCGTTGATTTCTCGGTGTTGAAAATAAGAAAGATTCAAACAAATAATATTTTTATCTTTGAGAAAACATATATTCAACAATAAATTTTCTAGACCAACTAAGTATGGCATAAATTTTGGTCGAAATCTTAAAAATTAAGGATTTTAAAAAATTATAACGCATAATATTTTCTTCAAGTAAATTAAATTGATAATGACTGAAGAATTAAGAATTAAAAAAAGCAGTAATTTTTCTAGAATAAGTTAGAAAAAAGGTCACAAGTTAAACTTTCATAGGAAAGAAAGAAATAATTGGATTGCAAACGTCGTTTTCTCAAAATAGAAAGGAGCAAAACTTCGAATGTGAAATGTATCCCAAAATTCTAACAAAGCTTGCTGTATTGCACTCAATGCATATCTATTATCTATCGCCATAGATCCCTCCTTCATCGTCAAATAAGAGTTTCAAACATTGAAGATTTTGTTGCCGGGCTGATGTGACTTTTCTCCTTCTCTTCCGACCCTGAACTTGCCATGCACTGCCAAGAGGATCCTGAGATTGACAAAATTGCCTTCAACTATTTGAAATGTTGGCTTTGCAAAACAGCTCATTCCCAAGCTCTTCACATGGATTTTCACCTCATATATATGAATAACAAAGTAATTCGAATGACACTATATATATACATACATACATATATATATATATATATATATATATCTGATTTCATCTTATCACTTGGAGTCGCCCTATATATATCTTTTACAACTTTTTCCTTGTAACTTTGTTGTCTCATATAAACCAAGCTGCCTTGGTTTTCGTACATTACTTAGAAAACTACTAAAAAAATGAGTAGAAATCTTTGTCACTTGATTGAGTACTAATTATTTAATGTTTGCTTCATGAATATATATGTTCTTGATTCTCTAAGCAACAAAACCCATTAATTTGAAACCGATTTTTCTTTTTTTGATCCGATGAAATACTAGAAAGAAGGATGTAAGAGAATGGATTTGACAAGGGTTTTTGGTCGGTTTTTTTTTTCTTTTCTAATTTTTAGGTTACTGAAAATTGAAATTTGAAAGGAAGATTTTAGTTGTGAGGATATGGCTAATTGATGCACATCAAGATCTTGAGATTAAAATCTATCATAGTCATCTTCATCCAATACTCAATAAAAAGATCTGCAACTCAAGAACAAGTTTAAAAAAGACGAAGTTTTCATTCCGTTAAACCTTTTCTTAGTGGTTAGTAGTATAGTGTATGGGAATACAAAGATAAAATTAGTAAAAAAAAAATCTAGTATAGCAGTGAAAAGAATGTAACAAAGTTCTTTGTCGGAGATAAATTAACTTACCACATATATCTTATATAAAAGTTGTAGAATTATAAAATAAAAAAAAAAAAAAAAGAAACACCCTTAAAAAATAATTTTATACAATAAAAAAATTTTCACCGATTTTTTATGGTTCGACAAACAACAAGGTCGAGGCCTTATATTGGGCATGTTAAAACATACATAAATTTAAAGAACAATTATAATCATGGGTATGTTGAAAAAAATAAAAAAATAAAAACAATTTCTTTAAAGATTTTACTAGTTAACAGTTAAGCTGTCAAATGAAAAGATGCTTGGTGAAAAATCGTTCTATCTGCCTGATTCTTGAAAAGAGAAAGATTACTTGGAAAAGGTAATCTATTTCGAGGTTAACTACGATTGGCCAAGTAGTCACTTCCAGCTTGACGACAATGGGTGGGATAATCATATCAATGTTGACATCTTAGATTATGAGTTGAGCCCCATAATACATATTTTTGGTCTCACGTAAGCTGAATTACACCATCTCCTTCAATCACGACAAACGTTTAAAAAGAAATTTTCCCACATCAACCTTTCCCTCCCCTCTCCCCCTACTTACATAGGCAGCCATGATCCTGCACCTAATCTCATTTTGTTTTGCATTATATATCACATGTCAGGCTGATTACCTTGCTTTTCTCTCGTTTGCTGTTCACATTTTCTCTGCTCCTTTTATAGGCAAACAGTAACTTGAATTTTCAAATATTGAACTTAAATGTGTTCTTGTTCAAGAAAAACTATATACTAAAATTAATATAAAAGGGTATCAAATAAAATAGTAATAACTTTTTTTGAGAACCCCTGTGATCAAGCAGCAAAATTGCGTAAACATGTATCTATATAATAATATATTCTTCAACAATGATTTTGTCTGCATATCATTAATTTATCACATCATACAAATTTTGGAGGGTAAAATGAGATTAGTGAATTTGTTCTGTGCCTAATCATGCATCAGATATTATGTTGAATTAATGGTTGATAATGAATTGGTTAGGTACTAGGAAAATGAAAGTGGGGCTTTTGCAATGATCGATTCAACAAAAGCAGCGATGAATCGGGTGCCTAGAATTTTACATTTTGGATCCCTAAAACAACCAACAAAGACTAGGCAATTGCAGGCTCCAAATGTAGCAAAGTTCTTTGTCTTATTTGAGAATAAGTGTTGGATGACCCAATCACCAAATGACATGCAAGCTGAGTGGGGAAAAATTCCAAATATGGAAAATGCTTATCAGAACGTAGGAGACTTGTTGTGAATGAACGGACAGTGAAAATTGATCATGGGGAATGTTTATATTTTACACATTTTTTTTCATAATTTTTGGATAGTCATAAAATGAGCCGGGGGGGGGGGGGTATTTTGTGAATGTATGCGTGGGTCAAAGAAAAAGAGGGCATTATGAAGGAGAATTGACATGATATATGGGGGTGGATCCCACACAGTGGAAGAAGCGGTGGGAAAGAATCCATCATTAGAAAGACAAGGCCATCATTTGCACGTGTCTATGGACCCAATTCCATCATCATAAAAGTAAGTTATATGATCATATACATGACTAAACCATGCTGTACGTTGCTTTAGAAACCCTAACGTTTATCCCTCTCCTTTTCACCTAGAGTCCTTCACAGTGAACTGAAAATTTTAAACACTTGCACTACTTGCATCTAATTTAG